CAATGCAGTCTCATTAAACTGTATTGCATAGTGGAATCTCGTATGCCAGCTCCTGTAGTCTGAGCCTTTCAGGCTGAGAGCTCACCTGTGCTATGGAGATATGAGCTTAATTATGTGTTCAATTACAAGAATGCCACTGTTCACTAGAGGTAAGTTGGTTGATTTCCCAACCTTTTATAACTTGATAAAATTGAGATTATGTGTGTGCAATGACATTTGTGTGGCTGATAAGGAACTTGCATTTGTGAACCACAGTAAGGTGTTTTTTTTTCTTTAGCAAAATGATTTTTTATATTTTATTTTGGTTTCCTAAAGACAAACTTGGAACCTGTAAGCCATGGGTTTAGATTATAGATTAGTACTGCTTTCCTAAAGATCAGACAACCAGATGAGTCCTTCAGCCACTTACTGACTGCAAGCATTCCTGCAAGAAAGAATTATAACTGTCATACTTACACACACACACACACACACACACACACACACACATATATAAAACATCATCTTGATAGAACAAGATATAAGCACTAGCTCTCTTGTGCTGCCAAGTAAAAGACCTGTCATTAATGTGTTTCATGCTACACTGGAACAGTTCTGGAGTTACCTCAAGAACTTGAAAGAATTTGCATGCAATTTTGAAAATACCTGCAACAAAGAGCAGATCACAAGTAGTACCATTTTGTCACTTCTACATCCAGTTTGAGAGTAACAACTGTTATCTTTGATTTTTTTCTGTTCTTCCAGCATATGGAAAATCCCAAGGATCAGAATGAGACACTGTAAAAATTAATGATGGGCAATGTATCAATATTTCAGTAAAAGAGAGATTCTAAAAGTCCATACTGCCAGTATTTCTAGGCACAGATGTATTACCACCCCAGTAACCCACCAGTGTAGCTCTGCTTCCTGGCAGCCCAGGCCTCAGGCCTGCTCCACATCATCAGGTCTCTTTGAACCATCACTCTGGCCTCTCCCAGAGGTGGAATATAATCACTGCTATTCACTGCCTTGTCATCACTTACTTCTCCTCTGTCTTACCCACAGTTCTGCCCCTTCTTTCCAGCAAAATGCTGAAGCAGGACAAAGTCGATGCATTTCATCCCAGGTGAGGAGAGGGCCCAAGGTGGGGGAGTGGCACAGGAGGTAGGAAGGGTTAAGAGCAAGACAGGCTCCCAGTAGCAGCTGTTTCCCTCCCAGAAGTGAGGTTGCCCATAGCAACCACCAGCAGATGTGCAGAGCAGATGTGCAGCAGGTGACCAAGAGGGAAAGGTGGAGGGGAGGGCTGAGAGGGGAACCATGACAACACAGTTCATGATAGGTGTGGCAGCTCAGCTGTGCCAAACAACTGGCACTCTGACAGACATTGTTTTGGAAAGGGTTTTAGAGTGATCCAGTGGCAGCTGTGTGAATCTTGATGGAACATTTCCCCATGAGGAGAGCAGTCTGAAAAACAAGTGTAAAGGTATTTGAGAGGGAGAAAAGGAAATGGCTGAGCTGAGCCAGTGTAGGTATATATACAAATCACTATTCAGCTTGGATAGTTCAAAGCCATAAAATTAACAGTGAGAACACATTTAACAACATTATTCTGTGCCCAAACACTAGCATAAGAAACAACTCTGCAGATGCTCAACGGGCATTGCATTAGTTCAGATCCTGAGCTCATTTACATAAACAAATTTATTTTTGTTTACTTCACTGATGACAGTGCAGGCCTACATTAGCATAGTATAGAAAAGATTGTTACCTGCACACACCCTCAAGTAAGTCACATTAAATCTGTAGAGATAAGAAAAGATCTTATTCCTTTACACTGGTAAAGTTTTCCGGTTCCTTTCTCTTGGTAAAGTGTGAGAAACTACAGCTAATGGAAAAAGCTCAATTGGTAATGAGCTTTGTAGTTTTGTCATATCAAAGACTTTAAGGAGCTGACAACAGGATTTATTATTATAACTTTGTGTTTCCTTTCCTTAAAACATGGTTTTAATAATTTCTGTTTTTTCTTCTTGGCTTTTTAATTAATTGTGATTTAGACAAATGCTCTCTTTTTAGAATAATCACCAATGTTATCAGTGCCTTGGGTTTAGAATTAATGGACAAATATTTGCCAATATTAAGGTGAAAATGCTTCCTCTGAATGTGGTATTTTTGAAGTCAGTATTTTGGGGATTTCATCGGGCTGTTAACTGGAATCTGAAAAAATGTTTCTTGAATAAAACTTATAAGGCATGGTACTGCTATTTCATTGCACTGGGATCCATCACCAGTATTGTTTCAAGGACAAAATAGTAACAAAAATGATATGAGATGAAACCTGGCTCCTACTGACAATAAGAATGATCATGTTTTCCCTGCTGCAGCCCAGGGATTTGTTCCATTTATATACCTGATAACTGGTCATTTCAAGAGCTTTAGTCACAGCAACATTACACTTAAATCTGGTGGAAATTTGCAGCTGCATACAGTCTAGAAGGAAGCTTGTGTTCTCTGAGTTGGTTTGGTGGTTTGGCCTTTTGGGGAGCAAAGAACTGAGCTGCAATTGTATCTCCTGTCCTACACCAGCACAGAGACTATTCCCCATGTTGTCTCCAGCTCTGTGCTGCTGTGTGTTTGGCAGCCCATCAAAGGGCTTCCACTAACACAGTGGGTATGTTTATGCGGTCTGCTAGCAGACAGACTGCCTACAGCCAGAAGGTATGATGAGACCTGCTGAGGTGACTGCTAGTGACAGAACCCGTGTTTAAACAGCAGTAGAGAAGGCCTGTGCTTTGCTGTGTGTCAGACGGGCACAGCTTGTAACTGATAGTCCTGTCTGCACACACTACAGTACGCCAAGTGCTTGTTACCACCAGGGTCTGAAAGAAGAAATTATTACAACTGCAAAGCAAATCTAGGGTCCAGTAGCACAGCAGGAATGGTATTGAAGTTCGATATACCGCGGGTTCCGGCGCTGGACCCGCACTTATCACCCGCGCTCCGTGGGCCGCAGATCGGGCCAGAGGGGAGGTGTCCCTGCGGTGCCGGGCTGGCTCCGCCGCAGGGAGCGCGGGGGGCACCGGGCGCGGTCACCCCGGGGCAGGGCCCGGCCGGGCAGCTCCTCTGGCCGGGCAGAGACCCCCGGGAGGAGCCAGGAGTCCGGCAGCCCGCGCGGCGCTGAGACAGCCCGCCCCGCTCCCCGCCCCTTCCCTTCTCCATCCTCTCGGGCGGGGCGGGGCGGAGCGCGGCCCTCCCCTCTTCCTCTGGCGTCGGTTCCGCTCGCAGAGCTCTCGCTGCCACCGCTCCTCGCTGCTGTTCCTGCCCGTCTCCGCTCCGGGCCGCTCGGGCATTTTCTCTCTGCCTTAAAGTCGGTGAGGAGATGGGCGCGGGTGGCGGGCGGCCGGCTGGGGCCGGCTGCGGCAGCCTGGGCCGTAAGGGCCGCGCCGCGCTGCGGTGGAGGCCGGGGAGGGAGGTGGTGCACCCCTTCTTCCTCCCCTGCACGGGTACCCGGGAGCGGGGCAGCCTTGGCGGCAGCGGAGGCACCACCAGCTCGGGCCGTACGGCGGGGCCGAGGGGCGAGAGGCGCGGGCACGGCCGCGGGCACAGGCACTGGCACCGCGCGGGCCCCGGCTCCGCCCTGCGGCCGCCTCCGCCCGGGGAGCCCGGTGCGTGCCGGGAGCCGGGCGGGGGCCGGCGCCGCCCGCAGCCGCCCAGCGCCGCGGGAGCTGGAGGGAGGAGCGGCCCCTGCCCGCAGCGTCCTCACGGGTGTCTCTGCTTCCTTGCAGGGTGTCTTTTATGAATAATCAAAAGCCGCAGAAGCCGACACTATCGGGCCAGCGTTTTAAAACCAGAAAAAGAGGTGAGTTATCGCGCCGTGCCCGCTGCCAGGACCGGCTGCCAGCGATATGTTTACGGTAAAACCTCGGTTTCTGTTAGTAAGCAAACCAGTGCCTTCATGCGTTCACCGTAAATTTTTTACATGAGACGATGCTAAGTGCAGAGTCTTGAGGCTGACTGGAACTTTCTCTGCACTAATAAAAATATTAGTATTTGGCAGTCAGAATTGTCACTGAATTTACTGTAATAACCTCTGCCTAAAAGATGGTCATTCTAGAACTGTCCTGAGTGTGTAGCCTGCAAGCAGAACGATCTAGTACCCCTGAATTACAGGGGAACTCCAGCACAAGCTTGTTGCAGGTTAATGCATACATCTAAGGAGTATCTAACATAGTAAAAATTTCAGTCTTAGCCACTGGATAAAACTTATATTTTCTTTTTTTTAATTTTTTAAAAATTGACAGAAAGAACCTACAACAAAATCCCACAAATCCACCTACCCACCTATCTTCCAGTCAACATCCAAAAAAACCCCAAAGTATGGGACATTCAGAGGCCTGTCTCTCTGCATGCACAGTTACTTCCATAAGAAGAGTTAGTCACTGAAGAGGTGTGATGAGTAACTTAATGTTTTGTGGAGCTTTTTTCCAGCCTGAAGAGGAAGTAGGGATGCTCTTAGAATTTCTGTTCAGTACAGTTTTACTTGTATACCAACAGTGTTCTAGCTCTAACAGGCAGCTTTAGGCATGCTGTACATGCAGAAGCACACTTGGATTTATAGAACCTGTTTGAATGTCAAAGCACCTCAAAAATCTCTTGAACATTAGAGTTTGCTGTGGTCTGTCCAGCAGATGAATGCCAGCAGCCAGGGGTTTAGTCTCTTTAAGCATTTAACCATAGTTTGGCTGTGAAGCAACTCTTCTGGAAGAATGAGCTCTGTGGTTCTACCCTGGAAAGTAACTGATCCAGTATTTCCAAACTGGCACCCAGCTTTTACCAGTGTGTTTATACTTGAATTGACACTGGACCACCAGTATGCCCTACTAGGCTGCTAACAGAATTGGCTAAGCTGTGCTGTAGACAGCACTCAAAATAAGATCTGCAGTTGAGTTCTCTTACCTTTGGAAGCTTCTAATCTCATTATTTCCATAATCTAAGGACAAATTGAGATGAGAAAAAGTTGAAGACCTCTTTAAGGCTTTCTGTTAGTTATATGGGTGGATTTGTTGCATGTTGACTATGCCCTGCCTGTAGTAAAAACAAGGCAATGATCAGCTGATGTATCAGGTGTGAAGATGCATCTGGAGTGTTCTGCTTAACAAAAGCAAAGGTTGCTAAATAGCTCTGCAGTTAAGGCCATTAGGTTAGCTCCTGTGTCTACATTTCCCCCAAGCACTTGAGGAAAAGTTACTGCCTCAAACTCACCTAGCTGCAGGTTAAGATGAGGGGATGGTCTTCACAGCCAAAAAGCGAATTTCCAGGTGACTTGGATGTGATAATGGTATGCAGTTTGTCAGTCAGAAGATTTCATCTGAAACAGAGAGAGGCCCAAAAAGCTGAGATAAAACATGAGTAATTGAGTTAAATGTACAGAATTATCGGGGCGTGTATTAAAAATTGTCTTCCAGCTAAGTCTCTGGTTTTGGAGGGAAAGTGATCTATCATGAGAAGAGTGTTATAAGAATCAAACTGAGAAGTCAGGTAACCTTTATTAGAGCCAAGTAATGATCATCACAAAGAACTCTTAATGGGAATCTTATTTCAACATTTTTGCTTTACAGATGAAAAAGAGAGGTTTGACCCTACTCAGTTCCAGGACTGTATTATTCAAGGTTTAACTGAAACTGGCACTGACTTGGAGGCAGTAGCAAAGTTTCTTGATGCTTCTGGTGCAAAACTTGATTATCGCCGCTATGCAGAAACACTTTTTGACATCCTGGTGGCTGGTGGAATGCTGGGTAAGTCCCTGTGATGTGGCTGCTGTCAGCTTCATTCACTTCACTCTGCAAAAGCTACATTTCCTTTCAGTGCAAAATCTCTGCTAAAGAGCCCATTGAGTGTGTAGAACGGGGTTTGAGCTAATCTGTGGTAAACCACCTGATCATCTTGGTGCCTGAACAGTTACTGTAGAAATACAGAAATACTCTCTATAACCTGCCTCAGTTTTACTTGAGTCTGTTTGCATTCCTTGAAGTGTAGATTGTACAAACTCTGCTTAGAAGAAAGCACTTTGGATTTTTGGGTGTGCTGGGTGTGGTTGGTTTTGTTTGTTTGGCTAGTTTTTGCTGGTCGGGTTTTTGGTTTGGTTTTTTTTTTTTAACCAGGAGTAGATCTTGACTCTGATTGGGAACACTTCTAATGATGAGAGATGGGTGATTGCTTGTTTCAGATGCATGGTCTGTAGTAACACGACCAGTAGTTGCCCTGAAAGATTCTGACATGTTCCTATGATTTATGCACCCTGCCCTGTTATTTTGGAAAGGAAACTTGTTTACAGAAGGATCTGAAGTGCTTAGTCTTGGACATGCTGTTACAAATAATTTGTTGTTGACAGTAGCGAGGTCATGGGCTCTAGCAGCCATCAGGGAGTGAGAAATAAGAGGGTGGTAGAGTTGGCAGAAAACACAAGGACTGAGGAAGTGAAATGTGATGATGAAAAGTCTTGCAAACTCAGGTACATGCTCTGTGTACCAAGAGGAACAGATGCTCACTAACCAGGTAAGCACATGCTGTAATTGTTACAATATGTGGGTTTACATTCAAGAGTCTTAACCAGTGCATCCTCCTGTGTTAGGAAGTGTTCCTTCTAGGAATGAGTCTGATGGGGAAGGGAAGAAGGCATTGCTGTTAGTAGTGATAGGGCGTGCTTTACTCAACTCCCTGTCTGTAACAGGTAGCTAAGGAAGACCAGCTTTGATCTACAGTCAGAGGAAGCCACAATAAAAACTGACATCCTGTTGCCTTACCAGCTTCTGGTTTTAAAGTCATGTTTCTGACTAATTCATAACAAAGGAACTCCACTGTATGTAGAATGGCATAGAAATTGATGATGAGGTGTTCTGGCACCAGAGCTGGCGACCTGGATGCACTTTCATTAGTGAAGCAGCCTAAATAACTAAGGTTTCAGGCCCATCTCTGCAGCACTGAATTTTGAACTGTGTGTCTCTTCATGTCTTTCATGCTGTTGTGGCTTACTCTGTCGTGTAAAAGGCACGAAGCAGCGCTATTGCAGCAGACACTGAAAAGACACTTGCTGGAATTAAGCAGCTTCCTTTAAGGGAAGAGGAGCTCATGTGGCCTTGTTAACTTATATGGAAACAAGATGTGTTGTCAATCCCCTTAGCAGTAGGGGGCCAGAATAGTTAAATGTTCAAATTGAAGCTGATTGTAAAGTTCTGGTGCAGCAGTGGAACACAGGGGGATGTAGGGGTGTCTGTGGTGATCAGGTCATTGAGTTCCTCATGACAGGAAAATGTGTTGCATGCTATGGACGCTGGAGTTGTGCTTGGAGACTGCTCAGTGCCCTCACTGGGAGTAGCACTGCTAATGCTGAAATCCTCCTGCAGCCCCGGGCGGGACCCTGGCAGACGACATGACACGCACAAATGTCTGTGTGTTTGCAGCACAGGAAGACCTAGAAACCATGCAAGCATTTGCTCAGGTTAGTGCTGAAATTAGGGCAATTTCACTTAAAGCTGTTTAATGTCAAAAATTAAATGTTTGTGTAACTGTGTGTTAACATAAAAATAACGCATGGCTTTAAGCATACTGGAAGTGGTAGAGCAGCAGTGTTCCAAGCTGTGGTTGCTCTAAAGAGTTCAGACCTATTTTACTGAACTTAGTTTTTTAAAATTCAAATCAAATGATAGTTCACTGCAAAAGATAATGTACTCTATGTCTTTCTAGGTTTTTAACAAGCTAATCAGGCGTTACAAGTACCTGGAGAAAGGCTTTGAAGATGAAGTCAAAAAGGTATGGAGTGGTTTTTTTATCAGCAGACAAATAAACCTTCACATTCTGCTAGTTAATCACTCTGTAGAAGGGTTACATCATAAAATGGATTATTAAAATACAACCCTTCAAAGTTGTTCGTAGAAGAATGGCTGGCTTGCATGACTACAAGTGTCTGATGCTTCTGCTAGCGTGATGAAACAGAAGTGTTTAACACAGGCAGTGGCTAAAGTTTAGTAGGAGGTGGTAGTTTTATGCAGCTCTTCTTACTTGTGCTGCAGTTGCTGCTGTTCCTGAAAGGGTTCTCAGAATCTGAGCGGAACAAACTGGCCATGCTGACGGGTATTCTGCTTGCCAACGGGACACTCAATGCATCAATTCTCAACAGTCTCTACAATGAGAACTTGGTTAAAGAAGGTAAGTGTGGCCCAGCTCCTCCCTTAGGAAGGGAGACAGAACCATGACAAGTAGGTGGAAACTGTGATGACATTACATCCGTGCAGCTCACAAGCTTCCTCTGGTGATAGATTGACTACAGGATTAGCAAAGGTAAATGTGATGCCCCTGTGAACCTGGAAGATCTTGTTAAGACTTGAGAAAATGAGTTTCTTGAGAAAGCTTGTGTGTAAGACTTCCCTGCCTGACACTGGGGGCTGCCAACACTAGTGTTGCCCAGCAAGGCACCACTGTATTTTTGAGAGGGACCTTTCAGGATGCAAAATGTATGTCATGTCTTTAGGTTACTTCCTGAATTGCAGCAGGAAGAGTTGAGTTTAGTACAGGGAAGACTTTGTGATGCTGAGTTGTAGGAAAAGTCCAATTGGAGGCTGCAGTGTCCTTGGGCAGGGAGAGGTGTTGCAGACTGTGCTGGGGTTGGAAGCACAGCTGCTGCTCTGAGCACAGTCTGACAAATGAGGTACCCTGTACTCAGGCCTTATGGTTCCCTGTGTTTTGAATTTCACTAATAATAGAACTATTCTGACTGCACAGGTGTTTCTGCAGCTTTTGCAGTCAAGCTGTTCAAATCATGGATAAATGAGAAAGATATCAATGCAGTGGCTGTCAGTCTTCGCAAGGTAAACATGGACAACAGGCTCATGGTGAGTACCACTGGAACCACTCTGCTGTTCCATAAGCCAGTTTTGTGAGCAGCATTTGCCAGCAAAGTACTCAACACACATTTCTTTTACAAGAGAGTTGTAAAACTTCGTTTTCAGGAACTCTTCCCAGCCAACAAACAAAGTGTTGAACACTTCTCCAAGTACTTCACTGAAGCAGGACTAAAGGAACTGTCTGAGTACGTTCGGAACCAGCAATCCATAGGAGCTCGGAAGGAGCTGCAGAAGGAGCTGCAAGAGCAGATGTCACGGGGAGATCCATTCAAGGATGTAGGTGTTTGTACACGAGGTGCACGTGCTTTCTGTGCCTGTGTCTCTTTCATACTGAACTTAGCTCTCACTGGGAACTGAAATGGTGAACTGGGGGGGGGGGGTTGATATCAGCTTTGTGGTCTTTCCTTAATGTCCTCAATCCTGCTGTATGATCAGGAAGGTTGGTTGTCATTCTGAAACCTTCTGGGTTACCTTTAGAAGAGAAGTTTTAATTTAGCTTAGTGCCATAAGTGGCCTCTCTGCTTACTCTTACTTTCCTGGCAGATCATCTTGTACGTGAAGGAGGAGATGAAGAAAAACAACATCTCAGAACAGACTGTGGTAACCATAATCTGGTCAAGTGTAATGAGCACAGTGGAGTGGAACAAAAAGGAGGAGCTGGTAGCAGAGCAAGCCATTAAGCATTTGAAGGTATTGTAACTTCAGTACAGTACTTTTGCACCCCTTAGGCAGAGCCTGTTTTTCCTTCTGTCTGCAGTTCCATTTTAAATGTTAAAGCTACAACTCTGCTAGTGCAGAGACAGAATGAGATGGGGAATTCTCCCCCTTACGAGGAGCATTACAGGCCTAGGGCCTGAGGCAGAGGCAGTGACTGCTGCAGAGCTGTTCTGGGGTGGGGCTGTGGTTTGCAAATTTCTAAGCAGTGGCTGATGGAAACTGCAAAACCAGCTTTAGTCAGGTGGTAAATAAGAAGTGTTCTGTGTGTGCCAATCTGATGTTCTTGTTACAGCAATACAGCCCTCTACTTGCTGCCTTCACCACCCAAGGTCAGTCAGAGCTGACTCTTCTGTTGAAGATTCAGGAGTATTGTTATGACAACATTCACTTCATGAAGGCCTTCCAGAAAATAGTGGTGCTTTTCTACAAAGGTAACTTTGTGGGGTTGTAGTTCTGGGGGTTTGTAGGTTTTTGGAGGGGCTGGATTTGGTTGGTTGGGTTTTTTAAAGTTTCTGAAACAGGGGAGATCAGTGCTACAAGATTGCACTTCCTGAGCTAAAGAATTTTCTACCTCATGTTAGTAAAAATGCAGAGGTGCATGTGGCTGGCCCTTTGCACATGGGGAAGTGCAAGACAAAGATGCTGCCTGTCTACAGTAGATCTGCTTAAGAGTTGCAGAACAAAGCTAAATTTAGATTTTTAAGGCATTTTGTTAAGTTCCATGATCGTTTATTCTTCTTAGTTCTCTTAAACATTGAGTGTGAGCAGCTGAAGATTGAGACCACCAATATGTTTCAGGCTCTTTTTAAATGTCTGATAAAAGGTGGTACTGAAAAAAACTAAGCTGTGCACCTATGGAAACTTGTTAAACTGAAGACTGTACTGTACTTGTAAAATCTAAACACCTGTACCACAGGAAGTGTTTACTTTGGACTTCAACAGAATTTGCATCTGTTCTTAGCTGTTAACTGAACCTTTGCTTAGTGTGCCATCTCAAATAACTCTAAAACACTCCAGACTGTTAGTGGGAGTGAAAGTGTAGCTCCTGGATACAGTACTGAGGAAACTCCCAGCATGAGGAACCATCCAAAATGCCTGGTTGTCTGAATTTCAAAGCTGAAGGCACTCCTAGTGCAGGTCTGTCCAGCTGTACCCAGAGGAGTACATGATGTTCCTAGGAGAGGAAGCAAAGGCTGCAATCAGGTTCTCAGCAGTTCACTGTGTTAACACTGCTCTTGTCCATCTTTACAGCTGAAGTTCTGAGTGAAGAACCCATCCTCAAGTGGTATAAAGATGCCCATCTTGCAAAAGGAAAGAGTGTTTTTCTGGAGCAGATGAAGAAGTTTGTTGAATGGCTCAAGAATGCTGAAGAAGGTAACCATCAGCTTAGCTCCTATGTGAAGTTTGTTCATTTTGGGAATCCTAATGCAAATAATGCTGTGTTTGGGAGTGGAGGATGTTAATTGCCCCTCTGAGACTAGTGTGCCTCCTCCCCTGGTCCTGGCTAGAAAAGCCTGCCAGGACAATCCCTGTGGCTCCAGCAGCAGCTGTTTTGCAGGATGCAGCGCAGCAGCTGAGCTCAGGGCTGGGGGCTGAGCCATGGCCAGGCTGCTGATGAGGTCTCTCTGTTGCAGAGTCGGAGTCTGAAGCTGAAGAGGGCGACTGACCTGTGAAACTCTGGCCTCAGTAAAGCAAACAGGAGCTGTAGATAAGTGTCATGTCTCATGTGTCCTTCTGATTCTTACATCCTACCTCCCTGTATCAAGCATGATATAAGGGCTCTCATGGCAATTTATTTTAACTGTTTTCTATAGTTAATGGAATACTGGATTTAGTTTTTAAAACCATGTTCAAGTAGCTTACAGGAGCTGTTAAATTTGACTCTTAACCTGCATTTGTCCTTTCAGTTACCTTCTACCTCCTGTATTTTCTACTGTAATAATGTAATATAAGGCCTTCCACGGTGAAATCCATGTCATCTGTTGGGATTTCTGTCTGTATTGGAGTAGATGTGATATGGTGAATGAGACCTAGGGCAGTCTGCTTGCAAATTAAACTACAAAAAAGCCTCCCAAGGGAAGAGGCAATGGCTTGTGTGGCACTGCAGTCTGTACCACCAAATAGCCCCTGTCATAGGTGGTTGTCCATGTCCCCAAGTACTTTGTCATCCCTTTACCAGACTTCCAGCATAAAGCAATCCTCTATTCCAGCTGTGGGGAAGGTGGGAGCCCCGCTGCTGGAGAGAAGCTGTTGTGGTGGCAGGAATTGGTTACCATGCTGGGGCATGAAGAGTGGCATCTCTGAGCCTGCTGGCTGTCACAGCTGGTGGCCCATGTTCCTGAGGGACTGTCAGGTGCCCCTGCAGCTCTTGGGATGCCTTCCTTTTGCCTTTCCCTCATGGAAGCACAAGCAGTGCTGTTCCACACAGAGCTGCCCAGCAGCTTTCTTGAGCCAGGCACTGCTGCTGACAGGGCTGGGGCAGGGGAGCAGCTGCTTTGTGCTGCTCTGTAAATGCACAGCTGCTGCAACCTAAGGCAGCCAAAACACCACCCCTCCCCCTCTGAGGTTTAGAGATTCTTTTATGCTGGCAGCTCACACGCCAAACCAAACAACTTATCTGCTCCCTGAAACTTTAATTCCTAATGGAAATTCTCAGGACAGTTCAATTCAGAAAGAATGGGGAAAAAAAGGTGAAGTCTATACTGTTGTAAGCTAACAGTAAGCATTAACTGAAGTACTGGTAACCAGAGTACACCTACTAAAATAAATGAAAAAATTGGTCATCACAATGCAATCTGTTCAATACTACAGTGATCTTCCTTACTTTGTAACTTTTTTTTTAAGCAAATAAAGGCCATCCTTACACTTAATGCAAAGAGCTGTCTCTGCTCCTTATTTGAAAAGAAAGCAAAGCACCACTGATACTACAGAGTACAAAGCAGTGCTACGTCTTTTGCCTAATTCAAGGACTGTTGAATAAAATTAAATTAAAATACTACTTTGTTGCTATTAGGGTGCTCTTTTCCATGTTGAAAGTGCTAACATCCCCTGAGTTTGAAAACCAGGTTCATCTGTACATTAAGTAAGTTTTATGTCAGTATTTGGTAAGTATCCAAGAAGTCAGACTAAAAAGTAAGGCAGTTACAATATAACCAAATGTTTAAGTTTCTTTGGTCCCTGTGACTCAGCCTGCTTAGCTACAGGAGCCTGTGCCCTCTTTCTGCCTTTCAATGGAGAGAAGAAAGAAAAGTGCTGCACGATAAGAGCAGTGCTTGTTTGCAACACAATCCAGCATCTTCTGAACCACAGCAAAGAGGTTCTTGTGGTCAGAATCCTGCCGTGTCATGAATGCCTTCATGGAAATAAAATAATGTTTCGTTGTTTATCTCAGTTATGCTTAAAGCTTCTGTCCTCAAGAGCATTTTCCCTGTCGCATCTTACCTTCAGTGCTGACAAGTATCTGCCACCAGGATTTTGTTCATCCCAGTCCAGGTGTCCTTGACAGAAAAATTTTCATTTCTTTAGACAAACAAACAATTTTTTAATTTGATATTCTGTTTTGGCCCTTCAGTAGAAGTTTACCAACATTTGTGTTTGCAACTTGGGAACTGATCTGGGAATAGTCCACCAGAGCAGCCAGCTTGTCAAAGAGATGACTGGGTCTTAAATCTAATTGAAAAGAAAACCACAGCAGTCCAGTACATAAAAATATAATTACCTGCTTTTCTTTGCCATGTGATATGGAAAAGACCCCAGTTCCTTGCCATGGCTCTGAAGGAAATCCAGAGAGACATTTTTGTTCATTGTTAGAGGAAGTTATCAATATCAGGAAGTTATCCGTTTTCACTGTACCCTGCAATCAATAATCACTTTCAGATTAAGGAAGAAAGAGGCAGTACTGATCTGTTTCCTGAAGTAAGGTGGAGTGTACTAGGTTTTGGCCCTTGAGGTTTTTTCCCCTTGACCCTCTTTTTTTTTTTAACTTTGTTGATTAATCTCAAGTTTCAGCAACACTGTCAAGATGAGATATTTGAATTTTTTGATGGTGACAGATGAAGCTACATCTGTTACTAGCATGGCTTGTAAATTACAAATGTTAAGAAGGTGATCCTTCACACCAAGCTGCTGCCAAAATGTTGACTGAAAGCAATGTGTAGAAATGTTCTGTTCATACCGTTCCCTTGTGCCCACATCTCTTCAATGTGGCACCACGGAGGAAGGCAGCTGAAGTTCTTGCATAAATCATTCTCCTAAATCCCTGCCTCTCCAGCATATTTTGACCCACCTGAGGAGAATTACAGATGCTGCATCATCCTAAGGTTCACAGTAACTTACAGGAACTAGTGCTGCTCCAAGGTAGCAGTCCATGAGAATGCACTGCACTCCTAACATGTCATGGCTGTGACTGTCCCAGTGCTGTGAAAGGATTCAGAAGGTTCTTGTTTGATACCAGACTCCAAACCAGTCCAAGAGCTCAAGAAAGAGAGCACTGTGCTGCTGGAGCACAGTTCCATGCATGTGACACCTCTCAAATGAGAGTGCAGCCTAACAGGCTGCTGTGGCCACAGCTCACTGCAGGAGCTCTGCACTGGCCTGGGGGCAGCAAAGTGTCTGATGCTTATCCTCAAATACTGCACACCCAAAGCCCATAGCCCTCATCTCTGACTGAAGGCAAAGGTGCCATAATTTTCTATTATTTTCACAGCTACACGTCTGCCTCTCCTGAAGAGATGGGATCGAACAGTGATTAGAAGAGTGATTAGATGAGCAACTATTTCTAATGAATATTCAGATATACATTGTTAATGGCAACCTTTTCTAAAAAGGTAGTTTTTTAGTACATGCTGACAATATAGCCAACGTTCATCTATGCATAAAATACTAAAATTTTAAATATCAATTCTGAAAACATACACCTTATTATACATCCACCTTATACCTTATTATTGTTCCTAGAAATAAAAAACCCCACCCATCACCCTGTGGTATTTATGTATGCTATTAAAAATGCAAAGCAAACCAAAATAGACTTAAGGATTACCATTGAAGCTATTCTAGATTATTGTTTAAACTGTAAATATCTACTTGGACAACTGGTAATAGACAACTCTCATCAAGGCTGCAAATACTCTCATCAGCAAATGCTGCACATTTACAGTGAAAAAAGGAAAATAAAAAAATGCAAGTTCTACAGAATAACAATCCCCACTCCCAAAGAAAAAAAGAAAAACAAAAGTCTTCTAAAAGCTCCCTCAGATCTTGCATTAAAAGCACTTACTGTACTGGTTTTGTGTGGCCAGGTTTTGGTAGCTGGCGGGACTTAGAGGGTTGGCTTCTGAGAGATGCTGCCAGAAGTTTCTCCCTGTGTCTGACAGAGCCAATGCCAGCTTTCTCCAGGACACAGGCAGCTGCAGGACAGGGGTGCCAGTGGCCACGGCTGGGCCAAGCAGAGATGGTGCTAACACCTCTGTGATAACGTATTTAGGAAGGAAAAAAAAGTTATGGCACCGATGTAATTGCACTCAGAGAACATGAGGAAGAGAATATGGTGAGAATATGAGGAAGAGAACGAGAGGAACAGCCAAGGTCAGTAGAGAAGGAAGGGCAGGAGGTGCCCCAGGTGCAGGAGCCAAGATTCCCCTGCAGCCCATGGTGAGGCAGCTGTGCCCTTGCAGCCCAGGGAGCCCAGGGATGCAGCCTGTGGAGGACACCACACCAGAGCAGGTGGATTCCTGAAAGAAGGCTGTGACTCCAGGGGAAGCCTGTGCTTGAGCAGGCAGGGACCTGTGGAGCTGTAGAGAGGAACCCACTGGAGCAGGTTTCCTGGCAGACCTGTGATCCCATGGGGAAGCACTGGAACAGGCTGTGCCTGAAGACTGCTCCTCACAGAAAGGGAGCCGTGCTGGAAAGGTTCATGGAGAACTGTCTCCTCTGGGAGGGACCCCATGCTGGAGCCAGGAATGGACTCTTCTCCCTGAGCAGGGACAGAAATAACTTGTGATACAGTGAATGTGCTCCCATTCCCTGTCTCCCTCCACTGCCTGGAAAGGAGGGAGGGAGGGGAGGATGATGCTATTAAGATTTTACTTTTCAGTATCCTGTTCTGATTTTGACTGGTAATAAATTCAGTTAATATCCCCAAGTCGAGTCTGTTTTGCCTCTGATGGTATTGGGTGAGGATCTCTCCCTGATCTCATTTTGTGAACCTTTTGTTCCATTTTTTTCTCCCTAGTCCAGCTGTGGAGAGCAGTGACAGAGTGGGTGTGGTTTGGTGGGCGTCTGTCACCCAGCAAGGGTCAACCCACCACATCTATCTAAGAAGTTAATAAAGTCTGAAAAATATTCTATGCATCTTGCACTTAGTACATCTCTGAGAGATCAGATCACCCTCTGCATTCTTGCATATTTTCCTTCAATAGCTCTTCTGGAACAGCAGCCAGACTGAGCAGCCAGTCAATGAACTCAAGTGAATTCAGGTCACAAAACAATTCATTCAGCAGGGAGATACTCAGGCATTCAGACACACACCAGGCCACAAACAGCAGGAGCAATTTCAAATTCAGTCCCTGGAAATCCACATAGTTTATGTTACAGGAGGAAAACATGGCAAGAAACAGATTTTCAGGTGAGATACTCAAAGTAGGAAAGCAACAAAAAATTACAATTATTTTTCTTTTAAAAGATTGGTTGACTGAATTTTACTTTATGATTTCAGGACCCCTATATTTTTCTTAAAGCATAGGGATTTAATAATTATCTTTTAGATATATATACACACATACATATTTTTAAAGAGTCTTGTGTCCAAATTAAACTAGCCATCTTAGGCAATCAAGATTAAATAACTTGTATGAATCTTTGGCAAGAAGCTATTTTTTTAAATCATAAAAGATATATGTTTGCTTTATGCTGTCTTGGCTTAAGATCTTAATTCAATTTACAAGTCCAATCTTCAGGTTTTTTAACAGTGTAACAAAAATCAGAAAACCCACCCTGCTAGTGGGAAGGCATCATCCATATTTAATTCTACAAATTTCTCACTGATACTTGAAAAAGTCAGTCTGGCATAACCCCCTTGCTCTTTCAGTGATACTTAATCAAAATCTAATTTAAAAGCGTGTCCTTGCATTTTAGAGTAGAAGCAAATGCTTGTCGTATTATAAATTTTGAAGGCATGAAAGTGATGTCTGTATTTCAAGTACTCCAGTTGATGGCTATTGTTCATTAATCTGCTCAAATATATTCAGTGAACAAATAGCATGTTCTGTGGTATCACAAGCATATGTACAAATGATACATTTTCACTGAAGGAAATGCAATCCTAGCAAAAACCAGTCAGCTACTAAAAGGAATAAACTTCTATTATCCACAGAATTCCCCCAGACCCAACAATTATTACTGACAGATGAGAATCTATCTTCTTAAAATAAAATAAAAAAAACCAAACTAAATTAAAATTGGTCCTATCACCTGTGGAGGTTTAGTATGACATGTATTATAAAGTGTCTTGTATTTCCTTTTGCCACCAGCTGTCCCATTAGACCAGATCCTTGGCTACTAGGATGCCCAGTGTCACCTCCTTCCTCGGACTTGTGATTGCAAACTTCAAAACTGTGTCATTGACAACAGCCTCTTTCATTCACAGAATTGGTTTCTGAATCATTACTACAAAAACAAAAAGATCCAGTAAATGTAACTAAAATCATTCTAGTGCCCCTATGAAGGCAGCTTTTTATTTTAAGCTGCACGACATCTTTCTTGAAATACCTTCAACTCAAAAATTAATCTGGTATCACATGACCTGATCAGAATAATAAAATCTTAAAACATGCCTGCTGATATCAGAAGTCCAGAAGTTTTTTACCTGCCAGGAGTTTCAGAAAGATGGTTGCAGCACTTTTTCTCCTGTGCACTTCAGAATGGCATCCCTTTTCCATTCTTAGCACTGCTGCACCTTCTGCAAAGTGTTCTTTTTCTTTTATCCCTCTCAGGACTATTAGTTTGACTGGAATTCCCCAAGTGTAACAAACATATTTTACTCTTTGAATTACAATCCACAGACAAACACTTAATTTTCAAAGCCATTAATTATCAAATTTAAACTATAATGACTGTGTTTTTCCTCAACATCCCTGTTTTTGGATTTTTTCTCTGCTCCTTCTTCCAAGTTATTTTTTCATTCAAGAGCTTTTTTCAAGTTAATTATTTTTGACAGGGGAACTTAAACCTATATCCTTCTTTAAAAAAGCATTTTAAAGACACAGTGTGGCTCGGACACTCCTGCCAACCTCCTCAGGCCCTCAGTGCTACATTACCCTAGGAAGAAGAAAGGCTTCTGTGTGCTTAACAAGGGCAAATATTGCCCGGGGGGTTTTCAAGATTTCAGTGAAGTTTTTCTGTGGGAGACAATAAAACTCGGGTTATCTCCCTGCCAGGCTGCCCATGAGGAAAAGCGAGCTAACTCCTCACCGTTTCAGCCCCAAGCCGAGTGCAGCGCCTCAGGCCGGAGCGCGGCGGCCGCTGCCGGCCCCTCAGGCCCCGGGCGGGCGGGCGGAGCGAGGGGGACGCGGGCCCGGAATCCCCGCCCCGGCGAAAGGCGCCGTGCTCGGCCCGAGCAGGGGCTCCGGGAGAGGCTCCGGGCCCGCCGCAGCGGCCGAGGCCATTTTCTGCCCGCCCGAGCAGGCGCCGCAGAGAACATGGCGGCCTGAGGGGGCGGGCGGTGGTGGGGGGGCGAATGGGGACTCCGAACTGCGGAATGGCGATTGCTTACCCTGCTAATCGTCTCTGCACTGACCTGCACACGGCTAGCGCTCCTCTGGAATCGCCTTACCGTATCTGACAGTCAGAATACAATTTTGAAAAGTTTGTTTGTAATTTTGTCCCAATAGGATCACTCTCCTTTCAACCCACAACATTAGACTAAAAAAAAAAAAAATAAAAGTATCTACATTTAACGTATGTCCTCCAGAGAGCAAAATACTTGGTGCTGCTGCATTTCATACTTTCTATGTAACAACAGCCTTCTCTTTCTGGAGGAAAAAAATACCTGAAATTGTTTCCAGTTCAGTACAATTTTAAATTATTAATTATTTACAGTTCTTTTTGCACTGTAGGAAATTCCCCAGTATGTCCTTCCTCCTGCACATCAGTCAAGTGTGCCATTGCACGGTTCTGTTTACCTGCTACTGCTGCTGGTTATAAGAGATGAGCACAGAGCTAAAAGAATAAAATCCTTTACCTGACTGAAGCATTACACTAAAACATATTAAGCCTGGAACAAGGGCTGGGAGCTTAAAGCAACATTCCATGAAGAATATAGAAACTTCGTCCCCTCGAGCAAGTATTGATTAACTCTTCTCATTACCTCAGTAATCTGTACCTGGCATACCTTTGCCTTTCTTTTGCAAATGAGTTCTTATTATATTAAGAGGGCAAGTCTCCAAATAATGATCTGAAGCTCACTGCAAGTCAGCTGGATCTTGAGCCTCCCTAGGGTTACAAATCATATATATAAGAATGGGCTTTGCTAAGGGATGCTCACTGAGTGAAAACAGAATTAGGGGAAGAAGTCCAAAATGGCTCTTATTTGTTCAACACCATGTGACCACAGCCTTTTTGACAGTGCTCTTTATTTTGTTTATCCCCCCCTCTTTGTGCAAAAAAATCATGAAAAACAAGCTATGGTAAATCCATGTTACCTAGTTTCAGTCAACAGCTATGTAAGGACGGAAATACTTACTCTTTCATAGCAATAGTGTTGTGCCAGAAGCAGAAGAAGTTACTCCCATCTGTCTTTTGGGAAGGCTAAAGACGTTATCATTCCAACACAGCAGCACAAAAGCAAACACTCCTTTAAATATGTTCTTTAATCTTCTGGAAGGGAAAGGTTTCATCTGTTTATGACACTGCTCTCACCTAGGGAAAAAAAAATGTGTATCTTACTTTACTCTCTTGAGAAAACTGAGTAAGGAAGATGACACTTTATGAGAAAGTTTAACAAAACTGGTAGCATGAAATTATAGAAAGGACATTGCTTTAACATAACATCACTCAGAAAGATAATGCAAAAACCAAAGATTAGAAAAAAAAATTAAAGCTTTTTTATTTTACAAGTATAAAAAACAATGCTTAAAAACCAAAATGCTGGAAGATACTCTGGAAAATGTAGCTCCTGAAGCAGAAGACTTCTCTGTCACAACTCCCAAACAACATTAAAGATCCTGAAAATTCTGCATTCAATAAGCAAAGATATGATCCAGCTGAAGTAACCCTTTTTGATGGCTCTTTAAACCCCATAATCTGGGAATTATCTGACCAGTCTCTGCAGAATGTGTTGCAGCATTCTGTGGCTACAGAGCAAAGGGGTTGGCATGAATTGTAATGTCTTTAATGCGAACATCATTAAGAGGTCGATAGGTTTTCTCATTCACGGGCAGCTTCTCCAGCTCATCCAGGGTCTCCAAGCCATCAATAACTCTGCAAGAAAAACACAAGTGCTAGAAATTGCCTTCTAGTAATGATTTAAATTTCATAGTTGAGGTATCTCAAAACATTTTACAGTCAAGTATCCCAAGGCAAGGACTTTGCAAGCAAACGATACAAAATAAGACAACCAAAATATTTTATGTGGCAAATAACGTATTTTGAAAGGAAATATTAAGCATCCGTGACAGACTCCGAGAAGAAGTTCAAGCATTTGCACATGCCCTGAAATACTCAGGTCCTTCCCACACTCTGACAGAGGTGTGCAGTTGAATCACTTACTTTCCAAACACCGTGTACTTCATGTCCAGGTGTGGCTGTTTGCCATAAGTGATGAAGAACTGTGATCCATTGGTGTTGGGACCATTGTTTGCCATGGAAACTACCCCACGGACACTGTGCTGAACAAGAGGAAAAACCTCAGCATGAATACACATCTGTGAAACCAGAACTAACCTGAGCAAAGTGCTCTATGGCCTAGAGCTCTTCCTCAATACCATTATTCAGAACAAATCTTGGTTGCTAATATATTCTATCAGAATCAGTAATTAGCTCCTCAAAATGGCTCTTACAGTGAAAAATTACTTCTTTGCCTTCAGTGCATGAAAAATGCTGTCAGAAATTCTTTTTGCTTCTGTCTTCTGTGATGAGAACACTCAAACCTTACTTGCCAAACACAGATATGCCTGCTCCTATTTTAATAATAAGCTATTGTTCTCCGACCAAGAGAAAATTATTGTAGAGAAAATTCAAATGAAAATGTAAGTGCATATTGAGAGCACAGAAATACCTTTAGATATTCACTGAATTCATCTTCAAACTTCTTGCCCCAGATGCTGTTACCTCCTTTCCCAGTGCCTGACAAAGAAGCACCACAGTAGAAATTATGGGATTTTCAGACTGAAGAATCCAGAAATTATGTTCTGTTACAGCATTTTACAACAAAGACCCTGGACAGCCTGCAATTAGTTTGAGGCAGGTACTTGACACTGCGCTAAGACATAACTCTACATAAGGAACCTGTTAAGCAGCAGAACAAGACACTGACATATCCTCAAATTAAATTCAGTATAAGCATGAACAGACACAACTGAATCAGCTTTCTCCCAGACAGCTGACACCGTCTGCGACATTTTCCCCAAATGCTTTAGATGCAGCCTTTCAGGAAGAAACCACACAAAGCTCAGTAGTACCTGCTTCTACTTTAGTCAACAGAACCATCATATTTAGTGGAAACAGTTGGTAAAACTCAAGTTTGTAGAAAGCATGATTACTTAAAATTGGGGTAATGCCTGCACTTCTGTAAGCCCACCACAAAAAATAATCTCATCATAAAAAACACTTATCAACAATACAATAACTCTTATATTTTTACTTTACTTACATTTTGGTTTTAATATGCATAATTCCTATTTATTTCCTTACATTTTATTTTTATGTACATTTTTTCCACAGAAAAACCCAGACAGAAGAATTTACCTAGTGGATCCCCTGTCTGAACCATGAAGCCCTTTATATTTCGGTGAAATACGCATCCATTGTAGTAGTTACTAGCACAAAGAGCCAGGAAATTCTACAAAAATCAAACAAACCATATTAACAAACAACTGAAAAATAGTATTATCTTACTAAAATGGCAGCATTGGCAAGACCAGTGCTTTTATCTCTGCTTGGCTTTGTGACCATGCGAATTCCACAGAGTATTGCCACAGAGTAGTCATAAAGAAATCATAGCTAAAAAACTCCTTTGATAGTGTCACACACAAAGAATAAAAAGCTTTCAGTGCAAGGCTGTCTGACTTGAGGAACAAACAAGAAGTCTAAGACATGCTCTCAAGTATCATTCCCATTCAGCAATTTTATTTGTCACGTGTAATTTTGTAATCAATAACTTAATGCCTCAGCTTTTTCATTAGAATAAATGAAATTTATTTCAATTTCAGTTTATTGCAAAAATTCAAAACTGGGGTTCCTGACAAACTGTGAGTGAGTCTCACTCTTTCAAAGTAAAATCAAGTCTGTGAGGGTATGAGAAAACCCATGGAAATTTGGGAATCGCATGCTAGGTGCTGTATTTCGCCTTAAATAAAGCACCTTAAAGGTGCTGTATTTCCCCTGTATTTCTCACTTTGGGAGATGGTGGAACTTCAAAAGAAGCACCCTTAAATAAACCTTATCAAGAGAGAAACAGGCATGAAAGTCCAGGCAGTATGACAGAGTGGACAAGTTCCAGAGTGGAACAGACACTGCACCACCTTAAAATGTTGGTATTGCATTACATGAAAAGGTGAAATTGCAAAAGCCACTTCACCTCCTCCACAGTCTTCACTATTTCTACTGCTTTGTTTCACCACTAGGCAATCCTACTCCTGGTACATGACTTACTTCACAAGTCTTTGGAGTACGCTCACAGAATAGTTCAATTTTAATATCTCCCACATCAGTATGCAGCGTGACAGCCTGAGCAAAAGGCAGAAAACAAGAACTAAATCAGCAATAAAATACTAACAGACACTGTTTTATTTCCCAGCCCCATCAAGAACATAAGCAAGTTTGCACTGCATATAACCACTGTTTCAACATTTGGCCATAAGCAAGGCTACTGTCACAACCAATCTGCATTTCCAGTAAAATCACCAGAAAGCACTCGGTTTCATCTCGTTTCAGGACAAATCAAGTTTGCCATGGTAATGCAGTAGCTGTTGCATGCTGTTACACTCCAGAAATACATTATTCATTTGCAAACAGGACCTACTCAGTCACTTGAACGTAAAGGTGAAAAATCAGTATTATATCTGTTTTGGATGGTGCACACACCTTGCTGCTTTATAACTAGAGGAGTAACTGATGTCTGCAGCCTTTTGATTAATAAGGCTAGTTGGGAATGGCAGCATATATAATGTGCCTTCACAGACAAGTAAATCTGCAAATTAACTTGCTTTTCTTAAGAATTTATAAGTTACCTTCATAAAATTTAAAGCCAGTTACCCAGTGACCTAATCACATTTATCTCTATAGGCCATATATATCACAGTGCTTTATGGGAAGTGCTAAACTATGCAAAAACAATTACTGTGGGGATAATCCTATAGCAAAACTAATAAAAATCAGCATCACACTGATACTGGCATACTGCTCCAAAAGCATACAAGCAAAGGAGATAGCTGTCCACAATGTCCACGAAGATGCTATAGAAGGTGTATGATCAGTTTAAGACATATATAGTCTTATCTCTATTTCTCAAATTACTATACTTTTAAAAAAGCCCACGAGTGCAGAGGTTTTCATATGTTGAAGCAAAGGTATGTTCTTGCAACTAGACTAATGCTTCCGTGGCAAAAGAAACCAAACTAGATTATCAAATACATGCCAAAGTAGCATTAAAATCTGGGATCTCTAAAGTGAAAGCATAATTAAGTTTTAGACTGATGTAAATCAACCTGTTTTCCTTTTCACAGTATCTTTTTTTATAAGTTTGAAATTAAAACCCTGAACTTTTCATGACAAACTCCTCACAGCATCAGAGTAAAACATGTATTCCTCTGAGATGGAGAGCAGCTATTTGCTTTCCAAGAGATGATCATTTCAGAAAACATATAAAATGTGCTTTTATTCTTACCATGCCTGCTCATCAAAATCTGAGGTAGCCTTCTATACAGCGATTTCCTATAAACATAAGAAATTTGTTGGTTTTTTTTTCCTGCCAATTCCCATTTGGCTTTGATTCTAAAATATTTGTTGGTTACATGCTTTTACACCACACATTTCTACGGTGCCATTCCAGTGACTCTGTGGCTAAATTTTTGCATTAAGCAACTACACAGCATATAAAGAATGAAAAATTACTAGAAAAAGACCACTTGGAGAACGGAGAAGAGGGCAAAAAACTCTTTCCTAGGATGAAAATTTAAACTAAGCAATCAGTTTTTGCAAATATTATGGCAGCTGGCAGAATAGTAGAGAGCAGAAATTCACAACTAAAAGCCACATGCCAGTACCTAACAGAAGTGTGATTTGGGGCGAACTCGTGACAGCTGTGAGTGCCTGCAACAGTCAGGTAACTGCACCCAATCAGACATTTTAAATCTTTGTAATACTTTCAAATGAAATGTTTAGAATGCCGGCGATAAAACCGCGGCTGCGTAGAAGCCGAGAGATTTACGCGGTAATAGCTCCTCTATACACCCGCCCTCGCCGGTGAAACCCCGGCCCCGTGTCCCCACCTCAACTCACCTGCCCCCGGCTCCCCTCACCCAGGGCAGCCGCAGCTACCGCTCCCTCCCTGCCCGAGGTACCGCCACCGAAATGCCGCGCACAGAACAGGCTCCGAGAATGCCTTAACCTGCGGGGCTGATGCAGACCACCCCCGCCGGGGAGAAGCGGCTGCTCTCCCGCGGGCCTCAGCTCACGGCCGGCGGAACGGAGGGGCCGCCCCAGCCCCGCTGAGCGCGGCGGAAGCGGCGGGGCCAAGCGCAGGTCCCGCCCCGCAGCGCCGGCCCTGCTCCGGCGGGAGGTGAGCGCGGTGCGGCGGGAGCCCCGGGCCGGGGAGGGCGCCCGGTGCCGGGTGGTGCCGGGTGGTGCCGGGTGGTGCCGGGGGTGGGCGGGCAGGCAGGCAGGCAGGCAGGCGCACTGACCGGCGGCGGGGCAGCGTCCGCAACCCGAGCGGCCGTGGCTGCTGTTTGGGCGGCGGGTTCCCCAGACCTAGGCCGGCCTGTGTTTGCCCCGCACAGGTCCCCGCATGCCGCTGCTCCGCTCGCCTCTCCAGCGCGTCCGTGCCTCGGGCCGCCCGCCCGTACGCGCCCTCATGAACCTCCGGGAGCTCGTTTCTGCCCTGAATGACTTCGCATCCCCCGCTCTGGCTGAAAGCTGGGACAATGTGGGATTGCTGGTGGAACCAAGTCCTCCCCACACTGTGAACACCCTTTTCCTCACTAACGACCTCACTGAGGAGGTGATGGAAGAGGCAGTGCAGAAGAAAGCGGACCTCGTTCTTTCTTACCACCCTCCTATATTCGCACCGCTCAAGCGAGTAACGTGGAAAACCTGGAAGGAACGGCTGGTGGTCCGAGCCTTGGAGAACAGAATCGGGATTTATTCTCCACATACGGCATACGATGCCATACCTCACGGAGTTAATAACTGGCTAACAAAGGGACTGGGTGAGATTCTGTTAAGAACACACAAATTATAATTATTAAAGATGTATGCTATTTTAGGTGGGATCTTTCATCATTTGCCTTCCAGCTTTTACAGGTGTGATTTGAGGACTGTTTTTATTTTTCTTAATATTTTTATGGTACTGTAACCTTAAATACATTTTAGGACATTTATCTTGGTGGTACATGCCAGATAACAAACACAAGAGGATATTTTCAAATGCATGACTCTGCTATTGGATGTATCCGGAACTGGTGGAGCATATTTATTGTCCACTGTGGTTGCAATAATATCACTGACTTTAAATCACCACCTTTCATTTATAAAGTACAACATCTCAATGTTTGCAAAGTATTTAAACTATGTGAAATTATTTTAGATTTTTATTCTGTATTGTGGCTCACAGATTACAATAGCTGCATCTTTTCCAGCCTGTCATACAAACTAGGAACTCTTTTTGGTTTTGTACAATCCTTAGGATGAAACTGATGGCATTAAGAATGGCAAATAATACATATCCATCAGCTTCTTTGGACTTAAGATAGACTGTGCCTAATGGAGACAGGAGAATGAAAAGCCCTCAGTTCTGGTCAGGAAAAAAGGATTTGAGTGCAAAATTTGCATCTTTGTGCCACATCTCTTTAAGATAAATGCTAAAACAGTGTTAGAATACTTACCCTGCTTTATAAGCCAGCAATCTTGTACTGTTTTCTCAGGCACCTGTACTTCTGTCCCACTGCATCCATCAACTGCGCCAAGCTCTCCAGCTGAGGGCACTCACCGGGTAGAATTCTGTGCAGATGCTGAGCATCTGGATGCAGTCCTGTCCAAAATCAAAGACATCCCAGAGACCTCTTGTCTCACTACTCTCCCAGTCAGGTATTTGCTCCACTCTCTAGTGTTGTATTCTTCCTATTGTTTGAAACAATAAGTTGCTGTAATTGTATTTTCCTTTCTAATAATTTTGTTCCTCTGTGCATTGCTGCTGTATTTTCCAGCAATAGAATGAGAAACTCAAGGAATGATCGTCCCTCTCTGGGCAATCTATGTCATGCTAAATGGTAATAGCAACTCAAGTCTAGCATCACACAGATTAGGGGTGTTAAAGAAGAGTATTAACAGGAAATTTGATGAGGACAGTTGAGTTAAGTTCCCTTATTTGTTTCTTCCAAGACAAGTTTAGGCTTGAAATTACAATACTGCCTTTTTTTCCTTTCTCAGCAGTAGAACAGCCACTGGGATAAAATAATAATTATAATGCTGTAATATAGTAATTACAATGCCAAAATTTTACCTAGCTTCTTAACAAGCACCAGGCATGTCTTTCTTCAGGGTTGAAGGTGAGGAACAAACACGAGTCAGTCTGAACTGCTCTCAGAAAGCACTGCTGGAGGTGGTGGCATTATTGTCCCTGAACAGCCTACTTTATCACAAGACCGAGATCCTTTTACTACAAAAGGTAACAAAATCACAAAATTTCTTTCTGTGAATGTATTACTTGTGTGAGCTCAGTACCTTAAACACTGAAATGTAGTAGTCAGTGGCATCACAGCTTTCCAGTGCTGCCCCAGTGCTCTGAAATACTGGCATATGGGAATTGGAAGCCACACCCATTTTCCAAAGCAATCAAACTATTTATGTGGCCTGTACTAAAATCAGTTCCAATGGCTGGCATAGTTCATACGTTACATTTGAGAACATCACATACATACTTCTTTGTAAAGTTCAGTGTTGTTCCTGCAAGCCCAATATACTCATCCTGTGCAGTGTGAAGCATCTGGAGTCAGCCTTCTCACAGTAATTTTCATTTTCTTTCAGCCTCTTCTTCCCCATACTGGAATGGGACGCCTGTGCACCCTGAGCGAGCCGCTCTCCTTGTCAGACACAGTGGAGCGCATCAAAGGGCACCTGGGGCTCTTCCACGTCCGCCTGGCCCTGGGGGCGGGCAGGACACTCGGTAAATGGGCTGAGATCCTCCTGGCCCTGGGGGCGGGCAGGACACTCGGTAAATGGGCTGAGATCCTCCTGGCCCTGGGGGCGGGCAGGACACTCGGTAAACCGGCTGTGAGCCAGACTGCCTGCCAGGACTGGCACTGCAGGAACACAGGGAGCAGCAGTGGGTGTATGACAGTGGGAAACACTGCTGTCTTCACCGGGTTTACTTCCAAGAACTAGAAAGCACTGTTAAGAAACAGCATCTTAGAATTTTCAGTCGCATGAAAAGAATCTCATCTGTATTTTAATGGGACTCTATATTACACTGGCTGATGTGGTGAAGAAGGACAGTACAAGTTGAATGAAAGATATAATTTTTGGTAATTTATATAATGACTAAATTTTTTTTCCTGCCCAGGATATCAGGCACAAAGTTGTACTGTTTGATTGTATCTTCCCTTTTGTGACTGAATGTTAAAATTCAGAGCATTTTTAAGAGTAAGACACTCTATGTTATCATTATGAACACAGAACCTTGTTTTGATGAAAGGTGAGATAAAGGTGAACTAGCTCAAATAGTGGGGTCATTAGTAAGATGTGGAATAAACATCCTCTTATCCCAGCTACCTATCCTAAAGTCCAAAGACCATAGCTGGTAGAATTTGTGAGAGTAAATTTGTTGAGAGCTCTTTGTAATTTAGAAGGCAGAAATCTTATTAGACTGACAATTGCACTAAAAAATTCCCAAACTACTTCAAAGCCTCTTTTTATGATGTGGTGTGACTCCACTTAAATCAACAGTAATTGCAAGGCAACATACTGTAAAACCTTAATAGATTTTGAAAACTCCCTGTGTTGTGTGTCCCCTCTCCTTAGTGAATATAATATATATGAAAAATTAAAATTCATGTCACTGTCATATATGTAATAACTTGGAATTAGCAATCACAGCAAATGGACAATTTTTATTGGCATGGAGCAGCTTTCAGCTTGCATTAAGACTGGTCTTCTGAGAGCTGAAAGTTAGGAACCAATGTATCTCAGAGGCAAAGAGCTGCCTTAGTGGCATCATTAGTTGGGAAACTAATGGTGGTGGAACATGAGTCCTGCAAAGTGTAGTGGCCTTCAGAAATCTAACACCTCACTAGGAGAAAGGCCACCAGCAGCCAGCCTCTGTCCTGGAGTTTTCTAAAAAGTTTCCTGCCCCTTGGGAAAAATCTACCTTTTACAGAGGATTTTGCTGTATTGTCAGAGGTGTTATAGGCCCGTGACTCTTTCAAACTGACAGATGTGTCTCTTCCTCCAACAAATTTACATTGACTCTAAAATCAAGATAGTAGTTAACTGAAACAATTACTAGCAATACACAAGAGGGCTCAACAAAGGGGAAGGAGTTTAACTGTGGCACATTGTATCCTGCAGAATCACCAGTGAAGAAAGTTGCTCTGTGTGCTGGTTCTGGGAGCAGTGTCCTGAAGGGAACAGAAGCTGACCTCTATCTCACAGGTAATAGACTGCTCTTTCATTATTTTTTAAAAAATAGTCATTAGAGAAATAAACAAACCCCAGCAAAAAATAAGAGGGTTGACTGGCTTTTGAAAGATTTGACCACTAAGAGCTACCTGTTATTTATAATTGAGAAACAATTGGTTAGTTATTGGAATGACAAACTAACATTAAAGTAGAAATAATGTGGATCAATTGGCAGTGTGGCACAGTGAAATATACTTGAATTAAAACATTGATTTACAGCATTTATCTCAACAAAAAATCAGTGCTGATGGCAGTGAGTTGCAACTTTCATTCTGTGTATTTCTCCTTTGCCAACATATATTTCCTCTTTTCCCTACAGAATTCCCTAATGCAAAACAGAACATAATGTAGTCTACAGAACCTTCCAAAGAAACACCATAGTGTGTCTAGCCGAAGGGCCACTTAGTCCATTATTCTCTCATCCAGCAGTGGGACGGCTGTCACAGCAATGTGAAAGCTGCCTTGCATTCTGTAGGAATTGCTGCCCCTTCTCCCCCTTGTGTGTAGCCCTGCAGAGCTGACCCAGAACTGCTTTCCTCTCCATCCTCTTTCCAGACCACTCTGAGCATTTTTATTTTCTGCCCAAATTGGCAGAATTTACAACTACTCAAAGATGGCAAGGAATTTCTGTGGTTTGACCCAGCTGCATACAGGGTCTTTCAAAGGACCCTGGAACAAGAGTGTTCCACTTTCCTACTGAGCAGGTTGTGTTGCATCTCCATTATGGCCTATATTCCATTACATCACCAGCTTTTAGCTGAGATGCTCCATACATTGCAGAGACCTGGTTACCTGAACTGTACCATTTGTGATCTCCATGACATTTCTTTCTCAAAATGGCAGGAGAGATGTCCCACCATGATGTGCTGGATGCAGTTGCCAATGGGATAAGTGTTATTCTGTGTGAGCACAGCAACACTGAGCGAGGCTTCCTGTCAGAGCTGCGTGATGCACTCACCATCCACCTACAGAACAAAATCAACATCATTGTGTCTGAGAAAGACAGAGATCCTCTCCAGGTGGCATAGGGGGAAAGTTGCTCCAGGTGGCATAGGGGGAAAAAATTGGAGAGAGAAAATTCAGTCAATAGGGTTATCTTGCACAGACCTATCCAATTGCGGAGCTTATTGAAGGTGCTTTCAATTGGTCCAGTACAGAATGATTGTACTATATGGTACTTCAAAGTCTGGGGTAGATTTTGTCATGTCAGAAAAATAAATGTTTGTTTTGGAATACCAAAGGTTCATTTACTTGATTACTGGACTGTACTTGAATAAATTTACTGTTACTGCTTCATGTTATGAGATACAGTTGATAACCATGATACTCAAGGAAAAAATACATGAAACCTGACTTACCTCCAGATTTAAGCTTATGCAGCAGTTCTACCCTACTACAGCTATGTCAAATCATGTCAGTGCAAGCCACTGATATTTTATCTAACAAATTTCAGAAATAGTAGTTAATGAAAGGATGGACATCAACTGTTTGCATTAGCAGTTGTACTAAGGCACCGCTCAGATGCAAATAAATACAGAACACAAAGCAAGTTGTTGGTACTAGTATTCAGTTGCACAATCTACCACTAATGCAGCTTTAAGGCTTTTCAAAAGAGAGATTCTCAATTCAAAAAAGCTTTGTAAAGTTGAAACTCAATTCCTTAACAAAGCTGTAAATTCACGTGCCTTTGTCATTTTCTTTTAAAAACAGTTTCTGTCAACTGTGGCTTTTAATTACAGGATTGCTAAAACTGAACAAGTAGTATTTTCACCACTGATAATGAGTTTAATTTTCCAAGTTAGTTTTTTCTGTTGAGATTTTTTTTTTTAAGAAAAAATCTCACAGTTGTATACCCTACCATCTCTGGATGGTAAATATATTTCATTAGAAATTTGTAAAGATGTTAGCTCTCTCCTTTTAAGTTAATAAAAGTAGTTCATGAAGCAATGTCTCCATCTAATAATTGCATGTCTCGTTCCACTTAAATGTATTATCTGAAGCTACCTAGGCTACATAAAGGTCATAATTCTTACCAATACCATGAAGGCACCTCAATATGCTGAGAAGTAAGAAGGAATTTCTTCTATCCCAAGTAAAGGGAAAGGACCTATATGAAGAATCAAGTTGACAGTGGGGTAGGGAGATGCTCTAGGTTTCTAATACAAAAGTCAGGCCATACATCTCTTGCTTCTGTCAAGTACCAGGTGAGGGGCAGATAAGGTACTATTGCTCCATGGGATGTTTTGGTTCTATTTAAAAGCTATATACTGGTATTAAAAGGTAGGCAAATGATTCTTGATTTTGATGTAAGAAACAATGTAAAATATTTCTACTCAGTAGTTTGAGATCTTCTGCACAGATATTTGACATAATAATGAAAATTAAGCTTTTGCACAACTGCCAAAAGGATCTTCTTGATCTTCCTGTAACATAAAAAGATTGTGAGAGACAAGACAAACTAATGAAAATTAATAAAGTACTTTATTTGATTGATTTGAACTATTACAACACTGAGCTGTAACACAGCTACCAAATATTAGGCATAGAGAGTCCCTGAAGTCTGGCTGGCAGACTACAGATGATGGAACTATAGAGCTTCCTCCCACATAACTGAGAAAAAAAGAATTGAAGAAAAGATGTCAAACTTCAGTAGTCTCCCAACCTCTAAAAGCTTAAAAAAAAGGGAGAGCTTCTAAGTGGCATTTAAGGCCTCCTCCAGGATCAGTGGGCATTCCTGATGTAAAAAATATAAATATACAATCAAGCTTTAAAAAAATAAACGAAAAAGCTTCATAGCCTCTTCATATTCCTGGATTGCACCTTGGAAAGTAGCAGGCATTGACATGAGTCCATCCTAATTTTGATTATCTAAATCTTATAAAAGGATGTTAGTTTGGGACAAGTCCTTCAGTTTTATTGCCAGAATTTACTAAGTCACCTGCAGCATCCCAAACCCACTCATATTCTCCTTTCCTCATGCAGTCAAGACAGGTCTTGTAGCATTATAAATCTTGTCTTCATACACTGGAAGCTAGTTTTGTCTAAATGGTAGAGGAGTACTGGATAGCACTCAGATGGGAGAATTTGCACCACTAGTACAAACTAAAGCTCTTGACCATCTTGTGATTTGCACTTCCCAAGTAAATTGCTCCAATAAAACCTTCATGTCTACTGAGGTAGAGAGCAGAAGGCACAATCTCACCAAGTTTGTTTTTCTGGCTGTGAGGTTGGATGCACAGATAGGAAGAAGGCATTGTCTGAGCTAAGAGACAAAGCAGACAAATCCAACCAGAGCGCAAGAGAGGCCTTGCTTACACAATCATCATTCCAAACTACCTGAGGCAGTTGAACAATGAACAAGATTCATTAGAATTATTACTTATCAGTGCAGCAGCTGTGAGGCTGGAGAAAGAGAGATCTGAGCATAGGCCCCTCTCCAGCAGCCTTTGAGAGCAGTTGCTGTAGACACTGAGGACACAGATGTTACACATCTTCATCCTCTTTCTCTAAGAAGTCGGTCAAGGTACTGTCATCGACAGGAATTAGTAAGTATTCCACACCATCAGCTCCCTGAGAACAGACATGCACAGACATTGTTAACACCAGTGTACAGTGCCAGGCAAGCAACTAGACAGCACTGCAATGCTAGCATTTATCTGTAGTCTGGATTAGAGCTAGACAGCATTCTGAACAACTACATTACTGAAAACCTGGAATAGTTCACTGGAGCAACACAGGAAATGCACAAATACTGAGAAAGTCACTAAATGAGAAAACTGATGGGTTATGCTTGTCTGACACTACAAAGCTCCTCGACACTGTGTTCCTCTATCTTGTACTGCTATACTGCCTCATTATTATGACAAGTCTGCATTCCTTCCTTACAGAAATAGAGGTAATACTATTGGAAGCAGACTGGCAGGCTCCATAGTCTGCTACTTCTCACAGTCTTCAAAGAAGACATGTAGGTTGCTGAATAACCAAAGCACACTGTGTTTCTATAATCCTCTATCCACGTAAAGGATGTTGACAAATTGGAGGCATGGAAAGAGCTGCAATTACAGAATTTCAGCCCCTTGCCAGTTCCTATGTGCTTAAACAACACAGCAAGTAAGCACCCTTTTTATTCAAAGTGGCTGAATAGAATTCTTCCCTGGACTCACCCGCTTGGTCCGGATCAGCTTGTGGTCCCTGAATTCTGTCAGCTGTGCCCTGAGTGTCAAGTCACTGTTCACAAGGAAAGCCTCCCGACACTGCTGGTAAAAATCTTGGAAAGACAGCCCTGGAGACAGAAAAAGGCAAGAACAAGAAACTGAAGTAGTAAGATTGTCAGGTTTTTCCAGGTCTAACACCACATATTATCCACCTGAAAGTCTTGCTTTGGCTTAGACCAGAGTGGCTACAGTATCATCACCTCTTGCAAGTATACAGCCAAGGTAATACTTCAATAATTAATGGAAAACAGCTCAATTAACATTTGAGTCACCCTGCTGCCTAATGGAATTTTAATAGGACTTTAAATGCACTTTCTACAATCATTAATTTCTCTGAATTTCCAACTCATCTATCTTGCTTTCTTTACCATTAAAATGTTATTCATATCCACTGCAACACCTATTACAGACAATGACAGAATATTCCAATATATTCTAGAAAGCAGGGGTATGTCAGAAGCCATTTATATAGGACATTTAAGTGCAAGTTATACAAATTCAGTCTTCATTTTAAATTTTTAAGCCCACAGTCCCTCACCAACAGTCTCAGTCATGTCTAAGCATGTAAAAGGCAGTCCTTCAGAGCCAGCCAGTCTATTGATTTCCTGAGTCAGACACAGTGCCACTAGAAAGACAGTGAGCCTCACTGAGACAACTGTTCGAGCTGTTGCTGGATGTGTAACCTGCATACCAAAACCCAGGGCTGCTGTGAACAGCAACAGCCCAAACAAATGAGAAAAGGTGGGTACCTACCTGGATAAGATGGATTGTCCTTTTTCTCCAGCTGGTGCTGAGCAAGCAGTCTGAATATCCCTCTAAGTGAAAGGAGGAAAGGGGAAAATGAAAATAATAATATTTTTTAAAACAACCCAAAACTCCCACAGTTAGAAAATATTAACTAATTTTGCCTTATGCACAAAGAACCTGGTTGTCAATCTCATCACTGGATAAGACCTGCTATCCAAATTTAAAGTAACCAATCAGCTGGAAGCCAGGTCCTACCATCTTGGTCTGGAACACTATTATCAGAAAACACAGATTGCAAGGACTGGGTCCTTGGCAAGTGCTACTGTGAAGTGTAACAGTGTCTTACCTGGCATTGAGAGTGAGGCTATGCAGGACATGCATTAGGGAGCTCAAAGCCAAAGATCCAGACTGTTGTACTAAAAGTGAGTTCTCATAAGATGTTTCTTCCACATAAGGATTAAATGTTGTTGTCTCATACCAAAGCCAGTTATAGAGGCTCAGCTTTGCCTGATCCCACACTAGACAGAGAGAACAGAAAGAGCAGACAAAACTGGGAGATTTATGTTTTCTAAGGTGTTAAACAAGCAATATTAAAATGCTCGTAGTTCTGGTGTAGGATTGAGGAAACAATATATGCTTGTGAAATTCACATTACATACACCCTGATAACTGCAGTTCCAGTAAGATAAATTCTCAGCAACAAAACATTTGCAGGCATCCCTTTTCCATAGATACATTGTAAATCCTTCCAGAGTCAGGAGTGTGCAAACAATTTCTGGCTGTAGCTGGGAGCTCTAAAGCTCTACCTAGAGAGAGGGTAAAATAGCTGAAACAAGACCCTTCTCAGAGTGTGTGGAGATTCCTCCCTTGAGTGGGGATACCCCTCAAGGTTACTCCTCCAGGCTGAGCTAAAGAGATCTGCCCATAGTTGTTGGTATGGGTGAGTAAAATCAATTTCTACTTGTATAGTTTTTGCTAGCTTTAATATAATTGCTTCAATATTGCTTTAAAAAAGTGAACTATACTAATTGTTACAGCTACCTGTGCTGTGTAGTAAATAATTCTGATTAGGATCTTTTAGTCTAATCATAATAGTAATCAATATAAGTAAGTTATTTAAGTATATTTGCTTTGCCATCCTTAATTATCCAATCTCCAATTCACAGTAAGTTCCTAAAATCAAGCAGTGCCAAAAGCTTGGAGTCTATTTGTATATTATGGTTAGTGGTATTTCTCATTATCTTTACACAGTTTTGGTTCAGCACAGCCACACTCCCAATCAGGACTATACATACATCAACAGATGTGTTCCACACATCAACAGTAATACATACAAAGTAATAGTAATACATAGTAAGCAACATAGGAGCTTATGAAACATGCTCAGCAGCCCCAAAGCAGAACACAGATCCTTTTCTTGGCTAGATCAGGCCGAGGGGAACTCACTGAGAGGAGCATTGATGTGATCAATAGAGGCAATGAGGTAAATGCTAGGCAGGGAGGATAACTGTGCAAGGATCTGCTGACTTCTTTCTCCTCTCAACATCTGGCTGTCCAGGTTATGAATGAGGACATAGAGCTCTAAAGATGAATCTGCAAGGTCAGAAAAAACAGCAGAGAAATAATCAAAGAAATTGTGCACAAGCTGGTTTCCCATTCCCAGTGCAGTGTAGCACAAGTTTATTTCACCACTCTCCATATACATCGCTCCAATATTGCTTTCCTTGTACAACATAGTTTGAAGCTATACTGGGTGTTTCTGAGCACCTAAAAGGGTTTTTCTCAATTCGCTGTCATCACAGTTACAGGATTGGTTTTTTTCAGTTTAAGCTTTTCTGTTATAATCCACTTTCCACTTGCTCACAGCTTTATCAGGAATTGCTCCTTTAGCTGTGCTCCTTTTGCAATTGAAGGTCACTGAAATACATTTTAGAATGGAAGACTAAGCACAGTTTATTCAGATGCTTTTGATTTACATGACTAGGATCTTTAAGCTCCTCCTCACAGTAAAAATGCATTTTCTATTCAAGGCTGGATCTAAAGCATCTTAACTTCATTGAAAATTTTAATAAGTTCTGAAAAAAAGTTAGAGACCTAGCTCACATAATCCAACTGGTAGATGTTAGAATTTCCAGCTAGCTTCTTGCTGCTGTACTTATCCCTGGGAACAACTGTCATAGACAGGTAGAAGTATTATAAAAGAAAGGCCTCATAAAATCAGGCCTGCTCTGTTAAATTAATAGCTAGCCTGTCATTTCTTCTAAGTCCAGCTAAGTAATCTGCAAGTTCCCATGCGAAAACAATCTTGGTATGAGAGCTCATTATAACACAAGAACATATTCTTGGGTGAAAAACAACTAGCATCTGCGTAAACAATAAGATCTGTCTCATGAGAATCAAGAAGAAATATGTAAACTAGCTAAAAATACAGAAGTTTGATAGATATGCAAAATACCATGTACCGACCAATGAACTAAGTGTGAAGGTATTGTCCAGCAATAAGATCTGACACAGGGCCTCCTGATAATCCTATATGACCCATACAATAAAATTTGGCTTTTCCTGCATGAAGAAAATGGAGTCTCGGTTGATTTATTCCAATAAACAACCATTTCCTGAGTCCAGAAACAATTCTAGAACTGTAACTGGTTTTGGGCAAATCCATACATAATTGCCTGCCAATGAAACCAGTGAGATCAGCAATAGCAGACTGCAAGACTGACTTATGTACATTCAGGTGGGAACTGCTGTTACCCTTCCTTTTTCACTTAGTCCCACCAGAAATAAGGTAATGATGAAAACCAGAATGTAAACACTGAAACACCAATGCCATGCACAATTAAGATTCCGTGGCTATCTGTGTATGAATATACAAGCAGTAAGACAGACATTCAGAAACAATTCAGCAAGCCTTTTCTGAGGCAATACCTGTTTAATTTTGCTTTTGAAACCAATTCTAACCTGCTTGTTTGCCACTGCTGTCCTGCTGTAAAACACTGACTGAGCTAACAGCTTACATGGGGTTGTTACACATGTATGTACAGATACTCTTAGTGCATGCATGTTCTCATATATGTTGCATACATTACAAGCAAAAAAGTATACTAGCTACAATGCACTAAGAAAGTGTGACTGCCTCTATAAAAATTATAGGGGAAGAAAATGTCCAGGCTCTCTTAACAGTAATAGACTCTAATGTTTTTATGCATAAAGTTAGTAATTTTACCTTCTTTGAACCTTTTGGTAATGAATTCTAGTTGGTCAAGGGGGCTGCGGAAGGTCCCTATATGGTCCAAAACCTCCTCTGTGATGGAGTTGAGAATCTGAAAAAGAAAACAGGAGTTCTTTATGAAGAGCTCTGACACCAAAGTGCAGAAAATCTTAAACTGAGCCCTTGGATACCTTGTGAGAGATAATCTGATTATTACCATAAAATCCCTAAATCAGTGAACATAAACAAAAAAAAATTATACCCCTTCTCAAAACAGTGACATAAAACAAGGCTTCAGAGTGATGAGTATCTATTCATGACAGAAATTACTGCAATTCCTTGGAAAATGTATGGGATCATTTCTTCAAAGTATTAGAAGAGAGAGGAACTGCTCTACAGAGTCTGTTGCTATAGAGTGCAGCAGGTTTCCTTAACATTTTACATTGAAAGACTCTAGGGGTATCTGTAACACAGGATGATTACATAAACCCACAAGCTTTTCCCCCACTTACAGATCTCACAGTGATGCTGGGGAAGTATCCATTAACCACCAGGTGAACAGAATCCTGGAGCAAAGAGGTACGAAACTTCTCCAACAGATCACGCTTTGAGCCCAGTCCATAAAGCACAATATTGAAACCCAAGCTGCAGAAAAGTGAGCAAATACACAGGATCAAAGAAATCCAAGTCTGGTTTAGGTCCATACATTCATCAAGCAAAACGATCCACTGCAATCTTGGTGTTAAAAATTTCACGTTTTGTCAACTCTGGGCTTACCTTAAGCTTACAGCTGATAAATAAGGTTAGCTACAAGGAATCTGGAACCTGGTATCCTAGCAAAAGAATCATTTTAGCTGCCTAGAGGCTCATAAACTTAGCAAAACATGGATGAAAGAAAATGCTGTTGACTAAGAACAGAATACTTGATCTCCAACTTCAGGTAAGAAATGGTGATCAACACTCAGATGCATCCCCTCACCAAGTACTTTTATTACATGTTTACTACAGGTCACAGTAATTACAATAAAAAAAGCAAACCTTCATACTGGTTTCCCACTCTGATCCTCAGGCACAATTTCAAAACAAAATTACTCTATACTCAGGTCTATTCCTTATCCTGATTGTTCCACAGAAAGAGAGGCAGGAAAGCATAAAGACAGCACGGTATGGAATTGTAGAGACCCAGAAGAGCTGACTTCAGTCGTATCCCTCACCCTCTTTCAGGCTGCACTATGATGTAGGAAATGCTCATTAGGCCTTAGCCTTGATGAACTGCACCTAGACTAAACTCCCAATGTGTTGCATGCCTAAAAAAGCAGTCTAAATTGAGACCCTTTTGAGTTCTCCATTATGGGGGGCTGCTGCATATTCAAGTCCACTCTCTAACAACACTTCAAGCAGTGGTCCAGAGTGAGATCTTTTTGAGTTCTCAATTCCCAGAAGGTAATTGACTGATAGTATGTCTCAAACACCAATAACCAGGTGGCTGTGAAGCCAACCAAGTGGTAACAGACAAAAATAATTGGTAATAACCAAGGACTACTGGTACTAACATGCTGTGAGAAAAAACAAATTTTGGCAGAAGGGGGCCCAGGTGGAAAGCCTGGGCAAAGCCTTTCCATGAGAAAGAACAATGAAGTACAGTGCTAACACAGCAATCACTGGCAGGAAGTGGACATGGGACTGTAAGGTGGGACTGTGACTACTAAAGAGCTCCAAAGCCCTCTGACCCTTTTCCAGAAAGGCCTAAAAGAACAAACTGTGCATGGTAACTAATTAGCATAGAAAGTGACAAATCTGTCTTTGGGACAGAGACACCTGTCCATAAAAAGACATCCCCCCTGCACAAGCTCAGGTGATGCCCCCCAGACCCTGGACATCTCATCAGCTGAACCAACACAGCTGGATCATAACTTATGACCTGGATCAATGCTGAATCCCAGATCACCATTCCTTCAGCTGGCTCAATGCTGGAGTGATGGCTGGTGAGCTATTTTTTGCTCTTTAATTCATCTCTCCTTTTTAATATTAAGCTCTTTAGTTTCTCCTTTCCCTTATCCTGCCCCTTTATCCAAAACCCAGTCCTGTATGCCTGTATAGTAGGTTAGGGACTACCATACCAATTTCCATGATTTCCACACTTTTCCATGAAAATGTGTGATCTACTAATAAAACTCTGTGATTTTTATGGACCCTCTGACTTCTGTCATAGTTTTGACCAATAACCATTTTGAATCTTAAGCACTTCTTTACTTTCAGGAGTGGGTCATCACAGGAATCACAATGCTTTGTTTAGGTTTGAGAAGCAGGAAAAGCATTATCTTGATTAGAAAGAAGAGTATCAGGTTACTCAAATAGCACTGGGCAAAGGTAAGGTGTTCAACAGCTGTCACTGCCTTCATTGTCATCAAGGGATTTGTTTCTTCTGCTCTGTCAGATACATCTCTAACCATTTGCCCAGATCACCAAGTGACAGAACTCCTCCTCTTGCAACTCTCCAACTTTCAAAGCTGATGTCTCCTTCATACTCTCTGTCTTCCCTATGGATCACAAATTTCCTTATATTCCACTTCTTGTAAGCTTCCAAGGGTCTTTCTCATCACCAGTACTGGCTCCAGCCTCAGGGGTGGTGGTCTGCCTTCTTTAAGGTGCTTCAGAATCTCAAAGGTCTCTATAGTTTCATTTGCTTTCCTGAATGTTCACCCTTCTCCTTCCCATGAAGATACACACAAAGCCAAATAAAATTTATATTGCCAGTGTTTCCAAAAGCATTAGGGTTTCTTCATGCCCAGATCATTAGGTACCACAGGCACTGAAATAAACTGCTACACCACTAGAGATAGCCATAGACTGAAGATAGTGAGGGTGGGCTACTCACTACTAACTTGCTGCTGAGAACAAAAATGATTCCTCACAAAGAGCACTTTTCTCATAATTCATTTCCCCTGTTCTCTCACTATTCATGTTCCCTGTTTGTGAATGCCCTCTAGCTTGGTTTAGAGAGGCACAGGCAAGCTAAGCAGCTGAATGCAACTTCATTGCACTTCAGACATTCGGTTCAAGGAGTTAATCAGATAGGATTTGGTCTACAGGACGTGCTAAATTAAATTAGTGTCACCCACTTCTAAATTTAAGCAAACAATGAAAAAAATTTCCTCCTTAATTCATCCACAGGATGTTACAGACATGACGGGAAAAGGCAGTGCCTTTTAACTAAGCTTCTTCAGTGATTCCCCTTGGATACTTACTGTAATTGCAGCATCCATTTGGAAAACAAGGATTCATGTTGCTGGTTAAGGTCTCTAATTTCAGCAGCATAAGCAAGTGGAGCATTTTTCAAAAGATCATGCAGTGTTTGCTGTGTTGAGAAAGAGATGACAGTCATTCAAAGTTGAGAAGAAGCAAGAGAAACGCCTGAAGTCCTTAAAACACCCTTGAGCATGCTCCCTTGTCTAGAGAGAACAGTTTTCATTGTCAGTGCACTCAGTTTGTGGTTAGTTTTTTTTCTCCCCATTAAGACCCCACTAGGCACAGTTTTGCTGCTGGAGATACAAAGCAGAGATTAAGTAACCTTATTATGGTAAACAGCAGCAAGACTAGGATTAAAACAAATGACACACTGTGTATTTTTCTCTTCACACCAAGTATGGAAAAACCACTACAGGAAAACAGATACACATGAAACTTACACATCACCAAGCACTGTACCAACAAGATACAACATCACATCCCTGGTCATGGGAACAAAGGCTCCAATCAATATGCTTAGCAAGGGTTCAGGTGTTTGTCACTACAAGAGAAAGCTCAAAATGCCCACCATCTTAAAAAAAAACTACAGCAGAAAGGATATAATTTGCAGCTGATAGCTCAATGTTGAAAAGCATCAAGAATCAAAGGATTAATTCAGCTCTCAAGATATGCTGTGATGCTGATGTTTAAACAGCACAGTAGCATGATAGTCAGCATCAAATCTACACTGGCCTCTCTTTCTCTTCAATTTTAACAGCTTTGCTTCCCACTCCCTTGCAGTAGAAGACAGTTGACACTGGAAAAGCAACTGCAATGTATCAGACAAACAAAGTACTGAGAGACAAAACTGCTAAACCTTCAACTACTTTGAAGACAGCAGTAGCTTTAACACTGTAAGCCGTGATTTCCTCCCACAGCTGTTATGAAAGAACTTGTTAAAAATCCAGATGTTACTTTGGGCAGCAATTCCAGATAACAGCAGGGGAACACTATATCAAAGGAATCAAAAACCCAGAGTCGTGTGACTCACTATGAACAGTACCTGATCCAATCTTCTTTTCCGCAGCTTCTGCAGCGTTCGGTCTGAAGTGAGCACTTTGGAACTGCTGTGAGCTTCAAAGTATTCCTCCACCAGATTGCCCTATAAAAGGACAGCAAGGTCAGCAACACTCCTCCTGTTACCAAGTTACCCCTCTCCCTAAGATGGCCAATGAGACAGAGGGCAAGGGTGAATACAGAAAGACAGAAAATATTTGCAAAAATGGCTTCTATAGCAACATTCTGCCAAAGCTAACCTAGTCAGATGATTCTTTCCTGAAGAGAGAGCCAGAAAAGAGATTCTGAGAGAAATAACATAACAGTAATTCTTAATTGGTGTGGGGATCCTGGTGCTGGAAGGAAGTAAGACAATTAAGCTGAACACCAAGCCAGAACAGTAATGTGCACTCCTTTTGGTACTGCAGGAATCAATTTCTTCATCCTGTCCCAATACAAGGTCTCCTGCACTGTGGACATCTTAGACTTCTCCTTGTGAGGCTGCTGATGCCAGCTGTGTTAGCACACAGGTTCACATGGTGCCTATCTACCAAGGATTACTCAGAAGTACAGCAAAAGCCAGCCCAGCTGGTCTGATCTGAAATGGGTTCAGCAGTTCTTCCCCACGGTCAGGTGAGGTCACTAACAGCTTATTGTCACCATACATTCCTTCATGTTTGCTAGCTCAGGGGGATATTTTTGCACACTCACCATCTTTTGCTCCTTATTTTTTTTGGCTAGGCTGTTTCTGGGAGGAGGTGTAGATGCAGCCTTAATTTTTGCTGGAGTCTTTTGATCTGATAAAACAGTGCTGACTTCCTTCTGTTCATCCTCATCCTCCTCCTCTGAGCAGGAAGCAGAATACTCACTCTCACTTTCCAAATAGGGATCTGGAGCTAGAGCATAGATTTTAAGGTTAAAAGCCAGGAATGACTTCTTACACAGAATTCATCTTGCACCATCTCACACACATTCTCTAGATGTTTTACAAGCACATGAATTCTTAATGTATTTCACAGAAAGGTAAAATCAATGCTTAAGAGAACTGCAAACACATATGGCCATTTCTTTTGCAGTTCTAGGATCACAAAGTATTGTTAAGTAAAGCCTCCTCCTTGATACCAACCAAGAAACATCATTGTACCATAAAAAGAGACTAAAAATGGACAATGGAATTCCCAATTTCTCTTAGCATCTCTATGTCACTTTTCCCAAATGCCAATCGAGCAGGCTGAGTATCTTCTACGTCACACTCTGCAAACAAGTTGTAAAATACCTCTGTTAGCAGCATTGATTGAAGAGCACAGATGAAATCTGGCTCAGTCTTGGTCTCTCAACACAAAAGAAACAGAAGATGAAACATCAGGTACTAAACTCTCCTCTGCAATCATTCTGGTTTAGCCAACCAGTTATTGGAAATACTTTGACATGGACATCCCAGCCATCATCCAAAAGTTTTATGCCTGGTTCAAGCAATTGGGCCACACTAAATGTCAGCACAGGTAAGATTACTGAAAGTTTTTGATCATATTACTGAAGTTCAGTAACTCTGTGCTTCTAATCCTTCCACCTCTCACCTTAGCAGCAATCAGCTGTAGAGGAAAGGTCTACATGGATTTCCTTAAGGACATTTCTACACTCTCTGCAGGATAAATCAGGCTGTTTCTGTCACACTGCTACCACAGACAGAAGCTCAACAGGAAAACACTCTCCCTTGAACACAGTGCCTCACTGATTGTGGCAGCTGACAGCAAAGGCTGATCTTTACCTGCTAGTCTCTTTCTGAGTCTGTAAGGTGTGGAAGACACAAATTCTTTCTTTTTACTCTGGAACAGCAAAGAAAAAACATGCATTAAAAGAAACATCTCTCTTCTCTAAACTACCCTCTGACAAGCAGGTTAGATTTCCAAACTATTTCAGCCCACATGAAACTGGAAAAGCAGAGGCAGTTAAGTATGGAGAGTTCTTGTTTTCCCATTCAGAGGGAGATAGGATCAAAGTTCCAAAAGGGGCTTAATTCTTTCAGCTCAACATGGAGAGTAGAAAACTGAAATCTCCAACCAAGATCCCAATCTTGGCCTCTCAGGAAGAGCCAAACCAAAGCAATGACAAAATGGAAATGCTTCAGTCCCCACAGCAGTCACTTTCCACATCAAGCTGTCGACTCAAAGTCATCTGGAAGTCCTCTATGAAAACAACAACCAGAATGACAGAAGACCACTCAGCATACTAAGCCCAGAAGTACAGCAAAGCAATCCAAGCTGCCTGGGCTCACCAAGTTGTAGTGTCACATTTTCCTTACATATGTTTAAAGCACAGGCCTGACTTGGATACTGGATCAAGTCTGCAATACTTAGGAAATACTTTTGTTGATCCTGACAAAGTGGATGTGAAATCATCAAGCAGTGACTATGGCATCCCCAAACAGCATGTCTTTTTCAGGTGTATCTCATCCTGGAACCTCATACCAGAAAAACTGTGCACACATTTCTGCTATGATGCTGTACTATTTTAGAAAGCCAGCCCTTTCACTCCATAGCCACCACAACTGGCAGCTCTGCATTGTATCTCTTCTTTATAAACCAATTGGTAAGTAAGAAACTGAACAGCATCACAGTTCTGGAACTCCTGTTCTAACAGCATTTCTTACAATTAGGGCTGTTTCTTCCTTTAGTGAGAAACTGGAAAGCTGTGAGTTTAACTGTATATGAAGGGATTATCTAGCATCCTCACTTGTGTGATGCAGGAAAATAATTTCCACCCATGACAATTAAGCTGTCAAATCTATTATTTGCCCACTGACTCCAAACCCCATAGTCCTGATTAATGGTTCTCACTTAAGTTACTCCTTCTGGTTAGAACAGAAGAGATATCTCTACTGTGGAGTACGCTTTTCAAGGTCCTTTCTTTCCAGAACTGCAGTAATTGGCTAGTTCAAGTTTTACAGGTGGGGAAAAAACCCAAATACAAAATCCAAGCAATGTAAAGTCATTACTCACCCTCTGCTGCACTTTGTTTGAACTTGAACGTTCTGAAAAGGAAGAAACAGCATTATACAGAGTACTGCAAATTTTCAACACTGGCACAAGATGGTCCATTAGAAAAACAGGCATTCACTGTTCAAAGGTACACTGGGCCAGAATATCAGCTCCCTAGAGAATTAATCCTGTGAGGGAAGCCTCTAGTTCCTCACAGGCAGGCAAGGAGAGAACAAAGAGAGTTGCTGGGAGGAATGGGTTAGAAGTGGAAAACTGGCAATGAGAATTGTAAATATGCTCAAGTGACCATGCAGCTGGGGATAGCAAAGACTCAAACAGCAATGCAGACAAACAGATATACCATGTCTATTGCTGTTTACCCTGTATAGGATTTGGGAAGTAGAACATCTGTGTATAGGTAAGGCAGGTGTTTGGTAGGTCTGGAGGCACCCTAACAGACAGATCAGAACCCAGTGAAGATCCCAGCATGGGGATAAACTATGTGTGTGCAAAACCACTGATAGACCAGTGTGAACAGCAGGCTGGTCCTAGCACTAAACCACACATAAGGGTGCCTGCATCTCCCCTCATGTCCCTCTGCCCAGGTGTTGCTTCAGGAAGTTAATAGAAATAAATTTACTCTTTGCATTCTGGCTCTGAGTTTGTGGTGGCTCCAGCAGCCTGCCAGTGTCAGGTCACACAAGAGTCAATGTTATTACCACAGAAGGCAGCTGCTAATTCCTGGTCACAGCTTTGGGAGGCCAGGAAGGAGGAAGGGACTCCAGCAGGGAGGAATGAAGCTGAAAAATGAGCTAATGCTCTCTCCCTGAGCACATCAAACTCCATTTCCAAGCATAAATGCACATCCTCTTGCCCGTGTTGACATGCATTGACTTCTCCCACCTGTATTTCTCTCTATAGCACTAGGTGTTAAATATTATATAATAAAGTGTGAATTTACACATGAACACCCACACACTCCTACCCAGTCAGTGTTTAACACACCAGCCCAGCTCATAGCTCCCTCAAGTGCAAGTATTTCTACTGAACAGAAAGGAAGTCATTATTGTCACAGCAATAGATGAGAGACATGTGCATGTTTCCTCTAGAGCAGCAGGGCAAAGAAGAGATCTGACACCCGGGTGAAGCACAGGCCATGCACATCAAACTGTTCAGCCCATGTGTTAACCTGAATACTTAAACCCTGGTGTTAACTAGAATACTTAAGCATGAGAGAAGCTGGACCTCAAGCATCCACTCCACCACCCAAAGAGAAACATAACCCCCACTCGCTCAGCTTCAGTTCCCCAGACCATCACAGGACTTACTGCTGCTTTGAGGGGTTTTGGCCATCTTCTCAGGGCATTTGGAGTCATCAGGTGCCACATTCTTTTCTGGTGTCTGGGCTAATTGAGAAGCTGTAGGAAATAGGGGGAAGGGAAGGAAGGACATGTCAAGTACAAAACTTCCAGCTCTGGCTAGTCAGAAATGGAGCCATACACCTGAAATGCTCTCTTCATATTAATTCCCTAGATATTTCAGGAACTTCTAGGATTTTCTAACCCTAAAGGTGGCTGTATTCCTCAGCAAAGATTTTCAAAGGCTGAACTCATCAATTAATTAAGTTTACAAATATGGCTGATGGCAGAGCACATTTTGCTCCCTGGAAGACCACATGTCTTTGAATTAGAGCAAGGTTTGGTCAGGCTCACTTAGTACTATAAGACTGCTCAGCTGGACATAACAGATCATCAGATACAGCAAACACATCAGCTCCCCAGGAAGAACTATTTACCTGTGTCTACTCCTTATCAGTACAAGCTGAAGTTGAATGACTGATGTGAATCTGAAATACCTGGCTAACAGTTCCTACCATTGTGTGACCAACAGCCTATTCCATGTAACAACACTGGCACTAACAGACCGTCACAGTATGACTTTCCTCAGTTTTCAAACTGAGTCATGGCTCCAGGAGGCAGCACCAGTGAAATCCCCCCTGCTGCAGAAGGAGGTCTAAGATGGGAAACACAACTTCCCAAGACACAGCAGAAACTAAGAGGCACCAAAATCAGTTTCTATATAGTGATTCAGTAGGATGTTCCCTCTCCCTCAGCTCATCCTTTGTAGGACGTATCATTAGCTGTGACAAATAAACACTAATGAAGTTCAGATGATGCTGGACATACAAGGATTCTTCATGTGAGTGACAATCCCTTTCAAGCACCTTATCTGAACTGAAACAGTCCACCCTCTCTGGAACTGCCACTTTCTGCTTGCTTCTCCTAAGTCTGCAGAGAAAGAAGAGCAAAACATACCCAGTTCTGCCATTTTATTGGAGCGTTTGGGAGTCTGGAATGAGTACACTTCACCACCACTTATATTTGAGCCATTTCCCACTGGATCTGTGAAAAGACATGTTACTTGCAGCTATTTTAAAAGCACTGATAATATTCCCAACCCAAGAAAGATGGAATGTAACATTTCACTATTTGGCTTTATACTGCAGGTGATACAAAACAAATATAATAATAAAATCCTAGAATCATAATCTTCTCTTCTACCTGTTACCACAAGCACAGACAGGGCAGATTGAGCCCTCAAAAGCAACTTCACCAGCACTGTACAACCCTAACACTGAAAGAATCTCCTGAAGTCAGAGCTGTGTTAGGTTTTCCCCTGCTAATACCTTGGGCACATATTCCAAGAGCAGCAACATAGTCCTCTTCCAGGATCTCCTGAGCTTCGTTATCAGAAATATTCTCAAGCTTCTTCACAAATCTCTTGACATTGACACTCAGCTGAGCCTTGTCCTTCCGTACTTTAGTTCCTAGAATTGTAATAAAAGCTTTAACCTCCTGCCATTTCATTATTTCTATTGCAGTAGTACACAGCCACCCGACTTAAGAGACCAGGCTCCTGTTATGCAAATCACTCAACAAATTCAACGCTGAGACGTCCTGCTAAAAGAACAGCTGGTCAATATCTGACCCTATAGCCATTCATCCCTCCTCCACCACAAATGCTGGCTCCTGCAGTCCATGAGGGTAAGACACCCATTTCAGTGAACACCAGCTCCACAGAGAGGAACCGAGAAATGACAGTGGCTCACACATCACAGTATCAAATTGCATGCAAAGGGGATGGTACTCATCAACCCTTATTTTTACCTAGAGAAGAGGAACAATTAGTAAATACCTCGCCTGTAGGCTGTCAGTACACTCATGGGAGAATGTAGGCTGAAAGCCCTCTGGAGACTATCTGCATGACTTTCTGCTCAAAGCAGGATCAGCAGTGAAGTCTGAAATGCTCCGTGCCTTGTACTGGCAAGTTTTAAGCATCTCCACAGAGGCTCCCCAGCTTAAAAGTAGTCAGAGCTGCAGCAGAGCACTCCTACAGCATACACCTGCAGCCTCATTCCGCTTTGCCCGTGCGAGTGTTCAACCGCGTCAGGCCCGAGGAGCTTCCCGGCTCCCTGCGCCGCTGCCCCGGCGCCCGTACACGCTGCTGCGGGGGGAGCTGGTACCGAGAGCTCGTACTGCAGCCTGTCCAGTGCCGGGCTGGGACAGAGACACACTGAGGGGAGCAGTCAAGCGGGGCAGAACGACCCCAGAGGCCTCGTCCTCCTGCAGAACCCAGCTCGGGTGTTGCAGAGCCCCTTTCCCAGGGCCGGCCGCGGCTGCTCGGAGCCCTCTCCCAGCGCCCTGGGAGCAGTGGGCGGCACTGGGCTGGGCTATGCCCCGGGCCGGCTGTACCTGCATCGTCGGAGATGTGCCTGAGGACGTCTTCGTCGGGCACGAACTTCACCTGCAGGGAGCGGCGGCTGCCGCGCATCCCCTCGGGCCGGCTCATGGCGGCTCCCCTCACGTGGGCGCGGCTCCGCCGCCGGGGGGCGCTGCCGCCGGGGGGGCGCGGACCGGCCCCGCCTCACCCCTCTCCCCTCACGGCGCCGCTCCTGCGGGACCGGGGTCCCGCCCGCTCCCCGCGCCCTGGCAGAAGCGGTGGCAGCGGGAGGCGGAACCGGGCTCACGTGCCAGCCCGGGGCCGTCCCCGAGGCAGCCAACCCGGGCCCCGCGCCTTGAGGGACCTGTGCGAGAGCCAACCCGCGCCCTGCTCCCAGCCCGCCTCGGCCGCGGGGCGGGACTTCCGCCGCCGGGCCCGCGCGCGCCCCCCGGCTCGTGCCCGCGGTCGCTGTGGCGACGCGAAGCCGCCGCGAGCCCGTTCCGGAGCAGCGCCGCCCGCCAGAGCCCCCTCACGGCTGCCCTCGGCGCCCGTCCCGCCTGCACCAGCCTCAATCACACCTTTAAAAACCAGCAAGTCACAAAGTAGTCATTTCTGTTCAGAAACAGCACGATATTTATTTAACATCTTTATATATTTTTATATATATATATAATTTTTTCTGCATTGCAGATTGTGTCGAGTTTTATACATCTCTATTTACAATGATTTAAAATAATTATATTTCTTCTCTGGCAGGTATTTACAAAGTCAATAGTAACTACATTTCACATTTCAACAAGTCAACAGCATGAACCAGCTCAGTAAGACAGTTAAGATAATGGCTTACATGCACCAATAACATGATCTTCAATACGTGCCTTCTTCAGGACTAAGAATGAAGACTTTCCCTGGTCCCCAGGTTAAAAGACATCATACAGCAGAGGTCACGGTTATTAAAAACCTGTTTGATTTAGTCCTTCACCAGTACCGAATCTCAAAGGTCTGGGGTTCACACCAGCAAGCAGGGCTATGCTGGTCAAGAGGGGCTCACACCACCAAGCCATGTCCTTTTGCCTAGTCTTGTGTCCACAAGAAGTGGGCTACGTCCTGCTTATGCTCCTTCTATGAGATTAAATAATGCTAAAGTAGTAAAAATCCTCAGAAACCTTAGTTCAGAGAAACAAACCTGGTATGACGAAAAAAGTAAGAAAATAATCTTTTAATCCTCACAGAATGTTGGTTTTTTTTTTTCTAGTAAAACTGAGAGCAAGTCCTGTATTCTTACAAGGACAAAAACAGATCAAAAACCTCATTGTCAAGTACAGGAATTACAAATTTTAAAAATGCAGCATGGCGTATATATCAATTTAGCTGTTGGGGTCTTCTAATAGCAAATAAAAGCTACCATAGTAAATCTAAAATGTATTAAGAGCAGCTGATTATTAAAAATCTTTATTAGCTTTTTCCTGGAATCTTCAATATGAAAAAAAGTGTTAAATGACTCTGTTTTATTTAATCATATGGTATTTGTCCATAAATAACCAGCTAGTAATACCCACCCCTAAAGCATGTACTCTGTGCAAGAAAACAGAAGTAATCATTGAACACTGACACACACACACACACATCACACACCCCAGTACTAGGAATCTATTACTATTTTGACATGTTGATTTATCCTGAGTGGTTGTTAACTCACATCTACTGTATACTTGAAGCCACAAAGTTTTTACTACTTGCATTTTTCATAAACTAATAACATGAAATTCTAGCACGACCACAGTAACTGTCTAAACAGAAAGAACAGTGTCAATAGCCAGTATTTCTGTTACTCCCAAGTATTTGTTTTAGAACTAAAGGTAAAAGGTTGCTCTACTTTTTCTGTTTCATGATCAGTTCTGGGGAGGATGAGGACTCAAACACATAGGATTCACTACTGATTTGTAAGGAAGTTTCCATGACAAAGCACCATAGAGACACTTTACCAGCAGATACTTCTAAACAGAAATCTCCCCCTGACCATTTTGCCCTCTAAAATCAAAACCTGTGAGAATTCCAAACCACATTTTAAAGCAATTTGAATGTTGACTCCTGAATAGATTATTAATCACTTTTTAATAAGTTGTATCAGAATGCAAAGACAGTCTTCTCTAAAACCGCTTAAACCTTACAGACTGTAAAACACTGGGAGCTCATGCCCAAGTGGCTGCTCAATAAAACTTGATCTCATCACTCTGCTCATCATGCACAAGGTAAAATGTAGGGCAACGTTTTACTGTATGGATACAAAGCTTTAATATACATCTGTTCCCATCAAGCTCCTCACAGGAAAACCTTAAGAATCCGTTATGATAGAAGGGACAATTTATGGACCCATTTTTAATTCAGCTGGTCCCTCAGATACTACCTTTGGTAAAATCTGATGAACACAGTTAAATAAAATTCAGGGAAAGATATAGCCTAGAGAAAAATCAGCAAAAGGATGGAATCAAAATTGTATTTTTTTTTCATTAAATCTCAAATACAGATGATTAAAATGGGACAGATTTTTCTTAATCCTTTTCTGAAGCAGTAAGGTACCCTTAAGACTTGCACAGCTTTCTTCTAAACTTTCAATATCACAGGCCTTGACACTTGACAAACCTACTAGCAAGTTTATCTAAAATGGTTGGCAGTTGTTTTAAAATCTTGTTCCAAGATTAATAAAATTTCATAATAACTAGATGGAAAACCTGGTAAGTATCAGTCTTGCAAAATCTACTTACTATTTTCAGGAACAAACCAAGTTGCTCACAGCTCACCATCATCTTCCACCACTGTGGAAGAGGCAGGCAAGTATTTTGTCTCTTCAGCTGGCCATGACAGAAATTCTGATAGACTGATACACGTATTCACTAACACAACACCCATGTCCTGATTTTCTACCCCGAATCATCAACAGAAAACTTTTCAACAGCAAAGTTTATCCAAGTGTCAGTTAGGAAAAAACAAAAATAATGAACAGAGATTAAGGCCCATATGCTAGAACCAAATAGCATTTAAAATACTGAAGATAATATAAAATATAAAAAATTATATAAATCAAGAATGTGATGCAAGTACAGAGGATCTGGCTTGTTTGCTTAGCATGCTTGAAAAGGAGTGATATTTTGCAACTTTAGTCCTGCAATTATCCTAAACAAGAAACTGAAATAAAAGAGGTACATTTACTCTTCTGATGAAAACTATTCCTATGATATAAGTATTTGTTACAAATGACATCTAGCTGATGGCTTTAATGTTATGTTAAACATGCCAAGGTAGCAAAATCTTTGGCAGTGAGAGAATTTAAGAATAAGATTATTAGATCTACTAACATCAAAGTAATTTCTTTCGTGTGCAGTACATACGTTTCATTCAAACATATTCCACTCTATTTTCCCCACCTCCTCTAGGATTATGAGCGCAGTACCCATACTGTACAGCTTGGTTTTTATGATTTTATTCAAAAAGTTACTCTTGATTCTCTCTTAGTCTTCAAATTAATTTAAATTTGTAAGCCAAGATAAACGTGTCTGGTTTGTGACCAAAGTTAAAATGCTGAACACTTAGAGGAGATAGATAGCCATTGGTTCATGATAAAATAGGACAAGTTCAAACTCTTAGGTTAAAATACAGCCATAGCATAGAATTATCTATTCCAAAATTAATTTTTCAAAATATAATTCTCTGAACATGTTATACATTAAATATTGAGGAAAATTTCCCTGGAGCTACAATTTTCCAAGAACACTAATAAACTTCATTAAAGAAGTAAAACAAACCACATAGTATCTGAAGACAAAAAGCAGAGTTGGGGTCACCTTACTGCAGAGTAGCTTTACCACCACTAAGATGCAGGTTTCCCCCTTAATCTTGAAAAATACGTTCCTATTTACATACAGTATACACACAGTTGAGGCAATTGATTGTCAACACGTGACAAATGTATGCACCTACTCACACACAAGTAAACCTCACATGGTGAGAAAAAACCCTGTCCCAGTAAACTCCAGTATTCATAAGTAGTGCAAATAAATACTTTGTCAGAAAATATCTTTTTTTTTTTTTTCTCACTATATTGATGACTTTAATTACGTTAAAGCTAGCAGGAGTATGTTGGAAATGCATTTAAGACCAACACACTTGCAAACTACAAATACTAGATCTAATGCTTACTGGCTGCAACATGATGTTCAGCATTACAGAATGAAGTATGCTGTTAAAAAACTTCAAATTCACATCAGAAAGGGTGTTCAAAGAAAACTGCATTTAAAATAGACAGTGATACCAAAGAATCCATTTTATAAAATTTTCCAAATGAAAACTAAAGGGATAATACAGAAATTGAAACGGTCATTTTGCAACAATAATTTTAATAGGTATTTTTACTGCATCACTTTGCTCTCTGCTGAATGAAAGCATGATTCACCTTTCAAACACCTTTCAACCAAAAAGCTTCTCACAATAAATCCCTGAAAAGGATAATCAAGCTAGAGTTCACAATCCCAACATTTTGTATTTTCTTAAAATGATAAAGTAAAAAAAATATATTGCAAAATGACAGCATATTGTGATGTGTATCAAGCAACATTTCATTTTTCCCTACTGAAGTATATGGATACATCAGAATATAGAATCTACCCTTCCTCACCTAAGAATTGCATGTATGTGCATGCTTGCACATTTATGGAGGGGAAAACCATAGTTTTCTGCTTCTTGTCCTTTTATAATGATGCAGTTGCACTCAAACAGCGCAGAAATCTAAATCTAGTGCCTCCAGTACCAAATGTTCTAAAAGAAGACAGCAGAGTGAATTTAGGATAAGGAGGTTTGATTTAAGTCTAAACATTTGTCACAGGTGTCAGAAAATTTAACTATGTTTTGTACTTTGTTTAGTATTTAGCATATATAATCAGAAACCCAGCAGATTATTCCCTCCACCCATATCCCAAACACTTTTAATTTTATTTCTGTCACAGTACTTTGGAATGCACTGAACATAATGTATAAAGATTTACTATGATCTTGCCACACCTTAGAGTGGTTTGAAACACAGCAGTAATGATAAACATGATACACAGCACTGCAGAGCCTCCTACTACAGCTGGTTTGGAGATACTTGGGATTACTCCATTGGGAAGGTAAATGTTCAACAGTACTTGGCTGAAAAACAATAAAACAAGCTCCCACAACTGAAACACTGCACTGAAAGGGTAATTTTTGAGAAGTCACAGATGTACCACATCAGCAGATAGAAACCATAATATTTTTAACAGGGATAAATTTGAACTCTTTTTAAATAGACTGATATGCAGTAGGTATATATACACAAGAACAAACCAAAATACAATGAATGAAACCAGAAAAAAAGGCACATGATCAAAATGAGAAATGTAAAAATAATTTAAAAGGTAGTTTGACTGAAGTTTTTGACAATTTGAATTTACACATGTACATTTGACTTCCCTATCTGAAGTCAGTAAAGCCATCTCACTTTCCTGAAATAGTTTTCGTAGTGTGGGACCCCACAGAAAAAAATTGCTTTTAAAAAAGGTTGTAAAATTTGACCTGATGCCAATTAAGTGCCCTAAAACTTCTGGAGAAATGCATCTAATGACAAATATAGAAAGTAGAGAACCTTGCTAATGAACAACTATACTTTTTAAAATACTAAAACTAAGTAATTCTTAGAAAATTACCTGACACTCCTGACCTTTTCCTTCCCAAATATTTAAGCAAACTTCCTTTCTGATAGTCTCTACAAAGTATAAACTTGGTACTTCCAGTCATGACTTATCAATTGTCTCCACTAGGAAAATTTTATTTTATAAAGAAGATTTTAACCATATACAGCTTTTGACATTTTTACAGAAATGTAAGCCTTGTAGCTTCATCTCAGCATTGCCTTAGTTCCATTTGTGCATGACTGGTGGTCCTTAAAAACTATTTTCCATTTAGAAACTGTCAGGTTTTCCTTCTGATGAGTCTATTTACTCTTTACCTGAATTTCTACATCAGATGCCACTAAATTCACTTTATGAATGTATGATATGAAGACTAGGCTAGCAAAGTGACTCATCAAACCACAAAAAAAACGTGAAACATTTTAATGAATTTTAATGTAAATTTGGAAAAAAAATCTATTTTAAATAAAGCTTTAAAAAAATCCCCACCAAAATCAACTATCAGCAATACCACACCATGTCATTCATTGTTCTGAATATCTTAAAGAGTATCATTCAAAGGCAGCCTGCTGTTTGTAACTGCTTACATTTATCCTTCACAGTGACAGTGAAACAAAAGTGCCCACATAAAAATTGTAACTCTTTCCTGAAGGTTTACAGTTTGTAAACTTCCAGGATATCATACAGGACTTGAGCAGAGAGGATGAACTTTCCCCTTTTCTATCAATCCAAAAAGAGATACAGAGAGATGGAGAGAGAATGACAAACATTCTCCAGAGTAACCAGAAATGTGCTTCTAAGCAGTGTCCTCTAACATAAGTACCAGCCAGTGCCCACACACCAGTCATATACATTCGAGGCTTGGCTCAATGGCACGAGTTCTGCATTTTCTAGGGCAGGGCCAATCCACAAAAAATAAGAGTTAAAAAAACTCAAAAGATTATATATACCAAGGCAATGAAGTGTGATCCTTCTGGGAAAAAAAAAATGGACTGTCAGTACCCCTTTGCACAAACGGCATTGCTAGAAAAGCATTTCACATTGAAACTTCAGTGTTCCTAGCAAAATATTGTCTCTATCCCTGAGACAGCACCTTGAGAGTATGGTCTGTCTGAACTATAGGATTCCTCAAATGACTCCACCACTGAATTCAGGGACATTGAGAAAGTAGCTGAAAGGGGTGGGGGTGTCCCAACAGCCACGGTACAAAAGACAGCAGCCTGAGAAATACTCTTTACCCGAATACACCTTTCAATTCGGTGATCAGCACCTCACAACAAAAACAGCAACAACAAAAATGAAGCAGAGCTAGCCATTATTTCCTGGGGAAGTAGTGTCTCCTTCCCACTTACAAACCAAATTGCTTTAACAGCATGGTGGTGTCTAACTTTTAGTCTAAATGCAGAATGACCCTGTGTCCTGGAGGGGAAGACATGTAACATTACAAATGGCTACAACGCCATTAGAAGTGCATTGTAACCTACATTATCAACCTAGAATCCTGTCTCCGAGGGAATACAGCTTCTTAATATGCATGTCTCAGTTGCTGAACATCAAAAGCTTCTGGGATGAGAGACTGGGGGCAGTCAAGAAAAAACTACCCTCATTTAATGAAAAAAGTGCTGTAGGCAGCCAGGAGCAGCAATGACAATCCCCTCCCCAGAATTGATTGCACAGACTCAGAGAGGTCCAAAGTCACACTAGAATCTCTGAGGCACTCCTGGTTCTGAGAAAGACAAGTCAGGATCCAGTAGTCTTTGCAGTACTGTAGACCGAGAAAACAAACCCGTTTCTATTTCTTAACAAAGCCAAAGCATCATCTCATAGGGATCACATTCACCATTTCCGCCGGTGTCTCCAGTCTCACAGTGTTGAAATGGGACTGATCAGCCTACGATGGATTGCACATCACCCAAAGAGAAAGGAAGGCATGGAAAAAGGCGTACAGTACATGATATACTGCTTCACAACCATGTTTACAAGGGGGAAGGAGGATGAAGGTGAAGGAAGAATTATTGCTGTTTCAGTAATACAGTATGATAGCTAAACCAAATGAAACGAGATCACAACAGTCAGTATTTTCACACTGTGGGATGATGGTTCATGTTTTGCCTAAGGATGAACTTGCCAGGGATTAAGGGGGAAGAGGGAATACTAAGGAAGGGAGTCAAAGTTACACCTGGGATATCAGCTGCATATTGAAACTTGGAGATCGAGACTGCTTGGTTAGGGGAGCTCCTGGGGAAAGGAGATCTTTACCTTCCCCAGCTTGGCCTAGCCGGTCCTCCTGTAGGCTGATAGTTGAAAACCGATTGGTGTTGCCAGCTGCTAGACTGGTAAAACCCTCTGTGCCAGCTCCAACACTGGAGCCTGCCTGACTGCCATTCACATAGTCAAATGATTTACTGGAGGAAGCACTGGCGGTCCTGATCAGGCCCAGACTGTTGGCTTTTGGCACCACCTGCCCAGCAGGCAGGCTGAGGTGTTTCTTAGTAGGTGTCATCTCAATTACATCTCCATCCAGGTCAGATGATTGGTGCGTGTACTGCTTTCGGGCTACTGAATCCCGAGGGCTCTCATTGGATTTTGCTGCAGAAGAGCTTTCTTTCTCCTTAGCAGAACGCCCACTTGCTGTTTTCCTTAAGCTGCTCTTCTGGGATACAGAGGATACAGGTTTGGTCCCAGCTGGCTGGCTGCTGAGGGAAGCTCCTGATGAAAATCCTTCATCAGCATCATTAAGGTTTACAGACTCCTCTCTTCCATTTACACCTTCAGTATCTATTAAGAAAAAAAGAAGCAACCAAAAAATCCCCAAACCAATCAGAAAACAGAGAATGCATTCAAGTTACATGAAGACAAAGATGTGCACAGAACATCAAAACAAACCTCATTTGCTAATCCGCTTGGATTCCACTTGCCTAATTTTTTTTGGATTCTCAGCCAATTTTCCTGCCATATTTAACAGAGACTAACAGTAAGTGCTCCCTGAGCTTGATTAGCCTTTCATCCGTAATACTTTTATCAGTCAGAATATTGGTCCCAAACTTTGTCTATAAACAAGAATTGGGCCCCATTTGGCTAATTTGTTTTAGCTTGGTCTGCAGATACTACTACTACCCATTCTCCTACTACATGCTCTTAAAAAAACCAAACTAAAACAAACCCAGCACCCTTTCAGTCTATTTTTATCCTATTTTGAGGCAAGATCTAAGGATCTCTTTCAGTCAGAGTAAGTTCTCGTGAGTGCTCAGTAAGCTTCAGAATTAGGCCACTTCCTAGTCTAACAATCACAATGTTCCAGCAGAGGTAGAAGGCTTCTCTTGTGTGTAGCTCGCACTGTGAACAACGTGACCATACTTTCTATTGGAGATTAACCTAATTCCTAGTTCTCTCTTCTCCAAAATTCAATCCTCCTTGAATTTACAGCAATCCCATCCAGGTATTTCTACCATATTTGCTTTTATCTCAACACCTACATTTTTCAGAGGAAAAAAAAAGGAAACCCTTGCATTAAGAGAAATTAAATCTCTGAAACACTTTATGTTATAGAACTGTGCTTTTGACTGGAATCTAAAAGCAAAATAAAAGCATTACAATATTATTTCTTAAATCCTTATTTTTAGGCTTAAAATATGATTAGGGCTGCACACAAATATTTTTTATCTTTTAATCTTATTCCAGCTTTTTTCTAAGCTCCAAGTTCTCAGAAGTTTTTGTTTTAGTAGGAAACTGAGCAGCATTCAAATTTCAAAACTAAAAATGGAGCAACAGTTTTTCTCTGTGTATCTCATTTCAATAAGAAAAAGGCGTAAATTTTAACCATGTTAGCAAAAAAGGAGTCACTCAGACTACAAGAATTTTGCCTTTCTTTGTAAAAGCAGTAGAGTGTGATTATTTGGAGAAATACAGATCCAGCCCAGCTAAAGCCACTGTGGTGCTCTACTGTTAAGATTGTTGAACCCACTTGCTGCCAAGCAAAGACATTTAAATCTTTTTTGCAGAATGGGAAAAACATGGTGGCAAGTATTTGAGAGAGTCTAATATTTGAGTGGAAGCTCATTCTCTCATGCTGAGTGTTAGCTACGGAACATTTTACACCATGGCAAACAGAACAGACAGAAAGCTTTTGGTGTTGTAGCTGCCTCTGTGTAGCAGGAATACTGCCTGATCCCATTTCATATTTCTGAGGTGTAATGCAAACCCAAAACTTTCCAGGGAGGTTTCATTACTCTGCTCTACATTTACTACTTCTTTTCAGGAAACTTTGCCCTGGAATTACCATCGCTGTGTATCGGCTTACAAAAGATATTTAGACATCTCCAAATCAAACCACTCTCAGCCTCTCTCAGAACAACGCAATGAGAGATGATTCTGTAGTTTTCAATAGTTCTACTTGACTCATTGGCCTCCCAGAAGCAGAAAAATAACATAGTTCATGTTACTGCAGTCTTTCTTCCTTGGTTAAGCCTTTTGCCTTAGAAAAAGGAGGTCCTTAGGTTCCCAGAGCAACTATTAAAATGAAGGCTGTGTTACTTGCTTTAACTTCCCCTAACCATATTTTAAATGCACATACCTTCCCCACTTCCTGACCACCTTGTTTGGTAAAACTAGGCCTTCTTCTTCTCCTGGACACATACCTGTCTTTTCTTACACTAGACAGTGATATATTTTATCCACAATCCACACTGACATTCCCCCCTCCAACCTTCCCACACACAATCAAAGTTACTGATAAAAGTCAGACATTACTGGAACATACCAAAAGCAAGACCACTTTTTCAATTAACCAACATTTATGTTTCTTTAATATAACCGTGCAAAGCTGGATGAAAGCATATTCAGTTACAAGCAGCAAGAGAAGCAGCTGAAGCCCCCTCTCAAGCCCTTCTTATTCAACATAAAGATGTGGAACTTGTAAGAAGTTGTCTCCAGACAACACTGCTAAGATTTTTATTATTACAAGAACATCAGTAGTTTTCAAAATTTATGTTAAAGCATTGCTGAGTAACAGGATGCTGAAGCACATGTCCTATTCAGGGACTGTGAAGCAGTCACACTGAAAAAGTGGCATTTTATGCATAGGAGACTTAAAGATAAGACTGAGAGGGGTTGTTGCAAGCTTTTGGTTGCTGCAACTATACAGAGGCCCAAGCTGCTCAGCAGTGCTCAAAAATGAAGAAGATAGAGAAGATAACATGCAAGAGAGTTTCTTTCTAGTCAGACCCACATACCTACAGAGGTTCCCAATGGGATTAAAGTAATTCAGCAAATGCATTCTTTTCCTAATACATCTTATTTTTCCTCTAAAAACTGCCCTCAGAAATAATAAAAAATGTTTGAGTCCTTACATACTCTGGGAAGGAAAACAGAATGATGTAACGATGAAGTTTTCTCTTTTTTTTGTTTGTTTGCTTTTTGTTTTGTTTATGTTCCAATAGACCAATAAGACAATTTCAAAAGGAAATAAAATCTAAAAATTTACTCCCTTCCAAATGCTCTTTATTTTAAGGCCAAAAGAGAAAGTGACAGTGCAACCCAACAGAAATCACATCCATTGCACTACAGTGTGTATTCAAGACTCCCACTGTTCCTTATCAGAATAAATTTGTCCTCAAATAATTTGCTATTTGTACATATACACAACTAGTACTTTAGATACAGACTCAGTGTTCTCCACTGACCCAAAATAATGCACAAAACCACAGCTGCAATCACCCAGAAGCAGAATAGTTGCACTGCATTACTGAGTTATCCCTGAAGTCTTGTCTTTTTCTACTAAAGGGGTCAAAACACTGATCTGAAGAAGGGGTTTTATACACCTTTTTAAAATGACTTTTAGCATGTTTATCCTTCCTCTACCTGAAGATTGAAAAGTCACTACAAGTGATCAGTCTTTCCTTGTGCTGTTTGACATCAAACTGGTATTTGTAAGAAAGAATTTTCTGGCTGAAGCTTTTTGTGAAATCAGCATTAGAAAACAAACAGAACCCTGGATATACATCCACAATTTTATGTCGATAATCAAGGCAAACTCCTTTCCTTGGCATTCTCCCAGATGCTATCAGCTGGAATACTCAGTTGGATCAAGAATGTAATTATACATTGCTAATGTTACAGAAGTAAATGGTATTCAATCCATTTGTACTGAAGCAGAGAATGTGGAATGATATGGATATATATATCCAATAATATGCCATATTATATCAATGGCTTCAAACAAGACTAAAATGTATCATCTTTATCAACTTCTCTTCCCACTTCCTGTCTGTCCCAGAAAGTTCTCTGCAGCTCAGGACTTCTCTATATCCTTCAAGTCATGCACATGCAAAGAGTTATAAAATGGAGTAAGATCAAGTGGAAAGTGAGTTTAAGAGAAGACAGGATCATTTACTGAGCATGCTCAAATTCACAATGCACCAAGTAGATTAAAAACCTGCACTAAATATTTTTATGCCACTCTCTTCTACTCTTTATTGCTGGATAGCAACTTTGTTCTGTGATTCTAAAATTAAGTCTCCAAATTCTCTCGATTGTTTCCTGAAAAACAAATCTGAAGAAGAAAAGTAGCCCATATCTGAATGTGCAAATAAATCTTATTCATGATCAACTAATGTCTTTATAGAGGCTGGAAACACCAAAGTTCACATACAGAAGAAGGCTTAAGATAGGAGAGTACTTGAAAATATGTTCATTTAAATCTGTAAGAAATTAATTCTCATCTCTGAGGAGAAATCATGATTCAAGTTCAGTACTTGAAACTATGTCTTTCATCAAGGAAATCCTCTTTACTCAAAAGTAGATGAACTTAAATAAAATTCTGCCACCTACTCTATCTGCTATTCTTGGCTGCCAAGCAGACCTCTGAAGCCCTACAGCATTTGTGTGGACAGCACAACTAAGAAAGAAAGAGTAACGGCTTCTAAAGTTTTTATAATTTCTTCCTGAAAACACAAGCACTTTTCTGGTGCTTGTAGAGCAGCCAGTTCTAAATGAGTTGTACAAATACGACATTTCAATGAAAAGATGACTGACAAATAAAACATCAGTAATTGTATACCTGTTTTAGATAGGCTTGACTTTCAATGGCAACAGGAGACTTCATTCTTGAAAACTTAAAAACTGCAGACTAACAAGACACTATTTTAACTAAAATGGAGCCAAATCCATTTATATTCTGTACTGTCTACTTTTCAGTGCTAGATTCATGTTCATCTGGTGCATATTTTTTCTTCTTAATATCAGATTAAACATGCTCAGTAATAGAGACTTTCCAAGCAATCCCAAAGCTCTTGGATATTACCCCTGTCTTTTTTTTTTTTTTTTGTGCCATGCCAAGCAGTGTTTCACCACACAGATGCAAGCCCCAGGCCAGCCCACATGATAACAAAAGGTAGTTCCTGACCTGATGTTAGGTATATAGGGGATGTGTGTATTGCAAAGAAAGCTAATACACCCTGGGATAGCGGAAACACACACTAGAATGGAAAGAAGTTCTGCTTGGGGATAGGGAGCCAGGATCCTCCTCCAGCAACTGCCTCACTGACTTCTGCCTCCTCATCTCTGTCCTACCCTCTGTTGTGGCTGCTGCCAAGGTGGGCTCCGGGAAGCCATGCTCAGGGGTCCTGCGCAGCAGCACCTCCCCCTCTTGCTCACGTTTGATCCCTAGGTCTGTGCAGCCGTGTTGGATCGGTGAGCCAGGAATGCTTGAGTCAGCCTCGATTGAGAAGTCAAAGCCATCTGGGATTCAACATATAACATTTTAGTGCTTTTCTATTCCTTTCTTGGCATTCCAACCCAGGCAGGGAAAATAGAAAGTTTATGCTGACATGGAACAAACACAAAACACTGCCCATGCGGAGTTAGAAGTGGTGAGAACATCCACAGAAAGGGACAGGTGGGCTGTACTGTAGACCAGAGACCAGCAAATGAGTAGAATGGCTGAATAGAACCACAGTGAAGACAAACACGACGCAGAGTCCTGAAAACAGGAGACAGCTACTTCTTGTCCTGGACATCCTGATTCAGCTGAAGACCAGAGGTCATCAAATCCTCTTGCACGTGACCAAGAAGAATAATAAAAAATAAAAGGGGAAAGAAATGTACCACAGGAAAATATGCAATTCCTGTCTGCAGACTTTTTACTCTCAGTTGATTCTTATGTTATTCTCCTTTTTACCTTCATTGATTTATGCAGCTTTTTAAAACTAATATTTTATACATGAAGTAACAAAGCTTTAAAAGCAGACAAAGTGATTTCAAAGCAAGTTTTTTGCTACACCTACACTGAAGATGTCATCACATCAAGGTAAAGATCGCTACTTTTTTTTTCTTCATACAGTCAAGCACACTTCCATATGATGTAAGTACACACTGAGGAAAGACTAATTCTAAACTATCCAAACCTATTTTAGAGCTCCCCAATAAACTGGGCCATATGATGGCAGGTGTGATGTTCAGTTTGTCACTCTCCCACTGCCATCAGTAGCTTTAGGCAGCTGGAATCCTATTTAGGTCTGGATGTTAGCATTCATTCCCTGAGCTATTTACAATGGGAAGCAGTTGAATTTTAGTGCAGATTAAACAAAGAACTCAAATTCTAAGCCACACTTTATCCCTACAATTTCACACAGTGTTACATGGAGAAAAAAGAAGTCTTAATAAACATTTTCCAGTTTCTCCATTTCCTCATCTACCTCACAGTTTATCACAAAATCAAAACCAAAACAAACACCCAAAATATTCATGTTCATGCAGTGCTCTGAAGATGTAAAGTATTATATACTATTATGGAGTATCACTTTTAAAAACAAACAAACAAAAAGCCCCCCCAATGTTCTGTAAACATTCAAACTCAGAAGCCAGATTACAGTGATGATGATGATTACAGTAGGTAGTAATATGTGCTCCTGGCAGAGAAAGCTCACCTTCTCTCCTCCAGCGATGACGACGGATGGAAGCTGTAGTAATAGCACTCCGAGAAATTCTTGGAACTGTTGGAGTAACTTCTACTTTCAGTACCTTCTGGCCTTCTTGTGATGCATCAGGAGCATCAAAAGGCAGCGAATTCTTCATGGCATTTGCAACCTAAGACAAAAGTAAGATGCTGTACTACTACTGTCCTTGACTGCACTAATGGCAATATTGGATCTCCTGCTGGATACAGAAAGGAGAACAAGTAAGAATTGGTAATTATGTCAGATTCCCCTCAATGACCCCATGCCCAGGATTCAAGTTTGATTACATGGAAAAGCTCATCATAAACCTATTTGCAAAACCAGAGTTAATTTCTCCATTTTTTCGAGGTAATTAATTTTGTTCTATCTTTGCCATCTGTAGTGACAGACGTTAACAACATATACAGGAAGGTCTCCCTCCAGAAGAGACTGCAATATGACAAGGCAAATACCATTTATGTTTTATGACAAGGGTGTCAATATAACTAAGTCACAGCCCAAGCCAATGCAAACAGCCAGTGGCCTTGTGCACAGGGGGACAGGGCTGATTTCCACCACACCTTTCCCTATACCGCTCCCCATTCCTCCCTAAAAACAAGCCAAACAGAACCTAACCAAGAGGATTAGACTGCAGGTACTTGGAAGATTTATTTAAGGGAAAAAAATGCAACCTAAGCAATGAACATGAAGTTATTAAAATACAATTAAAATAGGTTTAATAAAGATGAGTGTAATAGCCTATTATAAAGTCAGAAGTTATGTTTTGCAGCTTTGAGGAGAACAAGTGACTTCTTTTGACTTTGATGTTTTAATTGCTTCTTTGAGTTTCCCATAAAATGCTTTTGGGATTAGAGGTTTACTTTAAAAAAGACAAAAACAACTTTCAGCAATGTCTCTTACTTTACAAGTAAATTGTTCAAAAAAAGTGAACTTGTGTACCAGCTCCAGAAAAGCAAACTGCTTCTCTATGGCATGTACAATATTCAACAGTAACAAAGCTGATGCACACAAAGTGTTACTTAAAGCTTCAAAATCCCCCCTAAACCACAACCCACAAAATGAACACACCTTGATTTTCCAAAATCTTCTACTCACTGGAGCTGCTACCTTTTTTAAATAGATACTCTTGTCAGTATACCAAAAAAATCTAAAAATTCATAGCAAAAGATTTCTGCACTATGACAGGAATCGTGACAGAGCATTTCTGCTTGTTGAACCTTTTAACAGCTGGCCCTTTCTAGCAGCACAAACTGTACTTCTGGGGACTGAGGAAAACCATATGGAGATAAAAATCAATGCAACAGTAAATCTTTGAAACAATCTAAACAACCAGTCTGAATGAGTCACAGTCCTTGTCTGACAAAAACACCCTCAAAACCATGATCTTTCAGGATGCAAAAACACTTGCTCACGATGTCTAATCCAGCCCTGAAAGGCAGGAAAACAAACACACAGCACAATTCAGACTTGGCAAGCCAAGTCTGCAGTTATCAATTACAAAGGAAGGTTGGTTTCAGGCCAGATATCCACTCTTGCCTACCAGAAAGGAGCTCTAAGGAAAGAACATTCAATAAGAGCAGTAAGTGCATCAATAAAATACATTGGATAAAGCTGCTGTCACAATAGGGACTTGCTGATCCATGGGTCCTGTGCCCCAGACTTGGAAAACCTGTGTGTCTGTGCTCTGAAGACTGGGATTTCTGTGTCTGAAAAGCATGCAGAACTCTTTGTTCAGAGGAAAAGACTGACTGGAACCAGTCTGCTCCCCAGGTCCAAGGTGCTACTAATTCTGACACTTGGTGATTAGTTTGGCTCTGTAGAAACTCTCGGGTTTCTTGACCAGTACCCAGTGTTTGTTAATAGAAATACTTTTCTTAAGCCAGAAAAGGCTTTTCACTTGTGTTAATTCCTACTCTTTCCACTGCAGTCTCTGTATAAGAATGATTGATAGAAGACCACTTCTACATTACAGATATTTCACAGCTTTCTGATGCTCTTTTTCCACTTGGCTTTTTTTTAAAGCTTAGGGTTTTTTTCTACAGGCAGTAAAACCCTAAGTAAATAAGAGCATGGATCCACTAAATGGTCAAAAATGTTTCTCAAAGAAACAAACACAGGGATCATGATGTTCCTCATTTTAATGATGACTGATGGTATTCCCATAACTATACAAATAGGTACCGGAAAACAGGTATCTAAAAATAAATCTAATGTGGGGGTTTGCCTTAATATTAAATAGACTTCAAAGAATTTGCTGCTCTTAGGAAATGCTCTTAGCAGAAGCTGAACTTAGCAACTTTCCTGTGAAGCTTCCCAGATGATAGTTATTTGGCACTAGTAGTTTTAGGTTTAAAACACAGAATTTTATACTGCTGCTAAATTATACACAACTCGTGAAGAATGCAAGGAGAGCAAAGGGCTCCAATCTGAAAATGTCAAATTGCTTGAATATACAGCATTAGGGAAAAGACATGCAGGTAATTATTTTAATAAAACGGACAATTTCTTCAACCTACTTTTAAAAAAATGCTAGTAAAACAAGACAGGAAGCAGGCAATGATCAGAGTATTTAAGAAAAAACACCTGCCTGAATAGGCCTACATGCATATGCAGGAAAAACCTGACAATCAGGCAGGGGTAAAAATTGGTGATATCATTATATCATAAACAATGGGATAGAGAATCAATAAGAGCTTTAGAAAAAAAACAAAGACATTCTAGAAGATTCGTACAACTAGAAGTAATCTCTAAGAACAAATTGATTAAAAACGAACAATGAAAACTAAAAATTGTCATATCATCAAGTTCCAGATGCTCCTACACGCTTTTCAAGTGTAGTAGTTTGATAGGATGGCCCAATTCAGCAGGTTCAATATTTAATTTAAAACTTTCAATCTGATGGAGTGATGAGTCAGTTCCAAAAGAAACCAACTATTATAATAATTCAATGGATAGCAGGCATTTTAAATGCAGCAGTGTCAGAAAGCCTGTAGATAAATTGTACAGCCAATATTAATACCTTTGGAGAATAATTTTATGCAATTTAGTTAAGAAAAGAGTGATCTCAGATTGCCACATAAAAAGATTTTGCCAATCCGCTCCTTCGTCAGTTATGTCAAAAGCAGTGACATTTTACTGCTGTTAGCTCAGAGGAGGACTAAAGGCTTCTAGCCACAATTCTGATGCAGAAACTGAAACAGCAATCTAATGTACTTTATTCTCCTTAATTTTCCCTCTTCTTTTGATTCTCATTCCTACATCTGACAAAAATTTCTCCTTTCTCTCTTTCAACCTTCTCATCCTTCCCAATCACATCCACCTGCTTCCAGCCCAGTTTCACCACTTTCCCCATTTCTCTTTTTTCATGACTGGAACAGCAAATACGGTGAAAACTGAAGAAATCCCCACCCCAATGAGAACTACTTCATCTTACTGCTGGTCCTCCAAACAAGGTAAAGATTAGGATTTGTGTGATTTTTATCAAACAAAATCTGGCATTGACTCTGAGACTGGAGCTCCTTTTCACTTTCAGCTGCATCCTGCTGTTGCTTTCTCTACTTTGTTATCAGTTAAAATCCACAGCTAATTCTCAACCCTAATGCAGGTCTAGAAGCAAAGAAAATACCTTTTTTTGCAACCAATGCCCTGTAACATACAACTATTCAGTTAAGCTTCTTTGAACCACTCATCAGCGGCATATGTCAAAACAACATAAACATTTTGAGCCAACTATAATATAATAGCAAAATCCTAGCTTTCAATCTCAATGAGTCCTAGAAGATCCCAACACCCTGGCTTAATACTCAGCAGAAAAAGTATGGTATAAATAGCCACGTTGCAAACACCAGCTGTTAACAAATCACTTGCATTTGATTGTGCAGTGAATGGACACAAAAGCTTTCATTACCAGCCCACTTCAGAAACACTTCCATACTGCTCTTAACCAGGCCCATAAATCACAGTGGATTGTTTCTTACCAGCAGGGGCTGTGAGTAGAGTTCAAGCTGTGCTCTGTAAATTATGTCCTCCAACACCTCCTGGCCAAGCTCCCACTGACCATTATATCTAAAAAGTAAAGAGAGACATTTATCTTCTGCATCTTATGAAAACAAACTTGTCCTTTTTTCTCCCCAAATCCAGCTTTGCACTGCTCAGCTTATGCAGAAAATTCATCAACTGTATGTACACCACAGTGTACATTCACTTCTTTTAGCACTACAGCATATTTTGTTAACTTCTTGGTGTAACAAGAAAGCTCTTCCATGTTCCCTCCAAACAAGACAGAATTGATGCCATAATCAGGACAAACTTTAAAAAAACAGGGTCAATATGCAAACGCTAATGCTACTTAGCAGAACTGAATTTGCTCTAGAAATTATTTTTGCTACCTCAGATGCTCCTGACATTTAAGAGGTCTGCATTTCATCGGTTTATCTTGGCATCCAAGCTCATTATGCTTGTGAATGGAAGGTATCTGTGGTACTGGCAAGATGGAAAAAACTGAAACCAGAAGCCTAACTCTTTTCAGCACCTACTGCTGGCCCTTCATCACCTAATTCAGTGCTGACAAAAATATTTTCAAATTATCTGTTGGCTGAATAAGCAAGTAATGGGAAATATACTAATTGATTACAAACTTGTGTGCTATGAATCTAAATATTTTTTTCAATTATAAACCAAGTGGCATTTATATTTTAATTCATGTAAAAGCAGACCTTTCTCTTCAAGTAAGAAAACCCTGCCCACTTACATGGCGTAATAGACACCTGTGAGCAGCTGCACCATGAAGTCAGGGTCTAACACCACTCTACCACAGTGTTCTTTCCAGCGTTTCTCATGCTGCCGTGGAAATCCACTCACACACAGCCTAAAAACAACACCATTACAGGAAAGTATTAACTCCACAAAGAATAATGTCTTTATATCACAGAGATTTTAGTTAGTTTCAAATTTATTTTTTAAAATAAACACAGAACATTCTTATGCTGCAGTTTTGTAGCAGTGCTTTGATATGCAGCTCACTGAAAGTCCAGTGTTATTCCCATGTAGCCAATAATTCCTCCACCTGTTTTCCTCAAATCATAACCAGCTTCTAAAGAACAAGATGTTCTCCACTACCAGCCAGGAGACTCTCCCTAAAACTCAGTAAATGAAACTAATTTTCTCTATAGGAAATATTTCAGTGGTACAGAAGAGAAGTATGTCACTTCCCATCTAAAGAATAATGACAGCATGCAAGTCACCTTATACCTAAAGCAGATAACACACATATTATAGTCTTGATAACTGCTCTCAGCTGCCTTGTAAGAAATATTTCTGACTCTTGAAAAAAGGATCTGTCTTCCCATATACTGCCTACATTAAAACCAGGATAATTTATTATATCCTTATTGCATCAGTTTCCTATCTGAATCTTCATCATAGAAGCAACACATGGCCACTGATACATAGCAACTGTGGCACTGTCTCCAAAACAACAGAAATCTCCTGCATATAAAATGTTGTCTTGCTTCTCTACTCAAAGAACAGATCTAATTTTCAGATACAGGAAAATTAAGCATATTTGGCAAATTTAGCATAGCCACAACTCAAGTGAAAATGATGGAAGCATACCAAGAACCAATGTATCCCCATCAGAAAGTACTTTTCTTTACTGGATGAATATTTTAAAATCTACATGACCCTGAAGACTACTTCAAAGGCAAGTGTCTCACCTGGAACCCATCATACAAAGTGACTGGTAAGAAGAAGCAGGCATGTAGACAATAGCTGAATTGTAACACAGCATAAGAAAGCTCAGCACCTCAAACCTGAAAAGAGAAAAGCAAAATCTTACATTGTTTATATTCTTAATATTTCACTGAAATTAAACACAAGAAATCTACAATTCAGGCTCAAAAAGCACCCTACAGGAAGGGGTGTCAGAAGTAAACACACAAACCCTTTAATCCTCTTTCATTATAATTCACTAACTTGAAACAGGCTATCAAAGGTTCACTATAAACACTAAAATTTATTCTTCTGAAAATCCTGAAAGCCCTTAGCATATGCAGGAACTATGAAGGAAATGAGATATGGCATAATATTTGGACAGTTCTAGAAGTGGAAATGTCTGCAATGCATTCAAAATTATTTTATCAATTTTCCCAGTGCTGTCTTTAGACACAGGTAAAGCTAACAGTCATTAAACAGCAGGGCAATTTGTCTCACTCCTGTTCTCCATTCCCTCCACTCCAATGTAGCTCCATTCCCTTTTTCCAGTAGAAAAAAGACTCACAGCCCCTGATCAAAAGCTGAATTTTGTTACACTTCCAGGAAAAATTGAATAGACAGCCATAAAACGAAAGATATTCCTTGCAGACACAGAAATGACAGAGAAGTTATTCTTCAAAATTAACTAGCAGAAGAACATACAAGGATGGAACAAAGAAAAAGAGAATTATACTCATGACTACTAAGGCTGTTCTCTAGATTTATTGCTGAGCACCTACTGCTGAGAAAGGACTGATCACAAAATAGTTTTCTTTTGTTTCAGGACTTGTCTCCCTAGTGAAGCACCTTTAATATTAAGAGTACATCCACCTACCTGTTCTGTGCTGTGAAGGTTTCTCTTTGAGGATGAAGATCACTGTAAACTACTCTGATAAGATCATGCTGACTTAATGCTCCTTCAGTTAAAGCCATGGATCCAATGGTAGAGGGCTACAAGTAGGTGGTGGGAGAAGGAAGGAAGGGGGAGAAGTTAAGTTGTAAGTAAAAATTCCCCAAAAGCATTAAAGCTCCCAACTACCTAAGGCAAAAGACACATTTATCTTGTGATCTGTAAAAATGGAGATTACTCTAGAATACAGTGGATCTAAAAACATTACCTAGTTTCATTGTTATAAAGTGTACACACTTAGAAGTAATACAGCAGGTGAGAGCAATCTTCAACTTTTATTCTTACATATCCATGTACAGTTTGTCCTAATCACACAGAAACATTAGTGAAAGAAACACACAGCTGCAAGTTCTAACTGAACTAAGGAAGAGTTAGAAGGAAAACTGCTTTTATGCTAACATGTCAGAGGTGAAAAAAAGCAGTTGCAACTACAACATAACTAACTCTATTAAAAATGGGCAGTCAATGAAGATTTTTGAACATTTATATACCTGTTCTTCTACAAATTCTATAGCATTCTATTACACCAGCTGCAAGCTACAGACATTCAAAACTTACTACAAGAAGATGCATCTAAAATGGCCTGTGGCATCAAATGGATCCAGTTTCAATTCCTCTAATAGATCAAATTTTAATTTACCATAGTACCTCTCTTACCTCATGATATATTGAGGGTTTAGATAATGAAGGGATGGTGAAAGACAAAACTTTGTTATTTCCATCTTTGTCAGCAATTTCCTGCATTAAAAACAAAATCAGAACTCAAACAGGAGTAAGGAGACAGGAGTGGAATAATTTTCAGCTCTTAGAAGGAAGTTAACAAATAAGTTAGATGTCCTGATCTGATAAGACTATTAACACCCCAAGGACTTTGTGCATTTGCAGAATATCAACAATATCAACATACATATTTAACAAGTGGGAAAAGACCTCTATCACAAACTGCTCTGCAGAATCTGTGTGCAATACTTTAAAAAAACCCCAGCACTGGCTCTTTAATCAGTGAGACTAAAGATACTGACATAGAAGGGCTGATGAGTCGCTTGCTGACAATGGGTAGTATTTCATAATAAATGCACCACAGAGAAAAGGTGAAATCAAGGGGACTGGCAAAGTTTCCTCAGGAGGAAACACACACAGTGTTTTCTTCAAAGGCTTTCAAACTGGTCAGATTTTGTAGTTGCTAGGCTACTACATAAGCAAACCCTGCAGTTTTAAAAGAAAATATACTAGGAGCAATTATGTAAGACAACACCAAAAAGGAGTCTAAAATCCTGCCTTTGCACTTTGTACAGCAAATTTTCAAACAATAAGCTCCAGTCATTCCAGTTTATGTAAAAGTTTAGCCCAGGGCAGCTCAGTACTTGTAGCAGGCTTCAAGGATTATAACAGGAGAATGGCTGACAGAATTTGTCAGAACACAGAAGATTTATTTACCCCTTTCTCCCTTTAAGTATTCAGAAAATAACTTCACTCTCAGTCTATGTGCAGAAAAATATCAGTTTCATTAAAGAAAAAAAATAGTGGAAGCCACTGTTCATTTTGAGGTCTCTTTCTTTCTGAATATGGAAAGAATGGAGAAATTACTGTCCTTAAAAAATATGAATCACCAACATGACTTTCAAATGAACTGCAGAACATTCTAGGAGGAGGAAAGACAAATGTACTACTTCAATCTAATAGACAGCACAAAAAATCCATTTCCAAGCAGTTTCCAGTGGTTTTTTCTATAAAAATAAATCTAAAATAACTAGATCATCCAATTGTTGGAGCTGATCTACAGACACATAACTAGAATACATTTTAAGAATCACAGTTTGGCTATTCTGTGTCTTATGTGTAGAAATACAATGCACAACTGAAAGGAGGGGTTTATAATGACATGAGAGGAAAGGGTGATATTCAGTAGAGTATGTTTTAAGGCCCTATACCACAGAAATTCCCACTGGAGAATGTCTCTTGTGGAAGTATTGCTGAATTTATCAGCCTCATAACATGAAAACAGAAAACATTTCCAGGCCAGGGTAAGGATGTAAAAAACTGCTTTTACATCCACTAGCCAAATTTAATAATTTACAGTTACTTATTCTTAAAACTACAGTTCCCCTCAAGACAATTATCTGACTCAAATGAACACATGCATATATCTGAGTGCTCACATGCAGAATGGCTTCACCATCAAACTACCCCCTTAAAAAAGACACGTTCAGAGTACATGGGAGGGCAGGGGAAGTGACACATCAAGACTGACTAAGTACATGAGCCTGACAATCATAAGAAGTCTTATTTTGTAACATTAAGAAGGCCTACCTAATTTCCTTACAAACAGAAGTATATAAAAGTGTGAGAAAGTCCATGAGATGATCCTTTGCAGTGCAAATATTTTCTCCAAAAAAGATAATTTTAAAAAATATATTTTTGCAAACACATCTTTACTAAACCTTCGCTACATTACGCTTTTCCCTGTATTAAATACACTTTCCTTTAAGTGTATTTTAATTTTAAATATGTTGTTCTAATAATTTACTTTATTCCTAGCGGTCAGTGATGCAAAACTTCAGATCAAAGCTCTCCTCAGCCATTGCCACTCATCTCACTTACCAGGTTGTAAATGCCAAGCAGCAATGCCTCAATGCAGCCATTGCTCTGCCTATCCCTGCTGGCAGTGAGACGCAGATAAACCCAGATCAGCTCTGGCAGAAACTGCAGCGTGAATCTCTTGAGCCGAACTTCAGAACTCCGATAAAGTTCAAAGAGCTGGTGGCAAACAGGCTCCAGGAGCTGTGGAAAGGCAAAAAAGCTAATCACTTACTGGTAGGCTTCTCTAATAAGGGAGGGTGAAACAAATCAAGGGGCTATATCATATAGCCACTGCAGTCAGTACAAATTGCATTTCCTGCTGGCAATTGAGTGAATGAATCACACTGGTATCTGCATTCTGTTTAAGGAGATCCATAAGGACAGACATGAGGGACACCGGTATGCAGTGTTTGGACATGTGGCCACTACAGCCACTATCATGTGTGCTTTGATAAGATTCTTCTCTAGGGCTGTCAGTACAAGATTTATTTTCTGTACAGGTACTAATTTAAGGCATGTGACAGACGCATGGTTTGAACTCTGTGCACTGTCAAACTTTAGTGCAGTTGTAAGGTCTATGAAAGCACAAAGGTTAAAGATCAGCTGCTAATGACAAGTCCATTAACAGAAACATGAATTAATTTCTTACCTACACCTTTTGAGTCTCAAAACCAATAACTGAGTGTGTTCATTACAATGCAAACTGATCTTTTCATTTTGAGTTGCAGTTCAGGTTTCACTACAAGAATGAAAATAAAGGCCCCTATCCAGTCAGTGTGATAAAAGCATGAGGTAAACCTGCCATTTTAAGAGCCTATAATGTTAAACCAATACCTAAGACTCATCCATGGAACTGTTAGGGAACAGGAAAAAAAGCAGGAAGAACCATACTGAACAGTCTCATTCTTTCCTATGACTAATCAAGTTTTTATTACCAAAATCAAAACTTGAGGGGAAAAAAATCTAAAAAATTCTTAAATTCCCATGACAAATTTTTGTAATGTTTGTGACTACTATCTAATATTGTGTTGTACCAAATGTGATGATCTGACATAAGTATTTATGGGATTCACTGCCCAAAAAGACAGAGGCATACATGTAACCTAAGGCATCCATATCCGTATAGAAAAGCTACAGAGTCAGAAAATAGAGGCCAGAATCTCAAGTCCTCTTTCTAACAGTAAATGCTTCATGCAGCTCTCTTAGATATACAGACATACAGATTAGATAAGGCATATATGACCCTCCTTTCACTCCCAGGCATATGCACCTGGGACTTTCAGAGCATTAGCAGCATATTTCATGGACTTTGATGCATTCTTTTTTCATTAATTTGTCTATTCGTCATAATCACAGTACGACAAACTTCCTGTAGAATTGAGAGTCACACTTTTGCTATGCTGCACAAAGATATATTTCTGTGGTTTACTGTGAACCATCCATCCTCTTAAAAAACTTAGGAGTCCCTTGCTAACAGCAGAGGGACCAACATTTCTGCAAGTGAATAGCTGGAATGTTCGATAAATGTGCAATGCCATAAAGCTCTACAAATGTACAATTTCACATACCTATATTTACACTTAGATATTTTACACTGGTATAATACAAACATAAAACATAAATTTGACATTATTATCTATTAAGAGAGCATCACCCAGGAAACAGTTTCATTTCCAAGACACAATATTCTGGTCAATGTAGCACACCATATTTAACCAGTGATTACGTAAGCCATAACATGACATTTACGTAAAATAAAACTCAGCTGTCAGAGAAATCTCTTCTTAAACAAGACTCTGGTGTAAGCACCTTGTGTAACAAGGTTCTGATTGACAGACTTCTTACTCTAAGCTAGAAGCCAGCGTTTACAACAGAAGCGAAGAGAGACTCTACAAGGAGAGTGAAGAAAGATGACATTGACGATGTTGATACAGAATGAGAGAAGCCCAGTCATTTAGAACAAATGGATTTTTACAAGCTATACAAATCTGTCTATATGCATAGACATCCATATTTATATGCATGTATAGAAAGACAGATAGATAGAAAGATATAAAATAACCAACCACTTAAGTTTTGGCTTGGGATCTAAATGAAATTAGAAGTCTGTAAAGCTTCTATTAGAATCACTTAAAGGAAAAAATGGTACAGCTTCTGGTAGTATATTTATTCCAGTATTTCATACATATATAGCACTTTATGTTCAAAAGAGGCATAAGTATATACTTTCTTAATCATTATTTACTTAGTAGAAACTCCTATCTAAAAGTGACAATAATTATTAAAACCAACTGTTACAGTAAATGTTCTAATCCTCAGAAATAGAACTGTATCCTTGCTTTATGAACGGCCTATTTCAGACGTTCAAATTTAAAAACAGGTTACTAAGTAATTTGGACATCACTAAATAAATTTGTAGATTTTTCTTTAAAAGAAAATATGATTAAGAGGAGAAGAGAAAGAAGAAAAAAAACCCTCTGAAAACAAAACATGCAAGTCTCTCTGCAGTGAGATGACAAGTGCAAGAAAAGCTAAAAATATTATCTGAAACCAGATATATACAATGGCAATGCTATAAATAGTACTCGTATTAGATTAGAGATGACAGCAGCCTAAAGCTGTTTCCTATTTGAAATCAGCCAGTCTAATCCAAGTCCCATTGGAAAGAGTGGAAAAGAAAAATTTATTTTAGCTAAGTCAGATGACACTCAACCAGAGCAGTTACTAAGTTTATTCTACCTACATTCAAATGAAAATTTTATAAAATTAGTCTTTTAAGCCTAGGGAAACCTTCTCCCTAGAAAGATATAAGCAATACCTAGTCAGTGGCGCTGCAAGCATTCAAATTCTCCTTATTTTTAGTAGTTGTCATATTTGTTGTGGAAAATGTTTAACAACTGCAATTACTTAGGTAAAAACCTGTGACTACTATAGCACTTCTGGGGTGTTCAGAGTTGTAAGAAAAGCTGTAAGCTTTTTCCACAAGAAAAAGCTGCCATCACAAAGATGCTACAACACCAGTATTTTCAAAAGCACAACCACCCAGGATTTTCCTATCAAACTACAGTATGATAGCCTCCCACCTGGAGACACAAAATTTGACACTCTGAGAAAGAACAAATGTTCTCCTTACATCCTAGTTATCTGGCTTTCCAAAGAGCCAGCCTCTTCCAAGTAATTCTCTGAAAATACACATACTGAGAAGACAGTGGATAAACAGAGGAAATTGAGCTTTTGTCATCAGTAATGGGTGTATACATGAACTGGCACACATTTTTTAATCCCTAAGATCTTTCAGTCCAAAGTTAAAGCAAACTGAGTAGCACAGAAGTCGGAAAAAAAATCCAAAGTAAAATATCTCTTACAATCCTCTCTTTTTCCTGACAAACAAAATAATTATAATTACAAGATCTTTCCTATTAGCATAAGCAGCAATAAGCATTAAAAAAAGACATTTTTACTGGCTTAAACATGCAGCCTGCATCAATGATCTAATTTTCACTCTTCATTTTATACCTCACAGAGATGCAAACCAGTCATGTTTTAAGGAAGATGATGAATAGCCTTCCTTTGGCTTATTTTACAAGTTTTCCAAATCCTAAGAGTAATAACCTAAGTTAAATATAATGTTTTAGAAAATGAATGACAAATATTGGAAATACTTGCCTTTTTGAAGAATTAAATTGTAGAAAATAACATGGGCTTACTTTAAACTTAACTATAACACAATGGTGGAAACCATTTATTTCAAGAGTACTGGGTCTGGGCTTGCTTGGCATTGCAAAGGTGATCTCACTCTGTTTCACAGCTGCCCTGAGTTAAACCTAATTAGCACTCCATGAATATTCAATATTTGAATTTCAGTAGTGCAGTAACTTGACATCCATAGAGTATTGTCTACAGCCATAAACCAACCCTAAAAATTATAAAACTATCTGAAAAACAGAACTTCAAAAGCACTTTCCTTGTGAATTCCAATACTACACAAAAATCAATGTATTATTCAGTTAAAGTTGTTTATGAGCAATATCACTCTCTACACTTTTAGCAAATTTCTACTCCAGTCATCTTTATCTTTACATTTAAAAGCATCAGGGCACTTCCTCAAAGGCAAATAGCAACACCTGTATTTAACTTATCAATATGCTTGCCTTCATTTAATAGCTCACAAACAGTAGACACCTGCAAAAAGAAACAGCTTGGTTGTTTGGTTCCTAAATATGCTGATTCCATGTTAAATTAATAATTCTGGTCTTATCAAGATAGAATGATGTCATTCTAGAAAAAATTGTGTTTGCCCTAAACAGTTTGCCACTTCCTAGAAGTTTTAAAAATCAGTCACCTTTATGATTAAATTGCACTAAAGAATTACTTGTCCATCAAGTTTAAGAACCCAGAAACTGTACTTTTATGATAGTCTACCACATGTACTTAATCTTCATAAGCCATGAATTACCTTTCTAACAAATAACGCCCTATAAAGCATATTTAAAAAACCCTCTTAGTTAGAGACAAGTATTACTAGAGAACTATGTAAAGTAATGAATTCACTTTGGTTATATTCCTCACAAGCAAATAACTTTGGAAGAAGTACAACAAGGAAATACATCCTGCCTTAACAAGTAGAACCTGAAGCTGGACATCTTTGTGTCTAGGATTGTTTATCTTACACGTGGTAGCAGAATCAGGCTGAAACTGCAACAGCTGTTCCAAAGAGTAATATTTGACAAGCACCAGTGAGCAGTAACATAAGATCACCCTAAAAAGATTTGCAAATCTGGTTCTTTGCTCTTTAAATAAAATAAATCAAATGCTTATTCTCAAAACAATGAGAACCTTTCACATTTTCAGGAGTCTACACAAATACATAGACAGCAGCAATGGTGGCTTCAGGTTGAAGAGAGAATAACAGCAGCTTTTCAGTACAAAGAAAAAGGTCACTATGCAGGTTATTTATAATACTGAAATGAAGCTGACAGCTATGAAGCCTTTTTTTTTAATTGCATGAGCATTATGCAATCTCCTTGAAGCTCAATCAAGCATTCAGCTTTCTTAAACAGCTGAGCTGTACTTGGGAAAATAAGGAACTTCCTTGCTGTGTACACTACCCATTTAATTTATAAATATATGAAAAGTCACAGATGATACACCAAGTATTTGTAAGCATTTTATCTACAGTAGTTGACATGTCAGAGGATGATATGCTTGCACAATTTATTCAGAAGTTATTTTTCACACACTTGCCCAGAAATGCTCCTCACAGAAGCCAATGGGTTGCAAAGCTCAGTTTAATGTCACTTGCAAAATAAATTATGTACAAGGGTAAGCTAAGTTTGCATTGTGTCTATTTACACTTTGGGGCCCTGGTTCTGCTCTTGTTTACAGCAGTATAAACCAAATTACAGAGAAGTGATACTAGTATAAGCATGAGAAGATCTTGTTATCTTAATGGCATTTAAAAAAAAGGTTCCACCTTCCACTGCAACACGCCACCACACAAGAAGTACATCGGACTTTTTGGGTTTCATTATAAGGCTTACTTTGTCTCAGCTATGACTGAAAGGTGGTTTCTGGGAACTGGGAAAAAAAAAAACCTAAAAAAAGCCAAGCTTGAAACCCCCCAAATAAAAAAAAACCCCAAACCAAAACACCAAAACCAACCCATGCCAAAAAAACCACAACAGTCAGCTGTGGCAAGGAGAACCTAGCAGACAGCATAAACATTATTTTTGGAAGCAGATAAGATTGTGTCTTGCTAGAAAGGCATTAAAGTAACTATAAAAAACAAGAGACTAAACAGAGGGATGATACGCATGGAAAAAAAGAATCAATCTTCCTCTGCTTTAGTTTCTCCAGTTTCAGTTGTAGAGGTGAAAGATCCAGGAATGAGAATAAAAATAGTTCTTTAAAATCTCCTACCTCATTGTTTGGGTCTTGAATGACCTTATAAAGAGCTGGTACCAGTGGTTTTTTTCGGTGCAATGTAGCTGCATAGCTGGAAATTTGTGATTCAGGTAATGCCTAAAGAAAAAAAAACACAAAACCCAAACAAACAACAAACAAACAAACAAAAACATAAAAAAAACCACAAATGAAGTCTCATCCCAACAGCCAAGAAAAGTCCTGAAGTTCAGTAGTTCAGTAAATTTTCAGACTTCTAACCTAACTGTTGAGTACAAGTCCTTCTCCATACAAACAGCATTTGGGAGCACTTAACCATTTTCAGGCTTAACTCCAAAAACAGTTTAGATTCATCTTCCACAAATCATTTGCTTTAGTTTGGTATGAGGAATCTCTTTCTTGATAGCCTGTATTTAACAGGATCTTTTTGAAGACTTTATCAAATCAACTCAACTTATTTAAGAGGTGTCAAGAGCATAGAATGAGCATGGAATGCCTCGAGTCTTCCCTGAGAAACCATGTTTGTGGATTTTGCACCCTTGGAACTTAAGCAAATTTCCAACAACAGCACATGATGACTTACTCTCATCAATGATTCAGGAACTACTAATTCTTAATTTAAATAATAGACTAATTTCTTATCAGTCATGAAATCCCATTTTCTTGTTTATGCATTATCTTGTATTTCACTCAGCATATTTATCAACATGCAAAATAGCTTAAAAATACTTCAAATTCTTCATGATGAAACAATCTTATGCTGCTCATGGTGGGGAAAAAGTAAAGTATTTTCCTTTCTTTTTTTTTTAAGTCCAAATAAATATATACTAATTATTTTTAAATTTAAAAGTTCCTCAATTGCAAATTTGGGCAGCATTATCCAGCTGTTAGTTAAATTCTAACAGCTTGACCTACACAAAACACACATTTAAAAGACCACATTGCTATTGCTGTGTTCTGCTCTACAATAACAAACAATAAAAATAAACTATTATTAGAATTATGCATTACGTATTATGTACCAGCCAACTCAATTACACAGATCTGTGGATGCTTTAGGAATTATAAGAAACTGAAAGATCAAATAATAGATATTTAAAATGTTCATAATTTGATATTAAAAACCACCACTACTATGTTTGGTGGAATTGAGCCAATGGTTGAGATATCATTAATCTTCCCAGTTCACCTTGAATTCTGACAGCCATTCTTCCACCACACCTCGTTCTGATCCCAGCATTTTCTTACTTCTTTTGCTTCTCTCTTACCTTTAGAAGGAAAAAAAAGAAGTTAAATATTAGTTATGGTAGGAAAATTTAGTTTTTTACAATCCTACCCAATGAAAAGCTGTTAATACCTTTCCAATAAGATTATATAATACAAAACAATAAAAAGTTGCATTTTGGACAATCAGTCCCATTGTTTAACAGTACTTTAACTGTTTTCTTTGTTTAGTCTAAAATGCTGCAAATAAATGGGGAAGGAGGAAAAAGAAGGATTCAGTGCTTCAGGCCAGCTGTCTTTCAGCTGTGTTTTGAAAATTACTTAGGTTCAACAAAATTTAGATATTTCACATACAAATTATATCATGGAAGTCCTACAATAAATGACCTTTTAATAGCCAGACTAGATGACTGGAATCATCAATTCTCTTCTCAGAAATTGTTTTTGTATTTATTTTGTAACTTATTTGTATTTAAGAACAATCAGTATTTGTTAAATGAAAAGTGAAGTGAAATAAGATAAAAGGCCTCCCAACACATTTTTTGAGTTAATGTATCATTTTTTCAATGGCCCTTGGCAGAAAGTCATTAAGAGAATACCAACTCTCTTGTGGGCAAGGAACTGCTTCAGATTTCTAAAGCATGTTTAAACATCCTAAAATACAACAAATTCAGAAATAACATTAAATTCAAGTAACACTTGAGTGACTTATTTCAGCAGAAGCACTGAAAAATAATTCTGTAAAATAACAGAACTGATTGGATCTCTGCAAACAAAAGTTTACAAAGACATCCTGATGCCATGTCAGACTGATACATGTATTTAATTTAATTTAAAACATCAAAACACAAGCTACAGAAGAATCTGAGTTCTAGTTCAGTCTGCCTGGAAAAAAAACCTGCAACATTCAACTTTACCTCTTTAAAGAAGTCAGTTTTCTAAAGGAGGAAGAGGAGAAGGAATGCAGAAATTTTTCAACCTGGGATGCATTTGTCAAGCCTTCAAGTACTGCCCCGTTTTCTAAAAGATAAAAAATCCATATCATGATCACAAAATCTGGAAAAAATATAGTAAAGTAAAACAAGCATTTTTTGGCCTTATAAATTGAAGTTTACCAAATCTTCCAAAGCCCACAAGAATCCTTCTGCAATAAAGAAATTTGCCATTCAAAAAAAAAAAAGCTCAGTATTTTAGCAGGAGGAAGGGAGGAATTGCCTTCATCCAAATAAAAGACTTTTGCCACTTATGTAGAAAATCCTTCTGTATTAGTGAGGCACAGTACTTACAAAGAACAGCGTAAGACAAAAGAAGAAAGTAATAATTTCATAAAATGTGAACTGAATTCATACCCTGACTTTGGAGAACATGCAATTCTTAAATTGACTATATTAAAGACTCTCCCATACTATAATTTCTTAGGTACATATTCCTTACAGAGCCAAAATTTCAGTGCTGTGAAAATCAGGCATTAAACTAAAGTTCACCTTTTGCTGAAGAATCCCTTCATAGTGAGCATGAGGAAAACAACACACACAGGAGCAAACTCTAGCTATATTAGTGGTTTTGCCATGCATTGAGCTTCAAGCTTCCCTATTTGGGAACTTCTTTCAGTGTAAATCAGCTTGAGAACCACAACTGCTGTATCAATGCAGAAGCACTCTACATCTGGTCTGGTTACAGTCACTGCCAGTTCAGTCTTAGGACAAATTGTCTCTGCCTTTCAAATTATTTGCCTGAATATTAAAGATATTTTTAAGGACTTGTACAAGATAGGCAGGGGATGGAGTGCCAGCACACAAGCTGCAGTGACCCTGCAAGAAGCAGTGAGGAAAAGCAGGGGGAGCCCCTCAGCTCGCTGCCCCATCCTGCTCCGGCCAGGCTGGGCTGCAGCGGGCACTGTTCCAGAGGCACAGGAGCACAGCAGCTGTGGGGCTGCCCCTGCTCACACTCAGCTGACTCTAGGATTTGCAAATGGCCATATGGAAAGCACACCTCATGCTTACACTCACTCCCTGGCTTGCTATACCTTTGGGGGGAAAATATAAATATACCCAACACTGTGTGGGTGTGTCCCTAAAGTAAACTGGTTCAATACATTAAACCCTGTGCATATTTATTCAAGGCTGAAGTAGCCTGAACCAAGAGTATTGAATTTCATTTCCAGCGTGTTCACATCTCTCCCAAAGCAAACAAAATACAGGGAATATAAGAGATGTCTCATGTTTATTTTAAAAACATTATTATTTTTTCTACTATGATTCAAAGGTTCTTATAGTATATAGGAACCATAAAAAACTAATCAAAAATTTAGTTATTAGTAACAGTAATAATAAAACATACCAAAATATTTTTACATATGGTCTGATGAAGATTTCTTAAATACTAAACAAGTAATCAAGTTTGAATTCATACTAAAGCATGGAACAGGAGAAGTTAGAGTTAGGAATGCAGTCACTCAATGTTAAAATCAAATACAAAAAATCAATTACCAAAAATCTTCCCCACAAAAGCACCTGAAATGACAGTTTGAGTGTTTTCTCCTAAACTTACTCATTCGGCATAAACGAGCAGAGTATGACACATAAGGCTGTCAAATCAGACCTGGAATCTTTATACTTAAAATTAAAGCTATAATACTCTGTTCTGAAGAAAGTCACAGTCTTGCACTGTGCATCTGTCAATTACAGTTAAGAAACAGAACTTTACCAAGTCAGAGCACTCCCCTTGATCATGCTATGCACACAAATCATGGAATCATAGAAGCATCTTGACCGGAAATGACCTTTAAAACCATCGAGTCCAGCCACTGTGCAAAACAGCACTGCCAACTCCACCAATATACCACATCCTTCAGTGTCACATCTACATGGGTTTTTAAATTCCTCCAGGGATGGTGAACTCACCATTCTCAATATTTTTGCCTTTGAAAATACAAAAGTTTGAAAAAAAGTTTATTCCAACAATATACTAGTGGAATAATGAAACTTGAAAAACTCAAGTAACTCCAGAAGAATTTTTGACTAAAATAAAAGAAATAAAAGAGGGACAACTGTGCTCATCAGAGAGCTTGTTTTCCACTTAAATTTAGAAGAAACACATATTGAATACATTATTATTTACCAGTCTTCATTTAAACCAAGACTAACCAAAATCAATGTGCAACAGCAAAATGATTACCCAGATAATCTGAGCCACTACCACTTACTGCACTATCAACTATAACAGTGGGGACTAGAAAGAAAAAAAATGTCACTGATTAGACATTCATAACTGATGATATTTAAGAAGATATCATTATTCAAGTATGCAGAGGGGTTTTTGTTGATGGTTTCTATTTTATTCAGAGTTTTTGTCTGTATGTTTGTTTTAAAGAGGCCAGTAGTTTATACTGGTTTAGACATACATGGGAGAGATTACATTATAGGACATGCACTTCAAAAGGAGTCCAGTTCTTGGCCATTTTATACTAGACAGCAAAATGCATACAACACAATTTTCATACTAGTTGCACAATGAATGAAAATATTATGTATTTTTACCTTAAAGGCCATGAGAAGAATAATTTGCATTTAAGACCTGAACTGTGTCAGCCAAAAGAATAAAACATCATGCTACACAATTTCTTCACAGTGCCATTTGTGTAAGAGAATATTATGGAGTGACAAGTCCAAAAAAACAAAACTATTATCAATTATAGCTTGTTCTTCCAAGCTACACTCCTCTCATATCTGTAATTGATTACTGAGCGTGGAAAGAAATATGTTTGAAGAAAGATTTTTCCATGCTGCCTCTGTAAAAAAAAATAGTGTGGAAAGCATCAAAAATGCACCCTTACTCTGAACTAAACACAATTTTAGTTTCTTTGATTCGGCAAGTTCATAGCTCTGTAAGAAGAGCACCTGTGTTAAACATGATTAAGACCCTGGAAAGCAGAATAGATAGAAGACAACATAGGATGAGGTGGTCAGAAGTACACAGGAAAGAAGCTTCCCCACCACACACCCACACTAACGAGACTGGGAAACTCTGGAGGAAGAAAACCAGGCAACATGCTGATAAATGCAGATAACAAAAGCACAATTTGAACTTCTCGTGATGAGCTATTCCTGAATGCAGAGGTGTAAAAGACTAGATAATATATTTGATGATGCAATGAAAATATCTGTTCAGGAATGCATCAGCAGCCAGGCAATAAATCAAGATGTTTGATCACACAAAGTCATTTAAAGTAAATCTGAAAACATGAAAGTAGAGAGGACAAAACTGGTAATATGCTCTTATTTGAAATACTGGTAAACATTTGTTGCAAACAAAAGAAATATGTATAAGGTAGAAAAATGTTTAAGAAGCAGTTGAAGACAAGGATTGTGAAAAATAACTTCTAACCTGGATATGAGAATAATTTTTTAAAAACAGAGGAAATAAAGAGCTCCTTGTCTTAGAAGCTCATGGAATTAAGAGGCTGAGAAGGTAGAATGGACTTTTTCTTGTAACAGAGTAATAAAAAATAAAATGTTTGAATGCACCAAGATAGAAATCTTAGACTGTTAACAGTGTACTGCTTCCTACACTGTAAGTTACCATAAAATATCATGAGGACAATAAGAAGCTATTGTAGGTAAACACTGTAATACCTGTTTTACATAGTTACTTCTGTGGTAGAACAAGAGTAAAGAAGAAAACTTAATGCTGTCAACTAGCACTTCATTGATATGCTTTACAAAAAAAATTCTCTTAAAAGCCACTCCTTGCTTAACCACTCAGTATATAGGTGTATATAGCTTCATCCAGCTACTCTGAAGTTATATACCAGAAGATATTAAATAGCCACAGTATGGTCTGTTTCCACACTAGCAAAGGGTCTGACTCTCATGCTAATCTAATCCCAAGAAAAAATAAAACCAGCCTTGGAAATGTTCAATTTCGGTGGATGGCTTCTTGTACTTAAAAGTATATGCATTGTAATATACATCTCTTTTGATAAATATAGTACAAATACCTTTGTCATTTCCCTGTATCCATATACATAAACATATTATTCTACCAGAAGCCTATTTAGGAGACACTTACTTAAATTGTCATTTTGATAAGAACATAAAATAATACATTTAAAAACTATTGTCCTCAACAAATCAGAGCTACAACCAGAACTTGCCATTTGAAACAGGTTCAAACATTCTGCCAAAATTCTCTTGGCTATACAGCTCCAGAGTACAGAGAAACAAGGTAAAAACTGACAAAGACAGAAAGAAGCAAAACCTCCTCAGAACAGTTATTATTTTAAATTGTCAGTTCAAGCCTTCTCCTTAATAGAAAGGGCACTCTTCCAACTCTAGATTTTAGGTAATTTAATTGCAAGCATCAGCAGACAGGCATGCATTCCAACTTTAAAATATAAATGCTGATGTATTCTTTATGTGGGATTTAGGTTGCCAGCCTTATTAGACAAGCCTTAGTCATGCAAAACAACTTGGATAAGACATTACTTCCCTGCCCACTCTGACTCACTAGTAAAAACCAGGCTAAAAAGCTTTCTTTTTGGATATCAGCAACACAGAAAGGTATGTGAAAACAATGGGAGAAAGCCTTACCACAGAGAAGTCAAAGATGATTGATAATAGTCTTGCAAACTTTCATGGTACCATACTTGCACGGTAAGATCCATTTCTTATCAAAAAGGTCACATCAATTTCAGCAGCTGCCAAAAAAGGGGTAAAGAAAAGGTACAGCCCATCTGTTCCAAAAAGCCTCCTCTAAGTCATTTTAAGCTCTAAATTATCTTCTTTTCCTTTTCAAGCACCTCAAAGCTCAGCTGCCAACCTTCTGTCTTTTTACCATTCCTACAGTGAAACTACTTTATAGATACAAAATTGCTGAAGATTAACAATTAGGGCAGTGGGAATGAAAATACAACACTGAAAAGAGACACTATATAACAGTTTAAAAAACAACTTTAAGGCTGATGTTTTCATAGTATTACACAGAGTAGTTGTAGAAAGCTACAGAAGTCAGGTTACTCTACAGAGAAAAATTTAAGTGCCTCATAGAGGCAAATAAGCAGAACCTGAATTAAACACAGTTGTATACTCAGAGCTAAATCCCTCTCCTAGGAGTTCATGCAGCAAATAAAGCAGAAAAGAGTTGAGATAATCAAGAATGTGGAACAGCAAATTTATCTTCTTTATTCAAAGAAAACACTCCTCTACATTACTTACAGGATTTTTGAAACAATAATAATAAAGACATTATCCTGCAACCTTAAATACCACAAAACACACATTAATTATTCTATTATAAGGACCTGACGCACTTTAAAATATATATATACACACACACGTAGGTTAGCCACAGAAAAGTTACCTTGTTCTCTCAGCACCAGTTTCCTTAGAAACAACTTCACATAGTCATCCTACACAAAACCTAAAACATTCTCTTGTCAGGATCCTGGTGATAACCCATCCTACGCCAGACAATACAGGTTTGTCCTCCCTTTGCATCAGTTCATATGCAGTAACTCTTCCTATGCTAGTTTGTCTGCATTAACCTCTTTACTTACAAAAACATTTCCATGCAAATTACTTTCCGTGTAACCCTACCCCTCCCAAACACCTTCTCCTTCATGGTTTTGGTTCATGAAGTAAATTAAATCTAGAGAAGTAAAGATGCAAAATGCATAGTAAAAGAAGGAGCCCAAAAAAATAGCCTCAGCCAACTAACACATGCAAAATCACTGTTAAGGTGGTCTTTTTAAGGCACTCAGTGCTAACTACTAAAAATGAATAGACACAGGCTAAGAGAAATCTCAAAACAGAATTTCTGTGGGAACAAAACCACAACAAAATTCAAACCCAAACCAAAACAAATCAACAGAAAGACACACTACCAAAACCTCCCCAGTATGCATTTGGAATAAGACTGCAAACATTATGCTAAGATCACTATCTGGTCTGTAAAGGAAAGAAATTCATGCAGAAATGTTCTAGAAATACCAGCTGAATATTTTAAGCAGCTTCCCACTTTTGAGCTGTAAAATCGTCACTTGAGAAAAATAAATGTCTGTTATATTACAAAAATATCCATCAAAAAGTTGAAGTCAATTCCAGACCATATCTAAATTCCAATACCAGTATATATTTCTCATTGCAGTATTCCCTACCAACTGTAATTTCCACAAAATGGAATTTAGGTTACATATTCATTAATTAATTTACCTAACCTCCTTTTTTCTAACCTATTCTCAAAGAGATCTAACCCAGAGGCTCCTCTGCTGAAGTAATGAAATCCCTTATTCTAATCTTTCCAACTTCCAGATGGTAAAGCCTCCACCTCCAGGAAGAGGAGTGTAAATAGATTAAGCTGAAGTGACAAATTTCCCCCCATCCATACACTTACTTACACATTCACAAATTCTTAAATGAGTGTAATCTCCAAATTTATCTGAATTTACCTCAGTTATAGCTAAAATTATGTCATCTTGCTGACTTTTAAAAATGATGCGGTAAGAATACAAAGTTCCAAATAAACTTTCAAAATGGCAGAGTTAAAATAAAGATCCATAAGAATTAGGACATTGTTTTATTGCACGATGCCATAAATTTCATATCTGACTCAGATGCTTCATTCACATGAAGATGCATGGTTTTCAAGGATAAAATTAATTCTGATTGATATGCTGGTCTTACCTTTCCATTACAATTTCCCAGACTTTAAAAAGCAAACTTGTAGTTAAATGAAACATCACTGATCACACCACTACTCATCAAGATGACACAATTTCAGAACAGCCCAGATCTCTTCTGCTTGACCTAATGGAATATATGAGCGAGTTGAACCCTACACACTTACAACAAGGCCTTCAGTCACATACAGAGGATATTCACTATTCAGAGGTGAAGCACAGTAGCATCAAGCATTCTGAAATCTAAGATCTGCTTCAACATTCACAGTTAAAACTGTAACTGCCTTTATTACTTCCAAGTGTCACTGCAGAGGAAGCAACTTGTCTTCTCCCATGTCATGCATCACAGCATGATTTCAGTCAGTCATTTTCAGTCTCACACTAGTTTTCTGAAAGTTAGAGAGGGGTTTTAAGAACTGCAAAGAACAATCTCACCAAACAGAGAGAAAACCACTGTTAATTTTATATTGAGATTAGACAGACTGTACAAGTCAGAATACAAGTCCACACATAAGAAATAAAACATGTACCTCACCATGTTAATTCTATATAATGCAATCCATTAAGAGCTGTGTGAACATCAATGATTAAGATATTTGACCCAACTGATTAAGGTGATTGTACTACAAAAATTGATGCTTATGACCAGCCCTCCTATTAACTTCACTAGGATTCCTCCAGAGCAGGAAATTACACAGCCTTTTTGGACTCTCCTTCACAGAAAATGGGCAAAGAAACTGTGTCCATAAAGAAAGTGTAACACTTTGACATCACCTTATTAGAAGCTCTCATGAAGCTCTGAAACTCAGCTTACTATAATTGGCACTCTGTGGCCTATTACTTGGAAGCATAAGCTGCTTCTCAGTGAAATAACTGTGAGAGAATTAAAACAGTAGTAAATGTAAATTAGTGCAACAACTACACCAGGTACCCCCTTTGTCTTGCTATGAGTTTAATAATTAATCTTCACTGCTGAATAGTTAAACACAATGCATATTGTTTACAGTCATTATTCTTCTACTCTTAGACCAACATTACGACAGAATGCAAACCAACTGGTCATCAAAAAGGACTAATGAATATTTTACTGTGAAATTGTTCATTTTTCATGTATTTTTAAATAGTGAGAACACTAAGTTACTAACATATGTGGGGGTACTTGGGGAGGGTGTTGGGATGGTTTTTGTGGATTTTCTAATCTGAAATTTAAACAATCCTTTTTCTAGAGCAAAACTTCATATATTAGTATCTTTAGGAACATGACGTAAATACAGAAGAAACAACTTAAATCAACCCAATCTTTCATGCACCATATTAGGCAAGATTTTCCACAATATTTTTCATTTATCTAAGCTATAGACCAGTATAAAAAATAAAGTAGTGTAAAACCACAACAAAACGAAACAGAGACAAAAAGAAAACAGCCTTCCACAGGTGCTTGATTACTCCAATTACTCCAGTTGGAATACACAGCCTTTATTCCTCCTCCCCTCAACACTGCAGAAACAAGAGCACTATCTTAATGCACAGTACTACTTTCATACATATTTTCTATTTATAACCTGAACAAAATTAAAAGTTTTTGTCAAATACTGTCCCAATGTATATTCAGAAAATTTGAGTCTTTCAAGATTATGAAACATTACAGATTTGACAGGCAGCACTGAAAATCCATGCAGCAAGCTTTACAGCTAAGCTTCCCCAAGTTTTTTTGTGAAGACAGGGGAGTGGAATTTATGTAGAGATGGTTAATTTTACAGTGTTCTAGGTTTTCAAGCATATTTTCTTGTGCTCCAAAAAACCTCACTGAGGACTCAATGTTCTAATCTTCAGGCACTTTTACATAACCTCATTCGTACACAGAGATACTCTGGGTTTTTGTTTGTAATGCTGAACGGTTTTCCAGCTAAAAAAAAAAAAAGGGAAAAAAAAAACCAACAACACAAACCACCTTCAAAAGCAGTTGGTAAAACAGAGTTTTTCCTTTCCTCAAGTTTCTGGATAAATTTACCCTTGGTAGAAGTCCAGAGATGGCCTTATATGCAAACTTTTAGGGGTTATACTACTACTTTTTGCAACATTAATCATCTTTGAGCAATTATTACATCTACTTCAAATGGAAATACACCCACATGAACTATACTAAACATAAACAGTTTCTCTAATCCTTAACAGGTACTACCCATCGGGGAAAGAGTTATGACCTTCTACTTTTTTATTAGTTATTCTGGCATAGAGCAAATTCAGTTCATTCTCTTCCAACACAACCAAAAATTTTTAATCAAAGCCTGAGTTTAATTAAAAGCCTGTTCTGTTTCCCTATGCAATTGTGCTGATAGGGATCAGCAGCACTTACCAAAGTTCAAGCAGCAGGCACCTGAAATTGCTAGATTACACATTTTTGGTGTAAGTAATACACTCATCTTTCATAGAGCATGCTCCACAAAACAGTCTTTCAAGGGCAACTTAGACAGAAGGTTTAGAAATACTGAGGTCATTGAAATGCACAGTGGACCTGCAGAGAGAACATGGAGTAACTTCTCAAAAAGTAGGGCTGATCCGGGATGAAGGCAAAAAAAAACTTGAAGAAAAACCCACACCGCCAAGAACAAGCCAAAACCAACGTGCACGGTCCACATGTGACTCCTTCAGCACATGAAAAAACTGTTCTGAACAAAATACACACCCAGACCTAACACCCCTGTACTTGCAATTATGTTCAGATTTGCAAGTTAAGATGATTACACCATAATTATTTCTTATCAGTGAGCAGCAAGGGTTTCATACTTGGAGGGAAAATCCTCATGGTTTTTGCCTTATCTGCCAGCTATCCAACTGGCAAATTGAGAAGATTTTCATAAGATATTTTAATAATTTTACTCCCTAATCAGTTTTATCTATTTCATTTAAACTATTAAAACCAAGAAAATGCCAACTTAAACAATAAAAAAGGAAATGCTAATAAAAGCCCTTTTCATTTTCTATAGATGTGACACATGTACATAAGCATGCAGAATTTACTCATAGCAACCTTACATATATCAGAAAGCTCTAAAGTCTGCATTCAGAAAGACAAAGAGACAATCATTTCAATCTATCCAAAGTCAGCACACATTACTAAAGCAGAATGCTCCAGCAGTTCATAGAAATAGCAATAAAATTACTACTACTAGAATTCTGCAGAAAGCCAAGAAAAGCCTGCATCCTTTCCCTGTAGAAGAGATATTTTGTCTTTCCCACTGGAATATTAATTTGAAATATATCAAAACTTGATAGAGCTGACAACAGTCAACACAGTAATTAAGGTTTCCTAATTAGCATGATAATGTCCCTTTAAAATTTGCTCCCTCCTCTCTCTCACAAGACCAAAAATTTATTATCAAAATAAGCCATCAAAAACAGTAGTTGGCAATCATGGGAGTATCATCAGCAGAGAAGGGCAATGGACCATCACACCCATACACATCTCCACCAGCCAAGTGTGACAAGGTTCCCACAAAATGTTTCAGTCAAATGGCGAGAAGCTGTGCTGAAGCAGCTCTTTTCTAGCAGTTGACAGGAAAAAAAAAGGCATAGCAGTCCACTTCCCCACTGATCAGCAAATCTTTAAGTGTTCTGTATTTATTAGAAAAAATTAATATCTACAGGCACTCTATTTCAATTTTTTTAAATTTCCTTCTACTTTTCATATGTTGAACTACCTAGTTTTCTGTCTTTAGCACAGAGCAGAACCTGCAAGTCAAAGAAGAAGGGCACAGAGGAAATAACAGAACTAACCTTTGAACATTTAGTAAATTTTAAGTTGCCAAATAAAAGGGGGGAGTGGAGGGGTGGCACAAAACACAATCAGCACAATACTCAGTTACACAATTTCAGCAGCATCAATGCCAATTAGCATTGGTTGCTGACCCCTAATTTGATCTGGAATGCATCCACAATCTTAACCTGATTAGGACTTTGTGCACAACAAATGTGAAATCCTACTGTTGCACATTTATTTTTCTGCCTTAGCATCCTAAGTTTTACTCAATTTAAACACTGAAGTAGCTAGGGGAAAAAACTACAAGGTTACCATATAAGCATTATTATGGAATTTACTAGAGCATCTTCAATCATTTCCCTAAAAATGTCAGAGTTTATTTTTGGGGTAATTAGGCATGTTAAAAACTAGATATATAGGGCTAACATTTTAATTTAAATTAAGAAGTAAAATTAGTGCTGTAGTTTTAGTTATGCTATGTAAACTGCAACATTAACTGTGGAAAACCATATTAACATATTAAACCTGCAGCTAACTGAAGGGATTTAATCTATAGAGAGGAAAAAGCAAAGCATGTAGTCTCTCTCTCAGTGTTCTACACCATGATTCCTGGGACACAAGGTATGTGGAACACAGCTGCCATTTGAATGATTTAAACACCCAGATGCCCCAGTAACATTTTGCTATGAGGAAACAAATGCAACAAAGTCACAAATTGCAACAAATGCATTTTTCTGAGGAAACAAATGCAACAAAGTCACAAATTGCAACATCAAACACAGTTTCATTTCTGCACCCACAAGGAATAACTGCAGGAGTATTTTCACCACAGATGCAGAAAAGGTGCATATTCTGAAGGTAGAAATTGTTTTGACATGACTGTGCATAGTCCAAGTCCACTCAACACCTGCACAAGCAAAAGAGCATCTCAGTTATTTCTGCAATTGGTCCTTTGGAGACACAAAGACAACAAGCCATGCCTAAGTTATTTAAATTTTTTATTTGCTGTCTCAACTTCTAAGATAAATTGAAGAAAATCTTGTTCTCTCCTTCTCCCCAAACAAACAAAAAGCAAGCTAGGAAGTTCTTATTCGAGAGATAAACAGAGGCTTCTCAAACTCCTGTGGTGTTTACACTAACAGAGGTGAAGGCAAAGCTGAAGACTCAGAACACATGAAACAAGTCTTGGCAGACACACAGAGCTAAGCAGGCAGAAAGGCAGTAGCCTGTTCAATGGAGAACCATGTGACACCTGTGATTTTAAGGAAAGGTTGCTGTCACAGGATGTCTATGAAAATAAACAGTGCAGATATGCAGTTTATGAATGCTTAGCTGAAATTCATTTAGTATTTTAGTTATTTCTTTTCTATTTGCACTCAAGTTAACCTCCAGTCCAAAACTCCTATCTCTATTTGTATGTCCATAGCTAACACAGAACTGTTTCAGAGATTTTCATGAAGCTCTTGCCACTCTGACATGGCAAGATTTGCACTGCAGTCCATTAACATAAGGGAAGCTTTCAGAATGGCTCATATGAAGTCTAACAAAATTATCATCTCTCTTCCCAAGAAATTGCCACAAATATGGTTTAGTAACTTCCAGAAGCTTAAGGATGCTACTATTTGAAATTACTGCACAGATGCAACACTGGAGACCATCAAGTATGGTGGTTTGTCAATTACATAACTACCAAACACAACAAATACATTATTAACAATCTAGAAGCAGTTTTGGAAGCTCAGCAATTTTGTCTAAGGCCTGTTCTAAGCTAAGAACAAGAAACAAGCACCTTAAAAAAACCCAAACCCACAGGCATAAGAATCTAATAATTTTTCCACTTCACATTTAAACCCCCCTTGCTCTCCCCCTCTGTGTCCATATTTAGCTTACATCTCCTATGCTGTTTTGGCTCAACAAAACATCTTTAAAAAAAAAAAAAAAGGAATGGAAAGTTCTCCACTGTTACACAAAGAAATATGAGCTTGTGCTGGGATAAATCCTTTGTCAGCATGCCTTACATTTCTATGTAAAAGGGCACATTACTATCACTTAAACTCAATCACTTCTTGTGTAAGATGACTACAGCAAATGGACTTTAACCAATCATCTGTCCATCCCACTGCTGCAGATACCAAAGACCAGTACAACATCCATTCTACATAGGGAGCTTTTTTTAATTATTATTTTTAACTGGATGTGTTTCCAACCCTAAAGCATGAGGAAGCACAGTGACACACTGAAGCATCAAGTGTCCTTTCAAAAAAAGTAGACCTCTAATCCAGAGTAATAAACAGATAGCAGAACTCAAAGTTGAGCATTTGGATTTTCATTCTTTGCCCTGCTCTGATGGCATGTACCAGGGTGCTTGATAAATTGCTCACTCCACCCTCTCTATAACTGAGTTTACATAAAAGCCTCCTACCTTCTGAAACATCTCTTGTCTAAAAGGTGATTGACCCTCATGTTCAGCCATCACAGTGCTAAATGGGATGGTGGAATCGCCACTGTACCTCACACATGGGGCACACCAGCCTTAAGATACCACACCTCCACAAAGCACATGTTTAAAAAAATTAATTCTCATTCTAACTAATTTTTCACACGCAGGAAATACAATATTCAGATTTACAGATACAAGCTAACTTGAGCTATTTCTACAACAAAATCTGTTATGCTTATGCCCATGTGTTTCCATGATCTTTCTTATCTCTAGGATATTTAGGATATCCTTATCTCTAGGATATTAGGGAAAGTTACTTGAGTAAGTACTATGGATTTCTTCATAACCTTTTCTAAATCAACTTTTCTGCCTTGTGACCCTATTCCAAGTCAGAACAGAGGGAGGCATGCAGAGGGGCTGCCCTCCAGCCTCTCCTTAAGCTCAACATATCCTTAAACCTAAAGGAAACAGAAAAGACAAAGCAGAAAATAAGAGGAGATTTAAAGAAACAGAACCAGAAGTCTCAGAAAAAAACAAACTATTTGAATAAAAAGAAAATAAATAAAGACAGGAAGGAAAAATGCAAGCAAATTTTACACATATTTCAGCCCATTATCATTCAATCCAATATCTTCTCAGCTGAATGGCCATGAAAAATAAGATTATTCTTTTAAATTCTCTCACTGTCTTTCCAGATAGATGTCAAATAATTCCTCCAGTTCACATATGGGTCAAGGCAAGGCAGAAGAGGGCAGGAAGACCCTAAATAAAATTACAATTAAAAATTTATAAACTACTAAATATAGGGAATGGAGGCAGAAAAATATTCCAGACTTATCAATTTTGCCCTGTATGAATCAGCAAACTGCAGTCATGCAGTCTGCACAAATGTCCATGTCACACATTTCAGTTAAGCAGAATTCAGAGGAACAGCAACGTGGAACTATTTAAAGAACTCACAAACCATACACAATGCAGACACCATTAAAGGAGATCTAACCATTTCAGTTTTCTGAAGAATCACAGTAATTCCAATAAAAACACAGTAAGATTAGCTAGGGTATGGAGATTACACACAGAAACACACACTCTGCACTTTTGGAATGCTAGCCAAATGCTTGTGTAACAATACAATATAAAATGAGAAGTCATGAACTACTTTGTCCTGTAGAAAAAAAAGCCCCACAGAACATACAGATAAAAGAATTCCTGGAAGAGTGTTTTAACATATTTGTACTGCACCAACCATCTCCATCAGGCCCTGTGCAGAACAATGTTACACAGCCAGGGAATTTGGTGTTTTTCAATGTCAAATGATAGCAGTGACAATCACTATTAAGAGATAAATAAATAAATAGTTTACCACTTTGCAGTAGTTATACACCAAACATTTCTCTCCCCTAGTGGGATCTCTTTCCAAATGCCACTGGCTCTCTATTTTCAGGCAAACTTAATAAATTTGACCATAAAATCTGTGTTTCTCTACAGAATCACACCAAGAGGTCAAGGCAGCAGATCTGACACAGGCAGTGGGCAGCAGAGGCAAGCTGGACTGCTTGCAGAACAGAAAACAATCAAGGAAGACTGAAAAAGTGACTAGCCAATGGTACTTTTGTCTTTCACTAATCATCTGAATTGATTAATAATAAAACATCTGTTGAACCCGGTGCCCAAATTAATTATTTTTGATAGAAAAATGTAACATTAACAGAAGAAAGAAAAACTGTTGTGTAGCCATTCATCATACAATAAAAAGTTTTTACTATTATGGATAATCAGCAGCACAGACTGAAACAGTTTGCAAACTATATACTATTTTACCCAGTCCCTGATCTTGGTTTTTATGTTCTCTTCTTTGTAGCCCAGCTGGCAAAAGAGAATTTAGTTTTACAGTTGGGTTTTTCCAAATAACTATTTTATTTCATCAGAGGTGCCTCTCTACCTCTTGAGCTTTTATTTGAAGCTTAAAAACTAGAGTCAGAATTCTATACAAAAAAAAGGAGATCCATTGAGTCACTCCATAAATCTGTCCTACGACTAAATTAAAAAAAAAGACACTTGAATTATTTGTCTTGCTATTAGAAGCAGGAATTATCCAAACAAAGGTGCAGAGAGAAAAATTCAACAGCTTGCCATTTTATCTACAGAGAGCTATACAAGCATAAACTCTAACTACTTTCTTACTCAAAAAAAAAACCCTTTAGAAAACAGCATTAAATAAGTCAAGAATTACTTCTCACACTTGCTCTGTTTGGAAATTAAAATAAGAGATTGAAGTAGCAGTCAAACTATACTACCTGTGACTGCCCCTGCTCAGATCAGTTTTGCCTGAAAGGGATTTCTTTAGTGATTATTACTATGGCACAGATGTCCTTCAAGAAGACTCAGCTGGGGAAGCCTTCACTTTCACTTCTTGATATTCATTCATATCTTAATACAAGGAAACAAGCATCAAGAAAAATAATGGAATCAAAAATTCTTTTCCAGCCCAGACAAGTCTTTGAGGGAACACATGACCCAGGTCTTTAAAGATTCTCAACTCATATTAAACTGCTTGGTAAAGAGCAAACAGGTCTGCCTCTCCTCATACAGAAAACAGGGAGTATCACATGAAGTTCTCAGGTAACAGCTCAGAACAGAGCAGAGGAATGCCCTACTGACACCCCACATGAAGTGCAGCTCTTATTGACAGAAAACATGGTAGCTGCAAAAACCATACATGGGCCCTAAAGTTTTTATAATTTAAGTATATCCATGAAACAAAAATCCATACAACACATCATCCCCACTGAGACTGGGAGAGCTGACCTAAGGGGTAACCCTATATTCTAGAAAAGAGTGTAAGAGCAAAGCACCTCTGTCAAATGAGCATCTGCTGAGCTGTGGCAGAGGAGCAGAACTCAGAACAATGATCCTGTCACACCCCAGGGTCTCAGAGCCTTAGGCTTCAGCAGAGAATAACAGATCAGACCAGTGTGGCCACTCCTGGGAAAAATCATCTTTATGTTGCCCAAAAAGAACACCTCAAACAAAAACCAACCCACCAGCAAACAAACATCATAAACAGAAAGAAACTAAGACTACTGCTCCAGCCCATCACTGCTCTAAAACAGAGGTGAAACAGTGACTGTGATACTGTCCATAAAATATTTAGTTCTCTAGTGATGCCTGAGAAGATAATTTCTTTCCCCACCATTCATTGAGTGCTTTTTTTAAAAGCATTCAAAGAAACCAAGGTGAACTAAAGAAAGATCTTTTCCATCCTTATTGTAATTAAGGCAGCATTAACTATTTTATTCAAATGACAAGAGGCTTCCAGTGACATAACTGACTACTAATACAACACCAGAGTAAGTAACATGCAATTTCGGGGGGAAAAGGACGCAATATTTAACTAGTTTGAATATGTCTTCTGATATTAAAGGGGAAAAAAGCAAAAGAACAACCCCACAACCCTTTCTTGTCATCTCAAAACTGCAAACAGTTCAAGCCACTGTCAGCCACACAGCTCTCTACTCCAGAAAACAATTATGAAGAGCACAGCAAACACTGTCCAATGCTAGAGAGAATACTGGATGCACAGGCAGAGAAGAGTGGTTCCTATAATGACTCTCACAATCTGTTAATCCAGAATGCACAGCAACACAAATTGCTGGAAACATGGACTTTTGAAAGCTATCCAAGAAACCCTGCAGCCTTCCTCTGGCTCAACAACACAAGCAGGAATCCCAGCAAATCATAACTAGCATGGTTGCATACAAGCTAAAATAACTTTATCCTAGAACACCAAATCTTTGCAGTAATTATCACCACAACTAATTAATAATAATAAAAAAATAGTGCACAAAAAAACCCACTAACTGCATAAGTCACAAAATGTACTGATTATTTGTACGTGGAGTCTCAATGACCTTTCCTTCCTAGAGGACATTCAGTTGTTTGTTGGGATTCTTTTACACAATATAGAAACTTCTTTTATGTTATTTCCTTCTGCATATTATTGATTTCTTCAGACTGACACTGTAATTATGGTGAAGCTTCCTTCTCAAAACACACTGTAGCAACACTTCTGGGCCCCTTGAAATTATGCAGACTCACTTACTTGAGGATACAGCATCAAAGAGCTTACTATATTCCCAAAATATCACATCCCTCATATTTGCAGCCTTATTTTTAAAAGAGTAAAGACCATTCTGAAAGAAAAGGAAATGCAGGAAGCAGAACATGGTAGAGCAGATCAACTGACTGCACAAGGTTTTTCTTACCGTAAGTTATGTACTTGGGGGGGTGAGGGGGACGGCAAAAACAGCTACTGAAAACCTTGGTAAACTTTTAAACCTGTTAAACAATTGTGTTCGTGCACAAGACATCACACAAGGCCAATGCTCTGGGATCAGAACTGAATGTCCCTGGTAACATACTCAGCAATACCAGCATAATTTTGTGTCTAATATTCAAGTCAGGCTTCCAAGCACCAAGAAAACAAAACAAAATAAACAAAAACAACCCCCCCAACAAATAATAAGAAAAAAAGTACCAAACATAAATAAAACTGTGAGTTTTTATCTTTCTCTCAAAGCATAAAACCAAGGTTATCTGGTATCTGACATGTCTATGGGCCACTAAAAAAAAAATTCCGAGAAAAATATACACATTCCTCAGCACCACTGGACTTTGGACACATACACATTAACTTTCAGCCACAGCAAGAAACAAGAAATATTTTGCAAGTCTCTGACAGAATTGCATTCTCTGTAAGACAGGGATTTAAGCACCTCACAAATGAAGAGCCAACAATTCCAAAACCCCCATACATTACAGAAAAAGAAATGTGTGTCTTCTCACCCTGAGAGAAGACTGCTCTGAATCTTCCAGACTTTATCTCACAGTGAAAAACATTCAATGCTGAAACCAGACTGAGGCAGTCTGGATTAAACAGATGGCACTCTATTTAGAACAGTTTCACTGTTAATAACATGATAATGGCATTCCTCCTGGAAATCTTCTCATGCGCTTCCAATACCCCCATTAAGAAACCCTGAAACCCAGAAGTCGATTTCCATCATAATATATTGGAAAAAGGCACTACAGTCTACCCTGAAATTTCACTGGCATCATACTGTAATGTTTACTCTCATGTTAATAGGAGTATCGAAAATTAAGAGAACAGTTTGTATTCTGCTAAAAAGAAACAACATTGTATTGCATACAGCTGAGAAGTAATTAAAGTCTTCATAAGTCACTGACTGTGTAGTTAACTTTTACCAGTCTCTTTCCAGATGAAGCAGACTATGTGCTCAAGTTTGACAAACACAAAAATAATTGTAATTAAGCAGATACTAAGGCAATTGACACTTCACAGTCACACAGCCACACACGCAAAACGCCGAGCTCCTGACACAAGCACCCAGTGAAACCAAGCCACCGCCTCACTCAGGAGGCAGATTTCCTCACTTTCCCTTACCTTTCAGTGCACTACCAGGATTTTGGGACGCTTCCCCGCTTCTCCTATGGAAACAAACACCAGTGTTCTTTTAGGACAAACCCACTGAAAGCCGAAACTCGGCTCCTGGCGCCAGCCGGGCTCGCTGCGAGCTCCGATTTCTCCCCCAGCTTCTTCCCCCGCCGAAGCGCGCCCCGAGGGCTGGCAGCGAGCGGGCACTGCCCGGGCCCGCCGCCGCTCCCCGCGGGCAGGGAGAGGGCCGGGGCTTACATAACCGGGGAGGGGGCGGCTGTCCGAGCCAGGGGAGCGGGAAGGGGCGGCAGGATAGGGAACGGAGCCGCAGAGGCAGGAGAGGGAACGCGAGCAGCGCTGCCGGCGCGACTGCCGGGAACGCTTCGCGCCCCCGCACGCACAGACCCTGCGGCGCTTCCGTCCCTGCCCGCGGCGCCGGCAGCGCAGAGGGCGGCGAGCAGCCCGCGGAAGGTGGGAGATCCTGTTCCCGTTGCCGGCCCTCACCCCGCCACCCCCTCACCCCGCTCTCCTCCTCCGCCGCCACCTCCAGACACCGCCAGCCCCGCACCTCAGCAACGCGCCCGCCCATTGGGCCACGCCCCCTGCAAGAAGCCGCGCACTGATTGGCCGCCTTCCGCTCCGCTGCTCCTTCCCCCCGGCCCTCAGCCCGAGCCGGCGGCGCTGCTCTTGGTGCGGGCCTGTCCTGCTGGGCCGTGCTGGGGGCAGCGGCACGGGGAGGGGATCAGAGAGCGGCTCCACGGCCCCCGTGTCCGCACCGGGCTAGCGGGAAGAGCCGGAACGAAAGCTTTGCGGAACCTGTTTGGCTGGCTCGCGCTTCCTGTAGCGGCTGGTCCAGGGCTGGGTTCCGGTTCCGGGTGGCGGCCGCGTCCTGAGCAGGGTCGCGGAGCGGGCAGGTACCGCGGGCGGGGCTGGCACCGACACCGACACCGGCACCGGCACCGGCACCGGGCCGCACTGCTGCCGCCACCGGCGTGTCCGTGTGCGGGCAGGGCAGGCGGGGCGGTAGTGGGAGTGGGGATGGCTGTCAGTGCGCGTTGTGCCTTCCCTGCCCCGCTCCGTCCGACCTCTGGGCACAGCTGCGCTGGTTCTGCTTGCAGAGAGCGCCCGGCCGGCGCTGCAGCACAGCCCGCTGGCCGCGGCGTTACATTCCCTCTTGTAAATCGTGAATACAGGGAGGAGAGAGGCCTTGGGTTTCTATCACAGGGCTGGAGCCTGGCGTCTAATTTAGGGGGAGCTTTTCCGGTAATGACAGCGTTAAGGCTGCTCTCCAGGTTTTCTCAGGCAGCGAAATCTGTCTGCTTGCCTTCACGGCCTGGAGTCATCTTCAGTAGTTACAGGCTTTTGAAACTGCATCCTGCATTCCAGTCAATTTTCTAAAAGTTAAGGGCAGTGAATCTGTTCTTTGCTACCTGATAGGTGTTAAAATGGGAAACCTTGGCTCAAGGAAGACTCAGGTGCTTTGTGAAAATGGAGCCTTAAAATCTATCATTTTCTTCTGGTTCTTAATGATCTCACTGAAAATGTTCCACTTCACATCTGTTTTTAAAGAGAAACTTAATATTTTTGTAGTTCTCCAAGGTGTATGTAAATAGAGCATACATTTTTCAGCCTCATCAAGCAATGGGTAAGGCGCATCTCCTTGTCCATGCATCTCTCCTGGCCCTGTTGAATGTCACAGTTATATCTGACTGAACTGGAGGCAGCTAAAAGGAGCTGAGGAGCCAAGTGTTTGTTTTTCTTCAGAGCTTAGCAATCACAGCTTTCCCACACCTAAGTCAGAAATTTTTGCTCTGATTTTTTTGTGATTTTTCTGGAAAGTCTGGAAGTAATGGGGGGCTGGTGTTGTTGAAGTGCATTTATAGACATGGAAACCATTGGTTTTCTTACACTCTTCTCTGGCACAGAGGGTTGACATAGGTGCTCCATGGATGTAGCAATGGTTGTGACTTACAGCACAGTAATGCTTAAGTTTGCTTTACTGTGTGTAATCACCCAGCTCTGAAACACAGCACAAAGTCCCTTGGCTCTTTGTTTTACAGAACAAAGCTCTTTGTTTCTTCTTGCTGCCTCCCTGTTTTTCCTGTACAGGGGATTGTTCTTTGCAAGTGTATAAAAATAAGATGGTGCTGCTCTCTGCCAAGTAACAAACTGACCTTTTCCCCAGGTATGGGACACGGAGGTGACCACGGCCACGGGCACGGCCATGACAAAGTGGAGCTGCCTGACTACAGGCAGTGGAAGGTGGAGGGGACTCCCCTCGAGGAGGTGCAGAGGAGGCTGGCAAAGCGCGGGCTGAGGGACCCCTGGGCTCGGTAAGTGAAGAGCCTCAAAAATCATCCTGATGTGGCATCAACCAGACCTTGGCATTGTAGGTAACTCTTTCTTCAGTAAAAGCAGTGAAAATTATCAGAATTTCAGTAAAGTCTTGAAGGGGATTGAGCCAATCATATCAGGATTCAAATAAAGAACAAAGCATGAGATGATTCCTTCTGAATTTTTTAAATTTCATGTAAAGTAGTATGTCAATTCTATAGGACAGTACAAGCATCATGCCAATTTTCCTTAACAAGTGAGAAATTAAGGTATCATGCTACTTGCTTCAGTAGTCTGGCAGGAGATTGTATTATTAATGTCTTGCACCACAAATCTTCAAAGTCACCCTCTCCAGAGCTCCCTCCCCTTTGGAATGCTGAGTTCATTTTAACAGGGAATCTGCTTTCAACCTTTATGGCAAGTGCACATTAATGTACATATGAAATACAAGATAAGCTTTGTGAAAGGTCCTATTTGGAAACTTTGAGTCTGCATCTATCAGGCCCTATACTGGCACCTAGAAGATACTCTTCCATGCCAGCATGCTTTCGTCCTGAGTCACAAAATCCATCTGCACAAGAGGATTATCTGTGAATATAAATATCTGCCTCCCTTGTTTTAAACCCTGGTATTTTCTCCCAAAATGACAGTTTTTATTTTATAGCTTAGTTATTTTTCCTTTTCCTAAGGACTTTTGAGTCCTTACAAGCAACAAACTACACCCATGTCCATAGATTACACTGGTTGTGCTATAAATAAATAAATATTTGTAGTCAGTTAGAGCAGTGATTAACATTTCAATAATAATGGAGGTTGAAAACAGCAAGGCAAAACAGTGTGAAGTTTGCACATACTCTGTAGCTCAAGCTAAAGACCATCTTTTCAGTCTTTCTTTTTAAAATAATCTGACTTTCATATTGCTGTGTTTTATTGTGAAATAGAAAGTGCCTCCACACTGAGATGAGCTATCTATGTCTGGATTGTAAGATTTGACTGTGCTGCATACTGTCTAGCACAGTGACCAGCCTTTGTAGTTGGTAGTCCAATCCATGCAAGTGCTAGTGGGTTCTGAAATGTTACAGAATAAAAACAGAAGAGTACAATTACATTATTTCAGGGAGGTGATTCTGTTCCTATAATTGTGTTGTTTGCTGGCAGTACTTGTATCTCAAGTTATATGGTAATGGTTAGAGTTCCTATCATGAACTTTTTACCTGTAATTCCTGATACTTAAATGACAGAACATATTGTACAGCCTCAATATCTACCTAATTGAAATATCTTCATTATTCTTTTATATATTTATATTCTTGTTAATTTGTATCACAGTGGCTTCACTGATCTTTTTTCCCTTTGGTTTCATTTTCCTTTCTAGTAATGAAGCGTGGAGGTACCAGGGTGGCTTTGCAAGACCTATCACTGTAACAGAAATCTTTACCAGGGGATTCAAGTGGGGAGCTGCAGCTTTCATCATAGCTCTGGGCATTGAATATTCACTGTTTCCTCCAAAGAAGAATGGAGGCCATCACTGAAGATCAAATATGACAACTTAATACTTACTAATCATAAGCTGAAGCGTACATAAGCCTGCTGCTCACTCTGTACTTATAATATGCATATTAAAGTCTATCACAGGCAAACCAGTGTTTCTTTGATCTTATTATACTCCTGTAGAAGGATCAAAAAACATGGCCAGAGCAATTTAACTGGCTTCAATATGGGGGGAAAAAACCAACCCAAGATGGCTCTTGGGTTTGCTCTACCGTCTTTTGAAGAGCAAGATAAACTATCAGAGCAGCTCTTTCCAAGCCCTGCCTAGATTCTGTTAAATGAAATTGAGAAATTTGCTGCTTTTAAGAGAAAAAGCAACATACATATACATAAATAAATATGTACCATATTTATTACAGGTTTAATAACTATTATTTCCCAGTAAGTAGTAATGAATGACTTGTCATTTCTTAGAAGTGTTGGTTACTATTTGCTCTTATGTCTCTAAATAAAAATAAGTATTAACTTAAAGCTTTAAGACCAATTCCAGACTGCCTCAAAGTATATGAAAGTACCAAAGCTTATACTTAACCCTATTGAACAATTAGCCTGGCAGACACTATGCACCAGAATAATCTGCTGTGTAATATCCAGACATCAAAAATTACATTGCTGCCAAAAGTAGAATAAAATGTTTAACTTGGCAATAACTGTACCTTATCCTAAAATGTCTTCCACCATACTTGACTGTAATGTTAAAAAAGAGAACAATTTTTTTTTTCCTTTGCTCTGGTGTATTTATAGATTTATTTATTTTTACATCTAGTCTCTTTTAGCAATTTGTTTTAAATGTCCTGGTTTTCTGTAAATTATCTTAACAGCTTCTGGACTGCTTTAAGAATGCCTGGACTGAATACTAAAGCAGAAAAGGACCTGTGGGCAGTATATGTCCTCTGCAGTATCAGGAATTATAATTGTCTGAACATCCTACTGTAAGTTTTGTTATGTTATGCCATTAGTAACAAAGTAAGGAGGCTATGTTACATAGCACAAACAACAGAACACCCATCCTAAAATGAAAAGCAAAATTAGACAAGTGAGAAATGGTAAATGCCACTAAATAATTACATAGTATACTTCCATGGTGAAGAAATTTAAGTTTTTAAGTAATCCTGTCACAAATTGCAAGTTTACAAAAAAGCTGAAGGTCCTACTAAAACATGGCTAAAATATCTTTTTTTTAAACATACATATTCACACGCAATCCTCCTGAGTGAGATTATAATAGAGCTTTATTTTCAGAGCCAATAAACAACATCTGCTACTGTGCGAGTGCAGATGTACAGTTCAGTGGAGTTTGTCATCTTTGTATGACATTGCTCAAGGCACTGTTCATAGTGCAAACACTCATTTTAGTAAACTCTTGCCTAATCCTTTTCTCAAACATTCCTATCCAGCTGCATCATTCCCTGAAAAACCAAGAACCTACTGTGTAAGGTCTGTTGCATAAAACATTTCTATTGTCCCTTAGGTACTCTTACCCAGAATATGCATTTTCAAAGGCTGGTACTCACTGCTTGTTTTCTATCTGGTTCCAAGACAACTTTCTAGGGAGTACTGAATTTCAGATGGCTGTTCAGGAAAACAAGTAACGCAGTTAATTACTACTATGTTAATAATTTTTACTATGTTACTAATGTTAATAATTACATGAAGTAGAATGAGTCTTTTCAAATGGTATAAGCCTGCCACTTCACTGCTATAGTAAATATATCAAGCATATTCAGTTAGACAAGACTAGTTTTGGTAAAATGTATGCATTTGTGAATTAAGATGGTATAATTTGGTGGTTTAATAGCCAGATGGCAGCCACTGCCCTAAATGACTGTCTTTAATTTATGATGAACATATTTTGCTAATTTTGCAAAATACATCTCATCATTATTACACATACAATACTCATAAATATTTTCTTTCACAGGTATAATAATACCAATCCTGCCTGTGGATGGAATATTTCTTGTGTATTAAAATAATAGTACCAAATGTGTCTTCACTGTAACCATAGCAATGTCTGTCCTTCTATGAGAACAGCCTTTCTACCAGCATAGATATTTTACTGGCAAAAACCAGGGTCACAAACAGCAGTGGCACCAGCAGGTGAAGAACATACATTATTGTAATACCAGACAGGAAACTCTTTTTGTATCACAAAGTCTGAAAAATAAAACTGATGCTCCACTTTTTGTGTGGAACAGATCCAAGGACAAATTGTGCATACTGATTCACAGTAGGTAGCTGGTTTCCTTCTGAATCAGCTACATTTTAATAGCAGGGATACTGTGATAGCCCTGAATGATTGATACTACGGTGAGAGCCTGACCATACAATTTCAGTAAGAATACATGGATTTTTTCAGAACATAGAGCTGCCACTTGGTACAAATTCTAGTGTGGGTGAATATTTTCTGTCTCCTTTTTCCCTGCAGTTCCAAAGACAGCGTGACTCTTCATGTGTGCTACCTCAGAGTACTGCGCTTCCACTGCTTTATTTTTAGCAGCACAGAAAAATGACTCACTGTTTCATAAAGGCTTTGAAATCCACTGAGCTGGGAGTTACATGTGTCTGATTTCACCATATAGGGAGGTGGCTTTTGTCTGGTTCAGAAAATTTTAGATTTTAGGCCTTTAGGAGAGCAGCTCCAGCTGCAATGCTAGCATCCCGCAGTAAATGGCTTCATGGAAGTTGCTAGTTTATGTCAAGGAAATAGCAACATCCAGTTTTCAAGAACAAAGCGTTACGCAGTGTTTACTTAAGATTATACAACAGGAAGCATACAACTTTCACACAGCTGTACGTTAGCCTCACTGTGAACGAACAAATTCAGAGTGAGCCATGAGCCATACGAGGGGTTACGGCTGAACTCCTGTCAAAACACGTGCCCGCACTGACCGCAGGTCTGTAACCACTCACCGAAAACCCTGCTACGACTTCATAGCTCGCAGGGCCACCACAGAGCCGTTCTGTGTGTCCCCAAACCAGCAGCAGGACACAAACACCGCCTCCGAACGCCTGTGCACCCGCTGAACCCGGCACCGCGCGGCCGCCACGGCCTCCCCCGGCAACGCTGCCCCGGCCGCCGTGTCCGTATACCAGGGGGAGGTACCGGGACGCGCCGCAGGCCCTGTCCCGCCTCCATCCGCCGTGAGTCGGTTTTGTTTGTTTGACTCCGGGGTACAGCAGGAAACAAAACTAAAACCAACATCCTGCCTCTCCCCGTCCGCCCCTGGCCTGGCGCTGGCCAGCGGGCCGGTACGGCCCCGGCTCCTCCCTGCTCCAAATGGCGGACCTGGCTGCTGTAGAGACCTCCCCGACGCGTCCGGGTGCGTTCTACCTTCCCCCGTTCCTTTCCCCCCTCCTTCCCTCGCACTTCCCTTCCCACCGCGCGCTCTGAGCACAGGCGGCCCAGCGCCGCTGCGAGCGGGACCCGGGCTCGGTCTGAGCTCGTGGTGAGAGCCGAAACCGAATGTGATTTTAAATGACGCACTTAGAAAAATTACTGGAAATCTGCATAAGCCACGTTTAGTAGTTGGGGATTTTTTGATTGCTTTTGGGGTTATTTTTTGTTTTGTTTTGATTAAGAGGACTGGGACCTTAAAACAAATTAGCGTCGTAAGGAATGTGGTGATCCCCGCAGCAATTCCCAGTTTTTCCTGAGTACCTTGCACAAGTTCTGTTGAAGGCCGTAGGGCAGTGAGGCAATAGGGGAATTTAAAAGGTGTGGAGCATGCTCTGCGACTTTGAAAAATGCCAGATGAGCCTCCTCCAAGTGCAGCAGTTCCAGCACAGCAGCTAAGGCAGAGCGGAGCGCAGCCCGAGCCCCCCTGGCAAGGTCATCTCTGTTCTCCCCTTGCAGCACGGCTCTTCCGGCCGAGCTCGTCCTGTGGAAGGAAGATAATTTCCTAAATCAGAACGACACCCACTGGAGTTATATCCTGGTTTTGTTGCTGCAAAGATGACTGGGAAAGGTTCAAGATGCAAAATGCCAGCAAGGAGTTAACTGGAGCCTTGTGCATCTTTGTGTGAAATTTTAGGATGTTATTTCCTGCTCCTTTGCAAGGGTGTTAAAAAAAAAAAAAAAGCCTAATTAGACATGCACATGAGCACAAAAATTATTGAGGCAACTTTATCTCTGATGACCATGAACTTTTTTATTTTGTCTCATAAAAGATAGGCTGATTTATCTATCTCTCCTCTTTGTAGAGAATTTATATTCAGTAAGTCATCTTGTTGCAAAGTCCAGATAATCAAAAGCCAGGCTGCTGGGTGTATGGTGTGATTGCTTTTTTTCTTTAACTTTTGCATCTATAATGACTGTATCTGTTATATTTGAAAAAGGGGTCATCAGATGGAACGGTGGAGCATTATGCCCTTTATGGCATTATGCCCTTTATGGCAGAGTGGATTGGCAAAGTTACAAACTGTTTTAGTTTATACTAAAAATTCACTTCCTGTTGCTTTTACTCATTTCCCACACAGTTCCCAATGAATGTTATCTGCACAGCTGGTTTTCCTATGTAGAGCTATGTAGAGCACAATTCCTGGTTCACTGCAGTCATACAGGAGAATGACTGACCCTTGGTCATTTTCTTTGGTTTTCCCACCCCATAAAATTAGGAAGTAGCCCCCACAGTAATTTGTGATCTTGACATTTGTCCAGCAGAGAATGAGTTAATGTAGTCACTGGAAAATTCTGGATGGAAACCAATGTGTTCAGCATCAGTAGTTTGGCAATGGTCAAATGCCAGTTTTCCCGTGTTCTTGTGAACAGTTTTACATACAGGTAAGATAATTTCAAGACTGAGTAGAATCAGCATTTTTTTATAATGAGCATGTAATGTACCATGTATAAAGGAAATTCATGAGAGAAGAGGATTCATATGTGTGTATAAAGGCAAATTATTTTTAAGTTAATATATAAACAGTAATTCTGCATGTCTGAAATTCCAACTCGGTGGGAAATTCCCTGATAACACACACCCTTCCTCTGTTTTTTTTTAACTGGTTTTAAAAGATTAGATAAAAATCAGCTGGAGTAGTTAAAAAGTTTTTCTGGTATTTCCAAAACTGACCAAAAGTTGTTAAATTC